CACAGCAAAAAAAAAGAAATAGAAGAAAATTAGAAAATTCTAATACAGGTGTACTATTTATTACATTCTAAGGATTCTCTTTTGCCATCATAAAACACGCCAATGTTAATAAAGCCCGCGCTTGTGCGCCATCTAGCGAACATATCCGGTATTGCACCTAAAAATGTGCCAGACGGGATACCACATTTAGTAATAGCAAAGTAGTCAGTAGACGCTCATTAATGAGCTTGCTAGACGCTGGTCAGACGACTGATTGATTGACCGAGTCTGCCTGAATGGTCAGACTCTGCTAGTAGACTCACATTTTAGTGAATCAGGGCCTTGGTGTCAGGGCGGGCACTTTTTAGGGGGGCGATTCGCGGTGCCGCCGCTGCCCCCCCTTCCATCGGAAGGGATACTAAGTAAAGGGGTGGGCAGGGGGCTGCTGTTTCTTACCTGGCTTCGGTCCCAGTCCCACGACAATCCAGTCCAGGAAGCGCGGCTGCTCCTTCATTCAGTTCGGCCGCTCGATGTTCGTGCGGCTGCTCGGCTCCGCCTCCTCACCACTGATTGGGCGCCAGAACTGTAGCTCAGGAAAGGCACACAGGCGGCCAATAACCGGTGAGGAGGCAGAGCCAAGCGGTCCCATGAAAATCGAAGTGAGGGAGGTAAGTGTGCCGCGCAGAGGTGCTCCTGCAACCACATATGCTTGCTGCAGCAGCACCATGCTGGAACAGAGGTCAGCAAGTGTCATTGGTGTCAGTGGGAGGAATAGTGCCCCATCATTGGTGTCACTGATACTAATGATGGGCATTATTCCTCCCACTGACACCAACGATGTGGCACTATTCCTCCCCCCCACTGACACCAACGATGGGGCACTATTCCTCCTCCCCACTGACACCAACAATGGGGCACTATTCCCCCCCCCCCCTACTGACACCAATGATGGGGCACTATTCCACCCCCCACTGACACCAATGATGGAACACTATTCCTTCCCCCACTGACACCAATGATGGAACACTATTCCTCCAACTGACACCAATGACGGGGCACGATTCCTCCCACTGATACAATGATGGGACACGATTCCTCCCACTGATAATAATGATGGGGCACTATTCCCCCCACTGATACCATAATGATGGGGCACTATTCCTCCCACTGATACCAATGATGGGGCACTATTCCTCCCACTGACACCAATGATGGGGCGCTATTCCTCCCACTGACACCAATGATGGGGTGCTATTCCTCCCACTGACACCAATGATGGGGCATGATTCGTCGCTCTGACACCAATGATGGGGCACGATTCCTCGCTCTGACACCAATGATGGGGCACTATTCCTCCCACTGACACCAATGATAGGACACTATTCCTCCCACTGACACCAATGATGGGACACTATTCCTCCCCACTGACACCAATGATGGGGCACGATTCTTCCCACTGACACCAATGATGGGGCATATTTCTCCCACTGACACTGATGGAGTACTATTCCTCCCACTGACACTAATGATGGGACATTATTCCTCACACACTGACACTAATGATGGGGCACCATTAGTCCAAACACAAGTTCGAACAGGCTGTTTGGGCAATTGGATTGCCTGTTCAGTGGGAGCTGGACGCAATGTATAACAGTGGTATTACTTCTCACAGACCACCCACAACCACTGGGCAAGGAATATGGGGAAGAGGCCCTTGTTCTTATCAACATGGGGGCAAGATGCTTTTCCTGGGGGCTTTTTTTGCCAAAGCACTTCTCTCCTTTTCAAGGGCATGTGGCCTGGTATGGTTCAGAGGGGAAGGGGGTGCATGCTTGCTACCCCATCTTTTCTGGCCAGCCAGGCTGCATGATCAGATTAAGGATCTGGTATAAATTTTTAGGGGGGCTAGCAATTTTTATTTGTGAGGTACCCTCTAAAAACCTATACCAGACTCAAAGGACCTGGTATACACTTTTTTGGGGGGACTCTACATTTTTTTTCACTTTTGCTGTAGGATGTGCTACAATAAAAATGACATTTACAAAGGTAAAAAACAAAACAGTTTAAATTACTGGCAAATTACATTCATTGCCAGTTTTATTTTTTAAAGACCCCTCTGAAATTCCTCTAAAAAAGAAAGCAGACGCTTGAGGGGTTGTTGTGCTGTTTTTTATCTCTGAAGAAAAAACTCTCTTAATGAGAGCTGTCAAAGCAATTTTTGCAAATTTTATTTTTTTTTTCCTTTGTAAACATCAGTGCTAAAAAAAAAATCACTGCTTCTGGCTGTATGGAGTTTTTTTTAACACCCCTTGCCTATTAGCCCAGAAAATAGGCATTTTTAATTTGACAGATCCAGCTCTTATTGACTTCAATAGGGATCGGGTTCTGCATCTGAACTTTGAAGTTTGCCAAGTCCCTGCCGAACCGAACCCTGGGCAATTTGGCTCATCACTAAAAATAAAGATGGGTAAGCTGCAATATATTACAATTTTAGATATGCTTTGCACTTTGTACTTCTTTCTTAAACAAGCCTAGCAAAGTAACTTTTACAAAAGCAATGACAAAATACTATTTAGAAAGTAATTAGCATTTACCTAAAGCAGCAAATCCAGTCCCATCAAAGTAAGTTCCTTGTTGTGCTGATATGTAACATTTAGTCACACCATATCTAGAAAGGGCTCCTTCTCTGTTTAACTGTTTGCTGTTAACAGAAACATTGCTGATGCAAGCTGGGATACTGTGGGTTACCTGAACACCAAAAACAGTTGAATCAAAACATTTTCTGATATTTTATAAATGTGAACATGGAGCAATCGTGGTCCTGCTAAGCAAGTCTCACTTACATTTCCAATGTTTTTAGCTGTATAGCTCAGTGACAGTCCTCCCAGGTACAGCTTGCCTTCCACATCTAGACTGTTGCTCTCACCAGGAGTACTGGTTGAAGTGGATTCTTGACCATCCACAGTAACGGTACTTTTTCTTTTAATGTATTCAGTGGAAATCTATTTAGAAGAGTCAACGTGACTTTGACTTATGGAATTTTACAAATATCATATAATTTACACATTTAAATAAATATAGGAACAAACAGAAGTACTGTGTTTATCATCAAGAGGTACTGTAACTCAACAGTCGTAGAACATATTATCTAGCTGAAAGCAGAATTGTCCATGCTGCCTACAGGAACCAGACAGATTTTCTTATGTTTAGTCTTCATCATATGGGATAATGAAAATGGATGTGTTGCTGGTTGCTGTGGACAACCAGGAAAGTTCTTCCTTCACACACTCTGATACAAAAGCTTCTATGATCTGTACTGCTATACATCTTCGATATCAAATGTACAGGCTTGTTTTAGGTAAAAGTAAATTTATATATTCAAGTAAAACCAAGCTATAAACCCACAGGAAAACACAGTATTTCAGTCTTCCCTACGGCTATGTAATGTTCTTCCTTTAGTGCAATTTATAATCGTATTTTTGATGATTTGCGTTTCCTTTTTCTTTTCCTTTAAGCATATCAGTTACATTTACGAGACTGATAGCAGCTGATGTAAAAACACAGAGCTACACAGAAATAATGAGATGAACTGGATAAGAGAGTCAGCACTTAATGTAATATAAATTACTCATTAGGTTTAATAGCAGGCGTTTAACAAAAATCCCAACAGTATACTGGAGTAATATTGAGCTAAATTCTCCTGTTTTATAAGAATGATTGAGCCAGTCCAGCTCATTTACATCCCGCAGTGCACATCTTAAAGAACCACTAAACATAAATTATACACTGGCTTTTATCAAGGAGGTTTTAATAATGTGTACAGAAAAATTGATAGGCTTAAAAGTAACCCTGTCTTCTTAGAAATATGGACTATGCTACTTCTATTCATACCTGTGTATTCTATTATTATATAATTTAATTTCCAATAAATAAGCAGCATTTGCATAGGGCAGTGGTGCTCAACCATCGGCCTGTGGCCTCCCTCCTCCTGGGCTACGGAAATAACTGAAGTGTTCCCTCCCTGTTGTCAAGGCCACGGAGTGGCAGTAAGCACTATGCAGGAATGCAGCGCATCCCAGCACAAGAACTGCTAAATTAGGCATCATAAGGAGGCACTGTAGATCAATGCCTCCCTTCATGCAGAGCAGCAGAAGACCTGCCATCAGTATGGGTCCCTGCCAAGTAGTGAAGTCCCATACGTCCCTCTCTTTAGTCATGTTACCTAGCGGGTGCCCATACTAATAGCAAGTCTAAACTAATAGCAAGTAATCCTATAAGACAATACATAGTTACATAGTTAGTCTGGTTGAAAAAAGACAAAAGTCCATCCAGTTCAACCATTAAAAACAAAAAAGTTATAATCCTATACCCACAATTTATCCAGAGGAAGGCAAAAAAAAACCCCACAGTATGCAGAGCAGGGCAGAGATCTGGGCACAACGGGGTTAGTCCAATATAGAAGATGCAGAGGTCTGGGCACAACAGGGTTAATCCAATACACAAGATGCAGAGCAGGGCAGAGGTCTGGGCACAATGGAGTTAATACTACTTATTAAAAGTACTAAATCTGTCTTAGCTTGGTTGTAGAACAGCCTGCATAGGAAAATGTACTATATACATGTTCTCATTTTATATACAGGTATTGGTGTTTTATATCATATAATGACTCAAAGGCTTACTGGTCTTGCAACAATCGAACATGCTACATACCATGTGCCATTTGCCATCGTTGATCTGAACTGGGTGGATGGTCTCAGTCCTTCCTTTTCCCATATCAAATAAAAAGTGAAGTTTTCCATCATAGAGTTGTAGAGCAGCATAGTCGACTTGATTTTGGTGAGCCATATAATAGATGAGGCCACTTGTGGCATATGTCCTTAGACTGAGCTGGACAGAGAGTCTAGAAGGGAAATGGCATATTTTTTAATCACTGATGAAAACCATTTACACATCAATTTGATAAATACTTATATCTGCTGAGATGTCTTCATTGAGTCTCTGTACTTCTCTATGCAGGTAGATCATGACTAGTGGGAGAAGCCAGCAGAGTGCTGTACACAGCTTGTTGAAATTATACAGGATTTATATAGCGCCAACAGTTTGCTCAGTGCTTTACAATATAACGGGAGACAATAGAGCAACAATATAGTTCAATACAAGAGGGATAGGAGGGCCCTGCTCCTTGGAGCTTACAATCTAGGAGTGAAATCATCGCATAAGCCTGCCTCTTACAGTGTTACTAAACCCAGGACCCTGCATTCACTATATCTGGTCTCCCACAGTACACAGAACATGGAAATGCAACTATTTTAGTAAATATAAACTGCTAAATATCTTTTCTCATCAGCAGTATATAGCAGTCTTGTGACTTCTATCAGTGTTCAGCAGAACACTGATTAGAGCTTGTAGGAGGAGTTTTCTCTAGGAGGATGCAGAACCCCTGACCTCTGACTGGGCAATGCTGATTGGCCCTGTGCTGATCACATGCACTCTAACACGAAAAAAAAAACTTCTCTAGCAATGCATACCAAATTGAGCATGTGCAGTGTCTCCACACAATATGTCTTATCAGGAGATAAGAGGGGAGCACTGGAAGAAGGGGAGGATCAGAGAAGTCAGGATCAAACAGCATTTTTACACAATGCAGACAATTAACCCCTTAGGTTCCACAGTGAGTATAACAAGCATGCTTTACTGCATATACAGACTGATTTTATTGTTGTGGGTTTAGTACGCTTTAACCAACTTCAGCCCTGATGCAAGCTGTCATCTAGATCTTGGGAGAAGTTAGTTACCAGGTTTGGAGTAATAAGCTTTTTAAAGCAAGCTGCATTTTCATTCAGACTGCCCTATGTAATGGTCACATGTGATGCTCAGCCTCCATGATTGAAAGGGGTGAGCCAGGGACAGTAAAGCTAGGGAGCAGAGAGCTAGATAATGAGAGAGCTGGATGTCCTCTAGCCAGGAAATAAGGTTAGCTCTGTCTGGCTTGTTGCAGCTTCTAATGCACACTGTATTCATTTAAAATGACAGTAAGCAATTTCAGTAGAGAAAAGTAGCCTGTGCAGCTATACAAGACTGAAGATAGGGCTGGAGTTCAGCTTTAACGAGTCAGTAGGTGATCAGACTGGGGTCTACCTAAACCCAACTACTCAGTGTTGGGTAGACTTAATCTATTAAATCAATTTTCATAATATTTTTGCATAATATCATAAGAAAACACATTGCATAAAAAAAGACTAAACTTATGTATAATAGTAAACCTTCAGGTACACAACTTTCAGCATAGTTACAGTCAGTCATAGTGACGAAAAGGCATGTAGTAATACTGAAAGCAGTAAAACACTTCAATATTTCTATGATCTGCTGTACTTACTTTCTTCTGACTGCAGTCTGGTCAAAAGGCAAGATCATATGGCTTCCTGTAGTGAGACCAAACTGGTGAGCATCAGGTACATGACCAGGCAGCACCTCTTGTGCACACTCAAATGCCTGTAAAACACCATAACATAACAGCATTATTGTAATTGGTGCATAGCCCTGCCAACAATTCATAATTTCATGATTTGCACACAGTGTTCTAACTCATACTGCCACATTGCCAATTCCAGTAAGCATTGACACTACGGTGGTCCAAAAATTTCATTTAAAGAGTAACTCCATTTTTGTTAAGGAGAAAACAATCTCATCATTGCAAGGATTTTAACACACGTTGTAGCAGATTTCTACTTTATGTTGCTGTAAAGAATTAGCTCTTTGTTTCACCAGAATAATTGCGTACACATTTTGAATAGGAGTGACTGGTTCAATATAATCAGTTTGTGTACTCTCTGTGTACTAATGAGGAAAGCTGTAGTGTTTGTATCCCTTTAGAAGTGATAAAACCTTGGGGAGTACCTCCTTGAGGGTTAGGGACTGATGTGAATGTACAATATATATGTAAAGCGCTGCGTAAATTGACAGCGCTATACAAGTACCTGAAATAAATAAATAATAGATCTCACCAAAACTTACATGTCTATTGCAGAGGGTGCCTAAAATCTGACTTTTATCTTAGTGTAAACTTCCCAGAACATCAGTAAGCCAATCACACAAGCAGTAAATGACATTTTGGAGGCATTCTGTATACCAACTAGCACGCCTCCAGGTTGCCATATTACACTGGATTTTTACAGAAAATTACAGCCTACAAGCTTTAACCAGTGCTCTGCTGAAGTCACAAGACTGCTCTAACTGCTGATGAGAAAAGGTATTTAGCTGTTTATATTTACTAAAATAATTGCTTTTTTCCATGTAGTGTGTACTGTGGGAGACCAGACATAGTGAATGCAGGGTCCTGGGTTTAGTATCACTTTAAATTAGAACATGGCTTGTGTAGCAAGTGCATATGCTATATTATATTTTTGTATTTGCTATATTTTTTCCAAGAAAGTGGTGCTTCCTTTTAAATTTATAGGTTTTAATCAAGACCCAGTAGCACAGATCATAATGAAACACCGCTTAACAGAATTTAGTGTCATCTGCCCAATAATAACATCCACATGAATCTTTTATTGATCATGTGATTGTCGCTATCTAAAATATTCTAAACTACAAATGATGAGAATAATTTTATTTTCACTGATTTGCCTCCAGTCCACCATGCAACGGAAGCAACAGTGGGACAGGTGTTCTGCTATCCTATACATGGGAGATAAGTCTAATGCTAATAAAAATGTTCTATGTAAATAATTAAACCCTGCACAATCTGTCAAATAGGAATTTCCTAACTAAACCTGTTACTCAACTTTTTTCAGTAACAAAATCTGCTGCTTGCAGTAAAGGGTTTTAGTCAATGTGAACATCCTTTGCTCACCTTAGTGACATAGGATTTCTGTATGGGTGTGGTCAGAGATAATTTCTTTTCTGTGACAGACGGTATTACTGTCGGTTGTATGTCTGGTTCCTCATTGTTGACAGCAGGCTTCTCTGTTAGCATGCAGCTATCCATTTGAACTTTTTCATACTTAATAACCATAGTGAAATCCAATTGCCTAATTAATGAGATAATTGAAATAATGATTAATATTTAGATTACTAAAATAGTAACTATGACTAAAGCGACACAGCGTATTAGTGAAGATAGTGTACAATTACTGTTTGTTACAGCAATAGAATTCCTCTTGCTTCCATCTTAACAAGCGTGCTGGGTTCACAGCATGAAGCTCTATACAATATACATTTTCCTGAGCGTTTGCAGCAGTGTGAATAGACTAAAAGTATTCTTGCTGTGTCTAAGCGTCATAATAGGGTTTGGAAAATTTCTCAGCATGTACCGCAGTCCCTTGACCGGAGTATAAATTGGTCAAAGACATTTCAGGGTCATTGGTTAATGTAGCCCAGTGTCATGGTTCCTTGCATTGGCATTCCTTGCAAGGGGAAAACTGTACAGAAATCTACAGCTGACTTTTCCCTTAAGGGATATATAAAATCAAAAACAAAAACTTTACATATTTCAGTTTTCCAGTCCTTAGATGTGATGGCTGAATTAGTTTAAATTTTCAGCAACTACAGAACATACCTATTGCTCCTGCCACTAATACGGTGTTCTTGCCACTTCCTGTGAGATGAACTTATCTTCCTTCAGTAAACTACTATCCTCTCCACTAATATGTAATTAAGAGGAACATAGGGGGCATGTCTGATGTCCAGCCTGGGTGGTAATCACCAGAGATACAGTGGAGTAGTCAATGTAGCCACCCAGTGACAGAACATGTATTACTGGCAGGATAACCGGATGAAAATAAAGTAGATAAAAGTCTGAAAAAAGAAAACCAATGAAGTCACCACATCTAAAGTCTGGTAAACCGTAATATATACATTTTTGCTTTTGCATTTAGATATCCTTTAAAGGGTTATTTGTAACATTTGCTATAAGGTGCAGTGGTTCCTGTGCCTTCAGTATCCACAGAGTATTATTTTACACAAAATAACCCGGAAGCAGTGTTATATCTAAATTGTCACCCTGACAAATTTACACTGCATTTTAAAGGATAAGTTCACCTGCAAAAAAAAATGCATTTATTATTTTTTACTAAAAGGTGAACCTATTCTTTAACCACTCCCCGTCTGGCCCATGTATATAAATGGCCAGACAGGAGCAGTTGCCGGTCATAAATGGCGCCCGCCATTTTAGCCTGTGCAAAAAAAAAATTAATCTTCATCACCCCCCACAAGTAGTACAGTGTCACTATGGTTATATTTTTTTTGCTAGGGTGACAGTATGTTTAAAGAAAACCCATAAATAATAATATAAAAAAATAAAAATAAGAATGTAAAAAAAAAAAGTTTGAAAAATTACAATTTTTGGTTATAAACTAATTTGGGTTTTTGTTTTTTTTACTAAAAAAGATAGCTGAATACATTTTGGCCAAGATTTATGAAGAAAGTATTTATTTGCAAAATTTTATAAGAAAAACACTTTTTTTTTTTAATTTTTGGACTTTTTCATTTTATATATATATATATATATATATATATATATATATATAAAAAAAAAAAAATCCCAGTGGTGAATAAATACCACCAAAATAAAGTTTTATCTGTCTCAAAAAAATGCTAAAAAAATCATATGGGTACAGTGTTGCATGACCACGCAATTGTCATTCAAAGTGTGACAGAGCTGAAAGCTCAAAATTGGCCTGGACAGGAAGGGGGTAAAAGTGTCCAGACTTGAAGTGGTTAAGAGAGAAAAAACAACCTTCTTTTTTTGGGGTCCACATAGCATAAAAAGAAAATACAAACATGCAGCTAGATGAAACATATGGCAGGAATAATAATCACCAGTGCCTATAGAAAAAGGACATATCCATAGTATGTAGGAAGTTTACATATTTAGCTTCCTTAATCACCCCTGAGAGAAGCCATGGGCTTGATTTGCTAAAGCCAAATAGGCTGTTCACTTTGCAAGGGAATTTTCTCCAGAGCTGGATGTGGTGAAAATACATTAAATTCTCTTGTAAAATGAACAGTCTATTTGCCTTTAGTAAATCAACTACCATGACTAAAAAAGTCTCAAAATAAATATTATGGGTGTCTGGTTTTCCAGTGCAGCTTATTATGTCATAGTAGGTACAAACATTCACCCAATGTTCAAATGTGCATATGTACATGTGGTATATGCTCAAATGGTCATGCAATATTGATAGAATCTAGAATTCATCTTTAAAGCTTTGCATCAGAGGTCCACTTTAAACACATTTCTTACCGATTATTCAGCATCAGATATCTAACTGCAATAAGGAAACCCATACAGAATACAGTATCATACTTACTCCATATTTAAAATCAAATTCTGAATGCATCCGTAGAAAGACTGACTTGTCCTGAGCATGGTAGCGCCCATTGTCCCAGGCACCCCGCCAATGAAAAAACTAGAAGTATTTATGGCAAAGCCGTATCCACAGATGGACCATTGAGTTTCACCTCTGCTGGTTTCCCTTCATCAACCTGCACGCTTATCATCCTAGAAAACAAATAATGGTATGTTAGTTGCACAGTAAATAATCAGTTGTTGGTAGTGATTAGTAAAGGGTGGCACAGCTTGAAAACCCAACTGGCCTTCCCAGCAAGGAGGCCTTCCTTTAGAACGTCAAGATGAAGCAAACTAAAGATTTATAGTAAAACATCCTTTATGTAAGTCTACGGCTGATCAAACCTAGAATCCCACACACATTTTGGTCGGTGCTGGCTATAATGGTTTCAAATCAAGTGCCCATTCTTTAGAGAGTTATAAAACAACTGATTTATACATCCCGAGATATAATTTTGTCTTCATTAACACAATGTCATGGCAATTGCTTTAAAAGAAAAGTCAGATACCTTTTGTTACGAATGAGAATAATGGAATGTTCTTGACCATCACTATAGGTCCCATTAGGTGATTTAATGACTGTTTTTCTTGTGCTTGCTCCATCCACAGGATTAATGTGTAATTCAACATGGCCGTTTACCAACATTAATGCAAAAAATGGCTAGGTTGCATTAAAAAAAAAAGAAGAAAACATGTTTCAATAAGACAAGGTTCATACATTAAATTGACTTTGTGCTTTGACTATACAGGGCAAAGCAAAAGGTTTACTTTAATACTGGCTTCCACAGCCTGAAAAAGAAGCCCAAGATCAAGCTTACATAGGGCTTAAGACTCACCCCCCCATCCCCAAGTGACACTGCTGAATGCCTAAGGCTAGGTTCACATTTGTGCATTGAGGGGATGTGCACAAAATCTCACAAGAAAAAAAAAACAGCATCACTTCTGCACACATGTAATGCTGACATTAATTCTTTATGGCACCTTAATGCACCTTGCTAATGTGTGCGCCCAAACATATGTTAACAAAGTATGCATTTTGGTGCAGCACAATTAAAAAAACAAAAAAAGACCCATGTATTTCTTTCGTGTTTTTTTTTTTTCAAAATCACACAAAAATGCATGAGCTTGGGTCCAAACACAGCTTAAGTGGGCAATTGCCAAATACTTGTTTCCCTGGGTGAACAAAGAAAGCATATACAAATGCAGGGACCAGTATTAAAGTGGAATGGTTGCTTAATCCTGCATGGGTATAACAGAGGTTTATGTTAGAACTCCAGCATGCACACACAGCAGACAATTTTTCAAATGTTGCTAGGGCTATGATACATTAGAGGTAAACTATAATGGTTCTGGGTCAGTTTTATTATGATTTTTATAGGATTAATATGTTTTTAAACTTATATTTTATATTTATTTGTTTACTGTACCTATTGCACAGGGGCGGATTGACAACTCATGGGGCCCCCAGGCAATAGGGGATCATGGGGCCCCTGTGTCCTCACCCACACTCCAACCACACCAAAAAAGCCTATGAAAGGTACCAGGGGCATCTCATGAGGCTCCCTACTGACCCCGGGCAGTGCCCGAGTTCCCAAATGGTCAGTCCGCCCCTTCTATTGCATGACAAACGGTTCCCATAGTAGTAAGGGTTACATTAGGAGACAGCACAACAAAAGCAGTTCCCTTTCAGACACAGATGTTTCTCAACGAGACTTTATTTTGAGCTGTCTGATAAGAAAGGAAACATTGTTCTGACCTATCCACTCCAACTTAAGCTTTTGAGGTCTGTAAACTGATTGTTTTTCAGTAGGTGATAGGTAGTAATGAGCTCAGGTGTATATGGACTAGGACCTGAACTTCTTGGTGTGAGCCAGCCAAGAAGCTGTCACCTGTAAGGACCAATCATCAATGGCCAGGGCATTCCCTGCCCTGCAGCTGCAGACATACAAAAGACATGCACCCGCACATATATAGGACAAGGAATTCAGGTGATTGGTCCATACAGGTGAAAGTTTCATGTTAGGTTCATACACATGGGTTTGGGTTCTAGTCTGAACATGCCCTAGCTCATCACTGGTGATATCTAGTATCTAGCTACCTGCTGGCTGGATGAAAAAAAAAAATGCATAGAACCATTTTTAAATCTTTTTTTTGTGGTTGTTGTTTGAGTTTTGATCTTTAGAAACATGGTAAAAATTATAAGAGATTTAATTGATTGTATTTACATATATTTTACAATGGTATAAAAATCAAAAGCAAACATTTATTACATTTTTTCCTTCTGTTTTCACCTGGTGATCCAGCCAGTAAGTTTGTTGTTTTTCAACAGAACAAGCTGCCCTGCAGATGTAGCAGTTGGAAGGATGAAACAAACCATTTACCACTGACAGGGGTGTTTACAATGGTCAGCTTTTATTCATTTATGTAAAACCCTTATTCTAAAAGGAAAATCATGTTGTTTTAACTGCTTAAAGAGTGTTAACTGGAGTTTGGCTTGCTAGTGTATTAAAATCTGCATCTAACACTCCCCTCCCCTCCCCCAGACTGCCAATGCTGCTGTCAAAAGATGTCTTCTGTGCTCCTTCTTCCATAGTGGAGGCACTCTAATACAGGAGGTGTGCTACTGGCCAAATTACCAGGTGAGGGGAAAAACCTAAACAGAAATGCAATGCAGCCACTATGTCTACGGATTGGTAAACTGCAATATATAAAATTTTTGGATTTTGGTTTAATTTTTTGTTGTTGTTTAACACACAGTTAACAGGGGCAAATATATTTGCTGATTGTAAGCTGACATACACTTATAGGGCTAGTGCGTATAAAGATTAATTGGATATCCACTCACTATATATTTGTCATGTGTTCACATTGTAAAAAAATCAAAATGATCTTTAAAGTCCATTAATATTCAAAACTAATTATAAAATCCTAATAAATGCCAAAAATACAAAAGTGAAAGTGTAGTATAAAAATCAAAGAAAATTTTATATGAAGGAGATTTACCACTTCAGTCATTAAGCTAATGAATCTTTCTGATGAATAATTCTCATTTTTGGATGCAAGTAAGGAGAGGATAATAGTAATACTTTTATTCCCTTCCATTTGAGTTGGATATTTGACATATAAAGTGCAGGAGGACATGAAAGAGCAACAATTCATGTGATGAAATAGAAATATACAGTATGCATGTAAAAATGACCATTGGCAGGAACTGAACAGTCTGCAGCAGCACAATATAGAGGGTCATAGATAGGCAGAATGAAGAATAAGCCTGTGGCTCTATGACCTTGTTATATGAGTGATTAGGCTTCAGGCTCTGCCTCAGGTTATTGAAATCTGAAATCTAATTTCACAAAATGCCTGAGGCTTTGTCAAACAGCAGTAATTTCTCTTAGAAAATGCCTCCAATGTGAAATCACACACATTCTAAGCTAATGCATTCTATTGAAAACAGCTACTGAGGTTTACAGCTTCTAATACTCTATGCCCTTGGACAGGGGTCCACCAGGACTAGTATGACCTCTTTACTATTTACAGGTTTATTTTAGTCATTTCAGGTACTTATATACGTCAATTTACGTAGCACTTTACATATATATTGCACATTCACATCAGTCCCTAACCCTCAAGGGGTGTACAATCTAAAGTCCCTAACTTACATTCATACATACACATACTAGGGCCAATTTAGACAGGAGCCAATTGACCCACCAGCTTGTCTGACCTTAGATATAGCAGAATGGTCAGACATGTACAGTATGCACAGTCTAACAATGTCTTTGGCTCAGCTTCTGCCCTATAGAGTAACACTGGTTGCATGCGAGTTTATGCTTAGGTAATGGAGAAGGGAAGCTCAAGATTTAAAATAGTAATCAGACAAGTTGATCCTTTTCGTCTCTTGAGAAAGGTCATTTGGGGCTGCAGGAGCATTGATGGATTGGAGACTGACATCTAAAGCCTATGGATACCTTAACCAGCAGATGTCCAAAATCTGTAGATCAATCTATCACCCCCATTTCATAGCTGGAGGTGCACACAGTTGTGAGCTCCTAGATGTCAATCCTCATGCTGTACACACTGCTCTAATAAATGCTAAAGCCCATATTCACACACTAGAGTGAAATAAACAACCCCCCACCATCCTCCCACTATGTACAGACAGCTTCCTACAAAGTATCACTTCCAGAGAGTGAGTCTGAAAGCAAACAGCTTCTGTCATGTCTTCCATACACTGGATGGATAATATCCAAAAAAAGCTGCATGCAATTTAGAATAAATGGCTCTATAATATTAGACTATATTTGCAATATACAGTATGTCAGCAGTGCCTTTGGCTGATGGGTGGTAAAGCATTGATTTACATGACTCCGCCCACTATCTTAAAATAAGGAATATTCCTATTTTTGGATTATGTGCTAGTATGAAAAACGTGAATACCTTTTGTTATAAGAAGGATATACTGTTTTAGCATTGAAGAGCTGTTTAGTCCCTTCTCACCATGCCCCATATAGTTTTACTGTCTTATGTATAGTATATTATATATAAACACTATATTAAAACGTTTAAATTAAAAAAATAAATAAATAAAATTGTAGTCAAAACTACTATTTGCGACTGTTTAAGTTACTAATATGTTTTCAATGATGCAGTCTCCTTTTGATCATTGAAACTATTATTAAAGGAAGAGGTGACCAGACAGGACATGATGGAAAAACTAGGGAAACTGCATCCTAATGATGTTTTTATTTAACATGTCATTGTAGTTATTATATCAAAAATTAAAGAATATAACTATGGTTTAATGTTTAAAGCAGTAGTAAAGTCCTGGAATAAAAAATCCGGTCTTCCTGCAAGTTAATGTCATAATGTGCTAGTTTGCATCCCATAGTAGCACATTATAGAAGACTTACCTGTAAAACAAAGCCCTCAAGGGCCGTGCTATCACCGCTGACAGGGCTTCCTTCTTCACCTGGTCTTTCTTCTGGGTTTTTGGGGTCCGGCCATTTGAATGGCTAAGCAGCGATGACATCACTCCCGCACATGTGCACAGGAGTCACAGCCACGGCACAGAGCTCTGGATTGGAGACACGTTCAGTGTGCCGTCAATTCAGAGAGCAGTGTGCATGCACTGGTGATGTGTCTGGTTGCAAAATATGCGAACATCTCCTAAATGGTGCACATTTAGGAGATATTCATGTTACCTACAGGTAAACTTTATTACAAGCTTATCTGTAGAAACAAGTGACAAAGCGCAGTTTTACGATTGCTTTAATTACAATTTTAACAGTATGCTTGTTTTTTTAATGGTAAAAAATAGTATTTGATATTAAGTACACTGAATAATGGATCAGATTGCAACTATTATGACACAGTACCTATATTAGAATGAGACTGATGCACAGCTATTTACTTTGGCATGCATCACTTTACAGATTGGAATAAAATAAGCAAACATTTTCCCATTTGTTAGTCAAACTCCCATTTCTGTTTTGTAATACAAACTAAATATAACTTCAATCTCTGCCGACAATAACCCAATTATGTTTATTATGGAATTGACAATACCCTCCCCCCCTAGAGGAAAGGGAGGATGGGAGAAGAGATACTTTCAAGGCTGGAGGATCAGCTATTCTGACTGAAAAGCAACAAGTAGTATTACTGACATATTTCTAATTATAATGTATTAGCTATAAAACCTTGGAACATATCTACAATCTAATAGCTCTACATTTTTGAGCACAGATTGTAATACAGTTATATTTTCTCTCCTATGTAAAATAACCCGGAGCTTGCAACAGTCCTGAACACCAGCAGATAAGAAAAGACAGATAGCTGTGTATTCTGTGGCTCTACTGAAAAAACACTGGTTTCAGTTGTATATATCTCTACTTTTTTAAATATTTAGTTATCTTGAAGGAGTTTGAGAATATATTAATACAGAAGGCAAATTTTAACAAAAAAATTATTGTATAATTCTATTGACTCTTTTCCATAAAGTAATTGGATGTAGACCTATGTATATTTAACTAATGTTTTGACTTGAGTTGTTACCATTGGGTTCAACCATCACTTGACTTTTCACATCTCTTAGAATGGATCATTAGTTTTCAGTGTAAGGGATTAGGTTAGAGTCCACAGGTGTCAAACTAGTGGCCCTTCAGCTCTTGCCAAACTACAAGTCCCATGAGGCATTGCAAGATTGACAGTTACAAGCATGACTCCCAAAGGTAGAGGCATGATGGGACTTGTAGTTTTGCAACAGCTGGATGGCCGCCAGTTTGACACCCCTGGGTTAGACGTTACATTGCGGTCATGAAAATTATCAGAGAGAAAAATGTCAAAGATTAGGGTTAGCATTTTAGCATTGCTGCAATGTGTGGCAATACATGTTATCTGTGTTTACCTGTGTTCATTCTGAGCCTGTTTGCTGTCAGAAGTTAGGTCAGCCTTTCTCAACCAGGGTGCCCATGCACCCTGGGGTGCCTTGAGGTTTCTCCAGGGATGCCTTGGCAAAATGTCTAAAAATTGCCCAAAACGTATACAAGCCAACGGGTGGAACAAGCCTGCCTTTTAGTTACACAAAGCCATGGGTTTTCATTGTACACCATTACTACGTTCTAGCTGCCGGAGTCCTGACAAACAATTACATCATCAGTTGATAAGGAGGATGATGGTTGCCTACACAGCATCCTAGTTTAACCCTACCCTGTCCCTCTCTATCAGTGCTGGGGTCACATCACGGATGGAGAAAAACTGAAGTAGAAGAGAGACATTGGACTAGTCCTCAGTACCAGTGTGCAAAAGTATATTTGCTTTGGAGGAATAAAACACAGCTAATGTTGGGTGTACTACATGTGTGGATGTTGCTGCATTATATAAAGCTATTAGAATAGTTTTTCACATTTTAGAATGGGGTGCCTCATTTTAAAGGGTGCCTTGACTAAAAAAAAGATTGAGAAACACTGAGTTAGGTAGCCCAAGCAAATGAATGAGCTACTTTACCACAGCATATGTTAAGACTGCTAAGATGCAGGCACTAATGCACCATAATAGTGTAAATGGGCCGTTAGGGATGGGTTAAATGTTACATTAATGGTTATTTTAGTTGTTGATTCAGGTAGAGGGAGGTGTTAGAATTTGCTTAGCAGGCAGACATAGGTCAGAGATAAACACTGATAACTAAAGTGCTGTTCCAAGAGATGCCAGCAGCTAGATGTCACATTCTCACGGGTTTGCTACTGCAATAAATAAAGTATCTTTCTGGTAAATAAAAGGAAGAACTGAAATAAAATATATTAACAAACTAAAACATTTGAATTATTTTAATTTACAGGCGGTGTTGTACTGTTAAATTACATAGAAAGTAAAAAATTAAAATTCATGTACATGTTAACACTGACATTTAAAACTACATTCGATCACATCCAGTCACAAAGTAAATGTCCATCCTATTCTAGGTGACTGCATAATTTAAACACAATTTAAATTGCTCTACATAGCAGAGTCATTACTCACCAGCTGAGCCTGCCTGCGACTACGTTTCACCGTTGCTTTGCCAAACCCAGCCAGAATTATGCCCGTATCATTGAGAGTGGAAAACGACACCATGAGCTCAGACTCGGGGAGTAAAGACACAGGCTGCATTTCTACATAGCCTTCATTAAGAACAGTTATACTGCGAGTAGGCTAGAGGAAGAGAGACAGGAAATATTACAGTTACATTACAGTGTAATTTATACATCCCATTCATAACATATGATTAAGAAAGTGGAAATACTATTTTGTTCACTAGTGCAGTATATTTTAGTGCATACTTTCCAAAATGCTTCGTTTTCTTTGTCGTGTATGGTACAGGTATTCTAGGTAATATTCAATTAAATTAATTTGGGGGGAAACAGAATCCTGGAGCAACTGAACATGTCAACCAATCAGCCTCTATCTTCAGCGTGTTCAGGTTAAAAATTAAAGGTGGAAGCTGACTGATTGCCATGCACAGCTGCTATAGATTTGCTCCACATTTGATATCTCTAATCACTTCGTTAGCCAGCAAAGAAGTATTCCCCTTATTTTTACTTTCCTACTGCTGTCTATGGCCGATGCTCTATAACACTTTACTGCAAATCAACAATCCATAAAAAATACAGATCAGCATATGAACAGTTATTTTTGTACACAATAAATATTTGATAAATTAATAGTAATCACTATTGAACACCAAATGCACAGTTGAGTATGTACACACTATACAGTCAGAAGGGACCATCAGTAGCCCTAACTAAAGCTAAACTCCAGGCAGAGAATGCAGTTACGTATTTATTAAAAAATAATAAATGCATTTAAATGTATCTAAAATAAATGTTTGCATTTTTCTTGATTTCAGCCACTTGTAATGCCCTACACAGTAGAAGCAGACTGGGAGAAGGAAGGGCAACACTAAAGACCAATTACCTGCTTTGGGAAATTGGCTGACAAAAAAACTGTTAATAGAAGGAGAGAGCAGAGGGATAATCTCATCAGGATGTTCCTTCACTGTCCAATCACAAGCTGCAGTGATAAAATATTGTGGCAGGTAAAACAGCTCCTATATATGAATTTTAACTATGTATGTAGTGGTTTGCCTGGAGTTTAGATTTTAGCAATTTATCTTCCTGGCTTAGCCTCCAATGTCACCCCTCCACCAGCAGCTTCCTCATTGGGTATATAATCAGCATTCCCTCTGTCCAGTGAGCAGGAGCTGACCTAGGAAGTGTAGTAAACCAAGAATCCACAAGGTGCTCTTACTGACTATCAGAGGTTTGTGTGGCACAAGAAATCTTCACATAGTTAAAAAAAAACCCACATTTATTTTTACATTTATTATTACCTTCATGACCCCATTCATCTTAAAAATAGGGGAAAAAGAGCAATTGCTCTGAATCTACCAAGGGAGCAAGATTTTTAATAGGTTTGTAAATGACAGAGACTGAATCGGTAAGGTCACAAAGAAATTCATATCTCAGCTGCCGAAGCAATAGAAATGTCCTCTGCATCAATATTACTTTTAGGCTCCATTAGGCAAAACAAATATAAAAGTAAATGATTTAATCCGAGAAAGACTGCTCTGATTAACCTAGAATAGAATTTCGGAAAACTGATAAAACACAACTTCATATCAGTTTCTAACATTTTGAAATCAAGATTCCCTTCCACTGTCAAAAAGGCACACACAAGGATAAATCTGGAGTAGAAACCATCTGAATGCTTCTATACAATGGGGCAAAATTGGGGGTAACCTATATAGATTACAGGGAAAATACAGTATATAGATATGCAGGGAGTGTCTATGCTGGAAGAGAAAGACAAAATACCAGTTCTGAGAATTTTTTTAGAAACACTTTTTAAATACCTGCGTGAGGGCTTTCTGTGAAGTTAACATGGGCACACCAATGCATTAGGAGACCTTAACCGTATGAAACAGCGGTACATGGAGCAATTTTTTTTTTTGTAAAAAGACCAAGGCGGTCATAATCAAGTAAAGATGATGGTGATTGTTTGGGAACTACATCTCTGTTCACATATTTGGGATTAGTTGCGTTTATGATTGAGAGTCTAAGAACAAATTACGATTGCTGTGGCCACCTTTTTGAGGATGTCTGGGGCTTACAAACAATATTATTTGGTCCTAACAAGGAGATCACTTTCCAGTAAGTATGAGCTAGGGAACATGAAGTAGTCATAGAAGTTGAAGTCATACCAGCAGGGCAGACATGCATCAAAGGCACAGATGGTAACATAGTCAAGGAGAGTAGCCTAAGATCTTTTCCAAACGCTAACGTCATAAAGAATTCTGACAGAGTTTAGGCAGACTCAGAGCAGGCAATAACTAGTAATTAGACAAGCTAGGAAATATAGCCAGTAACTCAGGGAGCACAAAGCAGGCAATGACAGGACTGAAAAGCAACCTTAAAGGAATAGGACTGACATGACAGGACCAGCAACCAGAAACAAGTGCAGGATTTCACAGAAACTCCCTATTTGCAGAAATGTAAGTGCTACAATAGACAAGCAGCATATGGTCCCGGGTGACCTGTTAAAAGACTGTGGACCAATCAGTATGAGTGCACTAGGTTAACCTCCCTCTTGTAGAGCATGTATGATCATGCCAGGGCACAGAAAGGGAGCTTGTAATACAGGAAAAGCAATAGAGAGCTGTAGGAGAGAAAACAGCCAGAATAAAATCAATAGGCATACAGGACAGAAGGAGCATAAGCAAGTGCAAGAGATGAACCGCAGAAAACAAGAAAGTCAGAAAGGAACACAAGATAGTCAGACAGGAACACAAGAAAGTAAGACAGACACTGCAAAGAGAGCCAATCGCCAGAAATGCCCCTGAATGTGCCTCACAGGTGAAGTAACAGGCGCAAAAGACAACCAAACACCTGGCCATGTGAACCTGTTGCAGATAGGTTCCTTACAATAGGGTACAGTTGAGAATGTAGTTAATGGTCAAAACTGTGCAAAAAATACTGAATGTGTTTGATTTCATTGAGGTGTTCCATTTATGACATAAAAATACATAACAGCGTCTTCCATTAATAATTCAACCATACTTGTTTTCAAAAAGAGGTATATTAAACATTTAAATGCTATACTTATTTATCCATTATTCATATTGCTATTATTGTAATAAATATTGTATTCTGCTCACCTCTAATTTACAGCCTTTTCTTACACCATAAGCATTTCTTAGCAAGTCAAAGTTTGATCTTGAAATTTCCAAATTCCTTATACAACCAACATAGGATCTGCTGACTAGTTGTCTCCTAGATGAAGTTTGACAATTGTGGGCAATTTTGCATAAACAAAATATATAAATAAAGCTCAAATAATAAAGAATGAGGCGCTGAATTTTACATTTCATTGGTAATTTCATAACTAAACTAAAATTCACTCATTATTATTTTGTGCGAAAAATAGCCAATAGAGAGGTTTATTTATAAAAAGCAATATTGCAAGACTAGGCTGCAAAAATAAATAGGAGGATAAAATAGACAGATAAATAAAAAAGCCACTGTGAAGAATCCACATGGGTTAGTGGCGTAGCGTGTAGTGCAGAGCCAATGTGACATCAATTCTTGTCGCACTGTTTACACTAGTAAAAGACGGAGCACCATTTTTTTTCTGAGACTGTTTCTACACATTTATTGTTGAACTTTTTTTGGTTTTTGGATTTTTATTATAGGAGATCATGCCACTATTCATGAACTATTAACATATTTTGGGACTCTTTCTGTATTCAAATTTGTTTTCAGCTGCATTTTATTAAATCTTTAGTTGCTATTAATATATGTTGAGTTTATATAAATTCATATTATCTATATCACATAAAGCATTGTATGTTTGAGTTGCGCAACACTATTCACTACTTTTCAAACAGTTAAATAGATATCTCTTACCCTTCCTCAACTCTCCCTGATCCCATATACTCTTGTGTTTGAAGGTCAGAGTATAATCAAAGATGGAAAATGTGGCATCCCTCCCACATGTGATATATAAAATACCTGTGGGGGGAGAAAAATAACATACCTACACCCTGCCCCCCCACCCCCCAGTGTCCCTAGTACAGAGAGTGACATTATCATTCTGCCAACAAGATCCTAGGGAATGCTCAGTACCAAAAATTAAGTGAGAACAGAACAGTGCAGGATAATCTTCAAGGAGAAATTTGGGCTACTCAACATCTAACTTTTTTTCTCTACAAGTGTTTTTGTAATTGTATATAATAATATTTCAGCAAAGGGGGAGAGATGCCATATTAAAAAAAAAAGATATTTCTGTTTACATGCAAGGCCTGCTGTTGGGGGATGCTACAACATAAGCAAGGGCTGTTCATTTCTGCAAGATCCATCAGCATTGGATGTGTGTTAATAATACAAATATGCAACCTGAGTTGACCTGAGTCAAATTCCATGTTGGTTCCCTAGGATCTATGTTTGTTGAAAGACACTACAGGAGATCCGTGTAACCTACCTTACCACTCTGGACCTAGGAAGGCCACCGATGTATATGGGATCTTTGTCTGACCTATTCAAGTCTGATGCTGTACCAGGTGGTTCACCCTGTTGGTCTCTCGATTACTGGAGTTGAAGGAGTCCATAACAGCTAGGAAACCTTTGCAACAGTTATGTTAAATGTTACAAATTAGGTATGTAATACAATAGCTGTAATTAAGATATGTTACATAAAATGACAGCAGTACAAATGGTGTCCAATTTATAGCAGTTGTACAGTTAAATGTGTTTTATACTAAAATAAAAAAAGATGTTATACTTACCTGTTCTGTGTAACAGTATTGCATAGAGCAAACCCCAAACTTTCTCCTCTGGGGTCCCCTGCTGACAATCTTGGCTCCTTTTCTCACTCCCAAGCTGGGTTGCATGGTCCATTGACACACATCGTGGTTCAGCCCCACCCCCTTCTCTCTGCTCAGTGAATTTGACTAACAGTGGGAGCCAATGGCTCCCTCTGCTCTCAGCCAAGCCTGTGAGTGAGAGGAGGGGGGAGAGAAGATCTGCAGACAAGCACAGCGCTGGATTGATACAGGACTCAGGTAAGTGTTTAGGTATTGGGGGGTACCAAAAGGTTTTTTTACCTTAATCCATAGAATGCATTACGGTGAAAAATATTTGGCTTCAGAACCACCTTACTAATGAATTAACAATACACAATGATATATTTCTTTAGGATAGTATAATATTATAATACAATATATTCTTATATCACTATGCATTTGAATCTAATTTGTATACATCCTAATATGTAGAGTACTTCATGATCACAGCATTGCATGATGTACTGAATAATGACGTTCACAATATATCAAAATCATACCTTGCTTTTTGGTCCGTTGGAAAGCAACTTTATACCAGTTGCCATCATTGTAACGTCCGTCAGTTGTTAATATCAAAGGTCCTGAACCAAGTTCCACTGACAGTCTCAACTTTCCATCCACTATTTCCAGGGACAAGAAATCTCTCTAATAAAGGGAAAAGGAATGATATTCAGCAGAACTTAGTCAGAATACAAAAAGTATAAAACTTTTCTGATTCAACCAAAGCATTTGAAATATTTCATGTTGAGCAGTTCTAGAATTTTATAAAATGGCACCAATGCCTACAGCAGTTAACAACTGCCTGTAATTTCCAGGAAGCACAAGCTACATTTAGGAAAGCTATTGCATCGCTCAGCTCTCAGTAAGGCTACATTTGCATTTGTGGAAGGTAAAATCAGTGTTTATACGGGTCGAATGTTTGATTACTCCCAGGGGCGGACTGACCATTTGGAAACTCAGGCACTGCCCAAGGGCCCGGGGTTAGTAGGGGGCCCCATGAGATGCCCCTGGTACCTTTTTCATAGGCTTTTTTGAGTTTGGGCCAGGATACGGGCCCCATGATCCCCTATTGCCCGGGGCCCCCATGAGTTGTCAGTTCGCCCCTGATTACTCCCCAACTCTTCTGAGACAAAGCTACCTAAATAGCAATTAGTTACAATAATGATTGAAAAGAAAACATCTTCAATGTAAAGAGAATTGTGCATATTATTATTATACCCACTTGATAATGAACATTGTGGAATCTATTTATAAAGCACTGCTTGGACAAATATCACGCACATTTTGGGCGTAATGTCTGTAATAGATTCATTCATATATTCCAGGATATTTTGTCATTGAGGTAGTTCAGAAAACTATATTGCATTTGGACCACCAGATGGAGCTGACGATCATAGGAATTAATCTATTACAGAAATTGCGGCCAACCCTGCATGAATATACATGACATCTGTCCAATGATTGTTTTGTAAATAGATCTGAAGGTTAATATGTAAAGGGTATGCAGTGCTAGAAAATGATAAGATGAATGATATTGTGATTTACAGATATAGAGATCAACCAAATCACAACAACATATAGCAGTCCTTGTATTGAGACTCATATATTCAAATAGTCAGGAACAGCAGAACCTATAGTGATAAGTTCATAAATCAATGCTATTTGATATAAGAGGTATGAGATACACCAGGTGACATCCGCAGCAATTGGTGCGTTCCAAATCCAGATTCGTATATATTCAGAAAATCTAGTATAATTATGCGCTTACCACAGGGACATACAAAATGAGCGTTATATGTGTAATATCAAGTAGACCATCGGTGGACATCAGGGCCCCATCAGCAGTAGAAACAGCATCCGGTCATCAGGGATGGTAAATCTCACTCTGGGGTGATCTCAGTCTTCCTGGTGGGTCCAACGTAGCTCAAACTCCCGATAGCACGCTTCCAAAAAACGCTTCACCTTGCAATGGCGGGCGGAGACATAAGGAATTTCAGCCGCATCAATGCGTGTGATGCGTTCGTGCGTGCGAAGTGATATTACACATACAACTCTCATTTTGTATGTCCCTGTGGTAAGTGCATAATTATACTAGATTTTCTGAATATACGAATCTGGATTTGGAACGCACCAATTGCTGCGGATGTCATCTGGTGTATCTCATACCTCTTATATCAACTAGCATTGATTTATGAACTTATCACTATAGGTTCTGCTGTTCCTGACTATTTGAATATATATGAGTCTCAATACAAGGACTGCTATATGTTGTTGTGATTTGGTTGATCTCTATATCTGTAAATCACAATATCATTCATCTTATCATTTTTTAGCGCTGCATACCCTTTACATATTATTTCTTTTGAGGTACTGAGGATTGCCTTATATGCTAGCAGCTCTCTCTGTGTTTTGCGCTCACTTACCTTTGTTTTGATTTATATATCTGAAGGTTAACTGGGTTTTGTATTAACAGTAGTTTTCTAGTCAGACTATCTATTTAAGCTGTAACAAAACTATTGAGTCTTGATTTACTGGAAAATATGCATAGCTTCCAATTGTCCCTGATTTCGAGGGACTGTCATTTACTTCTCATCTGTCACTCATTTTGGTCTGATCTATATAGTTGTATATAAAATGTACTATTTATCTTTCAAAAAGTGTTTAAACCTTACCAAATGGTGCTAAACCTTTCATCCAGTTACTAAATTGTTGCATTTGTAAATTTCAAAAGCCAATATAAAAAGGAATAGTAGTGGGAAAAATAAGCACTTGTGGGTTTAATTAATTTTTTTTTGCATAATTTTCCTTTAAGGGGGCATGGTGGGGGGGGGCGTGCCCTATGCCTACGTACTTTACAGAGAGAATTTTTGACCTACATTTTGTGGAATTTGTAAGGCAACCTTGAAGCAGGGGCGGAGTGACCATTCGAGCACTCAGGCCCAGGGTCAGTAGGGGGACACATGAAATGCCCCTGGTACCTTTTATAGGCTTTTTTGGGTGTGCTTTGAATGTGGGCAAAGACACAGGGGTCCCATGATCCCCTATTGCCCAGGGTCCCCATGAGTTGTCAGTCCGCCCCTGCCTTGAAGTATATACAGAGGAACATATATTGAATATATGAGCTATATAGTTTAAAAACTAATTTTGAAATAAAAATCAAAAGTAATTGCTGACATTTAACTCACCACAAACTGCATAGCAATGTAACAGTGTTCAAGTTGAATATTCTAGGCTTAGTCTTGTTCAGACCACAACCCTCCAGGGGATCAGCGCCGGGCACAATATATGTGCTTCCTCCCAGGATAGAGCTAGATACTGAAAGCTGTGTTTTATAATGCAAATAGTGGCCTTTTGTAGGTTCCAAAGTGGGCGTGATGTATGTATTTCCTCCCATGTGTGGAGCATGTCTGCTGGAGAGGAAGATGGTGCCCATCATGTGGTTCCAGGCGTTTCTCTCAACTGCGCCATGCGCATTGACGTCACATCCGACTCCGGAATGACACACTTCTGGAGACCAGATGGGACGCCATGTTGGAGACCGCTGCCAACATGGAAAATAATGCGGACTGCACATAAGTGCATGAAAACAAAGGGGATGAAAAAACTTGCCCCACTGCTCTCGTTGCAGTTTATGGTGAGTTAAATGTCAGCAATTACATTTGATATTTATTTCAAAAATAGTTTTTAAACTATATAGCTCACATATTCAGTATATTCCATTGTTGTTTTAGACTATATAATTATCGTCATGGGGAAATATGTAACTTACCTTGATTTTCTCCTTAATTCATGTGTCCATTAAAAGGACACACATTATCATGTTCCCTATAATCCCACAAATGTATATATTTGATGCCCTGGTGTATCTTTAAGATATTATTACATATAGAATTAGACATACATTAGACATACTGTATATATTTTATTATGGCAGCGCTTGTGATGTGGCACCTGTGGTCCTTGCACGTCAGTTGATGACCTCAGTTATGGAAAAAATGTGCCTTCTAAACACAGTGAAGCATCTTTTTTTTTTTACTATTTTTTGGTGGCTATGTAAGTTATGTATCCCATATGGCTAATTTATTGCTATGTAATTGTAAGGGTATGTACCGATAATTGATTATTGATAATAATTGTTATAGAGTGGTATCCTTACCCTGAGGAATAATCTGTATGAATGTATTCGAAACATGTTGGCTCCCAGGCTGAATATATCTGCATTCAAAGTTGAGGTTGCAAGATGGAAATCAGCTCTTGAGGGATACCACTAGATACATATTGTAAAAACCACAAATCTGTGTACTGAATGTTTTGTCAAAAAAAAATGTTGCTCTTTACATTGGTCAGCATGTACTGCCTACCTGATATACATCAATGTGTCAGATAAAATAAATTTGTTTAAATAAAATGTTGATCTTTTTCATAATTGGTTTCTCTGTTCAAGGTTGCCTTAAAAAATCCCACAAAAAATGTAAGGCAAAAATTCTCTTCGTATGGAAATAGGGATGATGGCAACCACACCCTAAGCTACAGTGGTTGTCAGCGGTCTATTGTCAATAGGTGGTCCGATCGGGTCTGCCTAAAGAACCGACAGGTGGACCCCATCGATCCGCTTGTGTGAAAGGGGTCTAAGAAATGAGAGTGTATTATCAGCTGGTTTCATTCTCACTACATACGCAAACTGTTAATTATTGATTGGCCACAGCTTACACCTCAAGTCACCCACAACTCACAGAATAAACGCTTGATAATTGAGCTGATAAACCACACTGATGTATCTGTTCATGCTCATTATCCTGCTCATAGGAGTGAAATTGATTCAGCAGAAGAGAAACAAAATTCTGTGGCAGATTTAATCCCTGGGGTATTTTTGAGTAACCCAACAAGATCCCTGTGTGTTTAACGGATACTGCTGTGATATAAAACATACTGGCTTCTTACATATAGACCACTAGTGGAATTGTGTCTGTAGTATGATATTACTGTAATGTCTGATTTTAGACCACACTAAGAATGCAAGCTATGTGAATTTTCACTTTAATGGATCCTCAGTGAGCTAACAGAAGCATTTTCATGTCTTACCATCATCTGTACAGAAGATTGAATTGCTTTATCTCTAGAGAATAAAATATGCTGGGTGTATATTATCATGATGGTATACACCCAACATATTTTAAGCTCCAAAGATGAAATGATTCAATCTTTTATGTTAGTGATAGTAAGACAGGAAAATTTTTAATTATCCGTAATAACTACCACTGTATATATGAAAGGAAATTTGTATTAAAAAAAACAGCTGCTGATCGCCTTCTGAAAATGCTAGTTGCCTTGCTGTTTTTGGCTTCCATTCCATCCCACTCTCTGACTTGGAACAGGCATATATTAACCACTTCCCATCCGGCCCATGTAGATAAATGGTCAGACGGGAGTGCTGCCGAAGCGGGTTGACTTCTAAATGTCACCCGTATTTACTGCCTGTGCACGCTCCCTGGGAGCGTGCGGCACTGCGATCGGTGCTTGCTGTGTCCAATCGCTGTACGGGACCTCTGTGTGAGGTCCTGATTCATGTGATCACTGCTTGGCCAATCAGTGATCACATGAATAGTAGTAAACAAGATGTCACATCCTGACATCATTGTTTGCTACGTGTGAAATCTGTGAATGATCACAGAGTTCACATGGTACAAGGCTATTCACAACAGCCTTGTACCATGTGACAAGCTGTGACCAATCAAAATGATAATTTTGCTTGGCTATAAACTAATTTGGGTTATTTTTTTGTTTTTGCTAAAAAAAGATAGCTGAATACATTTTGGCCAGATTTATGAAGAAAGATTATTTATTTGCAAAATGTTATAAGAAAAACATTTTTCTTTTTCAAAATTTTTGGACGTTTTCATTTATATAGCAAACAAAATAAAAATTCCAGTGGTGAATAAATACCACCAAAATACAGTTTTATCTGTCTCAAAAAAAGCTATCAAATTCATATGGGTACAGTGTTGCATGACCACGCAATTGTCATTCAAAGTGTGATAGCGCTGAAAGCTGAAAATTGGCCTGGACAGGAAGGGGGTGAAAGTGTCCAGACTTGAAGTGGTTAAGTGAAGTCAGGACTACTAATCTACATATTTGTGCTAAAAAAATAAAATAAAATATTGAGGATCTGTTCACACTGCAAGCGTTTCACAACACACATTCATGCATGTAATATATGTCATGTTGTGATTCATTGTTAGTGAAACCCAAATGAATTAACACAAAGCACCTTTGACGCATGTTTTGCAGGCATGTTAATGCATTACAATGTGTTTTAGCGTGCTGTGTAGAATACTGCATGTCCGATTATAATGTTTTGGTAGCAGGGGCGGACTGACAACTCATGGGGCCACCGGGCAATAGGGGATCATGGGGCTCTTGTGTCCTCGCCCACACTCAAACCACACCCAAAAAATCCTATGAAAGGTACCAGGGGCATCTCATGGGGCCCCCTACTGACCCTGGGCCCTCGGGCAGTGCCGGAGTTCCCAAATGGTCAGTCCGCCCCTGCTTGGTAGCCTATTAATTTCAATGGGCTACCTTAATGCAGCATGTGTGAACGTGAGACATAACGTCATTATTGCAATGCACCAGAACAGGCAGGTGTGAAGCCAGCATCAAGCATTTAGACTGACATGACAGCCAGGAATCCAGCAATTTCAGGAAGGAAGGATAGCAATTGCAAACTACATATTCTCTCTATATAGATTTCACATTAGCACTAGTGTAGAACCTTGCAAAAACAAAACACAAAAAAAACAAAAGAAATCAGGCTCATCAAAGCATTGAATTACCGTTTCATTAGAGGCAAGATAAAGCAGGAGACCATTTGGTGAGAATGTCCGAAAATGTATGACTATCTGTGTTGATGTGGATCGCATGGTCTTCTCCACTATAGAATAACCACTGCCATCAAAGTAAAAAGACGTATCTTCATCCTGAGGGCTGCAAAAATCAACACAATTAGAATAAGATATTAGGAACAAACACCATGACGGAGCCAGTGCTGGGCAAATCCCACTTCTGATTTATAGATTTATAAAAGCGTTGGCAGATAACTGACCTAAAACACCCGGACTACTTTGTACAATGATTTTTACATAAACAAAACAATATTTCCAATATGGAGCTTTGTACTTTGTGTCTTCATTTATCAGTAAATAACCAAAAATTTCCATTCTGTGTTGTAACAGACTGCCATCTGCTGGTTCAAATTGAAATTGCATGTTTCATACACCAATATTAGATATTCGTTAGCATTATTTGCATCTTCAGCGCTTTCCTGCTCGTTATATTAGGCATTATTCTCTGCATACTCCAAAATGTTTTACCAGTGATGTACTTTTTTTCTCTAATAATTTTTATTCAATCCAGTGATGTACTTTTATATGAAAAAAAAATACGTTAAGGAATTTAAGGCCTCATTCACACGGGCATACCTATCTGTACACCTATGCAAAGGGCCATCTTTGCCTACACCGGATGCACAGGTGTTCCGTTCTTCCACGTGCAGGTAGTCCCATTCATGTCTGTTGGGATGCAGAGGCTGCACAGATACAGCTGTTGTTCCCAATTTAACAGCTGTGCAGGTCCCTGAACACAGAAAGCGTGCATTTGGGGACATGCACCCGCATGGCTGTCAAAAGATCCACTGCTTGCAGGAATGGGACTGCTTTCACACAAATGCACAAACACCTGTGTATCCCGTGCAGGCAGAGATGGCCCCTTGCATGGGTATACAGATAGGTATACCCATTTGAATGACACCTAAGAGTCTATTTTGACATGCTTTTGTTCACCTCACACAGATTTTTCATTCCCACACCAGACTATGTCAGAAAGAGGTCAACAGCAGGACAAATGCACCAGTCAAGGAATATTAAATGATCTCAGAAAAAGTATTTTCAACAAGTCCAAAAATAAAAAATTCCAGGTATCAGAAGCAACATTTACTTTACCCCTTTATGGCCCCACTGTCACAAGAAGTGCTCAAAGCAGCTATGTTTTCTGCTTTTGCTGGGCCTGGTATAGCTATCTAAAGTATTCTGGTCCAATCACTCGTGGTCTGACAGTGCAAGATGTACCAACAATCAAACAAATTATGGATTTAGTATACGAATATTAACCAAGAGCTTAAGTTGATATTCCTTGTTGTCTTTTTTTCAGAGTATAGATAAACTGGCATTGCGGTTCACTACTTGAACGGAAACATTTTTAATCTAATTAGACAAAGTTCACAAAGTTTTCATGAAATTGCACAACAATTGTTTCATTGCATTAATGTACGTATGTGAAAATTACTGGAAAAATTATTGGTAAACAGACAAATATCCAGCAAACTGATTTTACAACATAATGGATAATCATGCACAATTGCAATATGAATTTCTTAAAAAATCAACATCACTAGCACATAAAATAATAGCAAACTCTGGGAACGGCAGGGTTATAAAATGCTAAAGTGCTGCGTTCCAGAGCCCCAAAACACAATAGAATAAACAGTGTGCAGTATTCCAATTTTCTAAGAGTCACTGAAATTGTCACTGGACACACCGGCTCCCATTAGGCAGCACTCCACAAAACAGGGACCCTTGGGAAAAATGAAAAGGACCCAGAGTTGAAAATCCACACACATATAATACAATGAAAGCACTAAACAAACATCCAAAAAGTCCAAGGTTACTTTAATGATAAAAAATGATTTATAGTAGAAGAGAATCAATGTGTTTTTGGAGCCAAACACATTCCCTCTTTTTCAAGGCTTAAGACATCTGACTGTGCTTAAACAGCCTCAGATGAGCAGATACCAAATACAACATCACTGTGGCTTACTGTTTGGAAAGTTTCAGGAGACCAAGGTTACACCAGTGTCAGTGAATGCAACAAAAAAGGTGATGAATGGGAATGTGTTTGCCCCTGAAATGCCCTGGCTCCATTCTGCTATGAATACATTTTATATTTAAATTACCTTGGACTTGGACATTTGTTTGGTGCTCTCATTTGATTGTATGTATGTGGACCCCAAAACACAGGGCATTCTAGTCCAATTACTAGGTTTGCTTTATGGGTGCTATGCTCTTGTTTCCTGTACTTCACTATTGGCTTTCCAGGGCCCTACGAATCAACATTAAGGCATGTAGATAAGCTGGGGCCAGTACTAGGAAGCTTGGTTGACAGTTGCAGTAAAGAGTCCATTGTGTTTAGGGAGACCTGGGATTCACCCAACACAGAAGCCCTGATATATTGTCACTTCTAATGTATAAGTTTAGTTTCAAATGCTGCAAAATACATAATGAATGTGGTTGTCTGTAGAGGGAATTGTTCCCAATAATAATAATATGGCAGGACATTGCATTGTGTTAAGTATTGACTTTAAGAAGTACCTTAGCACTTTACTATGTAGGCTCCAGTGAATACTACCAACAGTCCATCTGATTATAACATACCCTTGGCTTGCTATAAAGTGCAAATAGAACCATTTGATTCCCTTGTAGTTAATGCAGTACACCAATCACAATTAACAACAATTACCAAAGACTAGTTGGCTGACATCACTACAATACATACCTTCCATAGCATCCAGCACATATGCCCTGCCTTTCAACATAGTTCCATAAACCAATAGATTTTCCATTCAGGAATGCTTCTCCCATACATCCCTTAAAATCCATTGTTTGAAGTGTTGGTGACTTCTAGAACCAAATAATAAATTCATAATTATTAGATCTCATCATTGATATGCGTATATCTCTCTATTAATCCTTTTATAAATAAGTAAGCCAAAAGGAAAAAGAAAATTGCTTGAGTTACTAGAAATATGAAAAGCCTGATTCAGCATTGTTCTACACTTTGATAACGTTTCACTGTAGAACAGTAGTGAATCAGGCTTTACTTTAATATTTTAGAAACAGGTGGTAAATTAGCCTTTGGTTGTGAACTTGGAAGGTCTGTGGATGGCTACATAATTTTATATCTATGTTTTATAAACTATTTTGGTTTACAGCACTATTAATAGCTAAGCTGTCTGCTACTGAACATTTTTGTTCCCAGGCAATCAAAGATCATGAGCATATAATACCTGTAAGCCATCTCCAAAGCCTCCAATAAACATTAATGTGGAATTATCTACATGAAGAATGGAAGAGGTCCCTGGTGATGATGAGGATTTGGTTGATGTCTTCTGAGAAGTATTGACTTCTCTTCTACAGCCAGTGTTCCTGATCTACCAAACCTATTGAAAGACATGAAAGATTATACATCAGCTTTTTCAGTAGTATATTATACTGATATACAAATCTAATGTCTGCTTACACAAAGATTTGAATCTCTACAGCAAAGTTCTTTCTTTGGAAGGGAAAATGTGTCTGTGAAGTCCTTGCAAGCATTGGATGAACTGGACACATAACTACCCAATATCATGGTGCATGACTGGCCAAAGCTGAATAATAATAAGAATCTCTCTCTCTCTCTCTCTCTCTCTCTCTCTCTCTCTCTCTCTATATATATATATATATATATATATATATATATATATATATATATATATATAAAAAACATCTACCCTATGCTAAAACAATACAAGGAGTTTGAGATTTGGAATGTCTTCGGATAAATAATAATTTTACCTTGTAGCATGTATTTTATGCCATTTGTTGTTGTTTATTTGTATGTCAGGATCCTCAAGTCTTGTTGCTCCAGTGCCTAAATCCCATAGGAATGAAACTTGACCCTGTCTCATCTCCACTGCCATAAAGTCAGCCTGCCACATAGCGAAAGACAACAGTGTTAATGGCAACATAATGGCTTCTGATATTTAAAAGAGAAGCATGAATTAATGTAATAAATCACTTCAATCACCCAAGAAATATTATTTAAAAGTATATTGCGAGACAAGAAATTGTGCATATTTGAGTGTGCATACTACAAAACTGGAAAAGTAGACAAATTCTTCAGCAGTCAGACATCTAATTTGTATCACAGTGATGCTCCAATGATGCTGCCCTCCTCAGATAGGTGAATCTTGACAGAAACTGTAAAACCAAACAGGAGGGTGCAAACATCTAGTGTGTTACCAAAGACCTTTAAAACTGTTAAAACCAAAAGCCAAAAACATACTCACAAGGTATGAAAATGACAAGTGTGGCATAACACAATGTGATGATCCAGCAATGGAACAGCGTCACCAGGTCCAAACTGACTGCCAAATAAGCAGGTTAATGCATTTCAGAGGATGTACCCCCTTCAACATAACTTAGCGGAAAGGGGTAAGTCAATTGAAATGCATTAGTCTGCCTATTTGGAAGTCAGTTTGGACCTGGTGATGCTGTGCCATTGCTGGATCATCACATAATGTTTTGCCATGGTTGTCTTTTTCATACCTTGTGCGTATGTTTTTGGCTTTTTTTTTAATGCGCTAGATGTTTGCGCACTCTTGTTTGAATTTACAGTGAATATTACAAATGAATAGATGCTGAGATCAGTTGATACATAAATATTAGTTTAATATCCCTGACCCAATGTTCTATTTGTATTGAAACTCCAATAATTTAATAGCTGAGAGAAATTTGGTGCCATAAAACCAAATTAGTCTAATTGTAGACCTAATTTTGCAAGCAAAAAATTGATGTGTCCTACTTATTTTCTGGAAATCAACTTGAGCACTATGGTTCTTTTGAATACAGATGTCGGATAATTCCTATAAATTAATGTTCCTAGCATTATTTGGAGCAATGCATACAAAACTTTCCTAGAACGCATGGACTCACCTTATTATTACTACCCATATAAAATAGAAGGTTGTCAGGCTCACTGGTCTTGACATTTAATGTCAGAGTGTTGAAATTTGTTGAACGGATCTCTGGATGGTATGAGCGCACACAATCTCTGTCTGCTGAAACAGCTACTTTAATCTGAAAAAATAAATCAAATAAAAGACTTAAGAACCACTCAATAAAATGCACCCTTCCACAGACACCTAATTAAGATAACAAAAGTTAATTTGTATGTCTAGAACAGGGTTTCTCCACCAGGTTTCATCTAGAGTTAGCTAGGGGTTCCTTGGGCAAGTATCAATTTCTGCCTCTCAGGTAAGTTCCCACTGATACCATTGATCCTTTAAGCTATCTGTAAGGGGGTAATTCTTCTCAATGACCACAATTGTAAGGAGCATTCTTCCCACTGATCTTAGCAGGGGTTCCCTGAGACCGGAAAGTTATTTCAAGGGTTCCTCTGTGTTGAAAAGGTTGAGAAAGGCTGCTTCAGAGAATGTATTGCTTTTTAGTTTTGGGTAGAACAGGACACCGTGAAACCTCCAGTCAGTTTTTTTGCTGTCTGTGGCCCCAACCAGAATATTTTTCTGCACTTCTTGACATGGCAATAACATTGACACCAGGACAGGATGGAGTGGAAATCACTCTAAACATCGACACAACAACAATAAAAACATGGGGAGGCTAGAGTTTCCCTGTTAACATTTCATTGTTCTCTATGTCCCCACTGGAGATTTACCCTATAGGGAAATTTCCCTATACACAGACAGGAAAAAACTTGACAGCAGTTATGTTTCACTGGCTGAATTTTGATCCATGTATAGCTTGCTTTAATCCACTTGAATAAAGAAAGACCGCTGTAAGCACCCCCAGCAATATTATAGTTTGTTTAACCCTAGTAACTGTTACTTTTGCTGGACAATTTTGCATGTATACAAATGCAGAGGCCATATAAAATAAGACATGTGAACAAAAAACAAAAACAAAAGAAATCATATACTATATAGTATCATTAAAGAGATTAACCACATAATGTTAACAGAAAACAACATTTTTTGACAATAGTGGTCTTTAAAACTACAGCAGAGAGCCAGGTTGCCTTTGACCATCCTTACTTACTAATGAAGGCTAATCAATGATTTAAAGACTTCGGACAAGAGTGGAGAGAGTGTTAGGCACTGCCATGCTAAACAAAATAGCTGTCTATGGCAACACTTACAGAGGCCTACCAGCTACCCTGCTACAACACTACTGATTTCCAAATGTTAATGAGCTAAGGTAAATAGATCAAGAAGGTATAGATTATTTTCTTATATTCATGTACAGTCCTCAAAAAATAAAAAAGACAAATGTATTCTTAGACATTAGATTCCAGACTGATATCTTCATTTTCAACAAGCTTGACAAATTAGCTGCCTTTGGCATTCAAAGGCTCCCTAACTGGCCCATCTGGAATTCTTTCAATGAGTGCCCAGTGCTCTCCTGCATTAGTCATTTGACATGTGCAGTGATGCTGCCCACAGCTTATAACTGCTTGCAGCATACAAGTGTGCATTTTGCTAATGACCAACCACTATTTTATATTTATGGGAGCCTCGAGGCAGAGAAAGGATCAATAACAACACTTGAAAATAACGGTATTATGTTTCCACATACATAGGTTTTATTAGTGGGAAAGCTGCATTACAGAAACACATTGAGCAGAGATGGTGTGCTAGGGCTTCACAAGTTTCAACTTCATTTTGAAAGTCAAAAGCTTGGAATATTCAAGATACATAAAAAGTTTCTTTGGGAAGGACTTGCTTGAATGGTAGTTTTTAGCAATCTGCCTGGAAACACACAGTAACAAATATATAAACCAAAGCTAATCCTTTATTTAGCTCAAGATTAACCTCTTTAAAGGGTAGGTCAGAAGTGCTATTTTTAGGTATCAATGAAGTCTAATAGATAGAGTCCATCTTTAGCTTACTAACTGTCTTGAATACTCCAAGAGCAAGATTTCTCGCCACTTGGTTAATTTGGGCATTCCTGCTCATCTTTGTTTGCAGCATTTAAAATCAATAGCTTGGAAAATTTTAAATAGAAAAACCATTGTTTAAGATCAACCTCTTAAAGGGTTAGTCGAGTCACAAGTGATATATAATTATAGATGAAGTCTGAAAGGTAAAATCAGTCCTTATCTTATTAAATGTTTTGGATACTCTAAAAGCAAGATCTCGTGCCACCTGACAGTTTTGGGTATTCCTGATCAAATTTGTTTTCACAGCACTTACTGTTCAATTCTATATAATATAAAAGATGAAAAAAACACATAGGGAGCAGATCACCTCATAGTGGCTACAGCAGGTGTGCAGATCTAGGAACTCAAGTACACAGATCTCACCGGTCCTTAAGAGATTTAAAGTGGTTCTAAAGGCAGAAGGTTTTTTTTACCTTAATGCATTTTATGTATTAAGGTAAAAAGTTATTTTGGGTGCAGCTCCCCCCTCAGCCCCCTTATACTTACCTGAGCACCATCTTGATCCAGCAATGTGCATGAGAACTGGGCCTCTCCCGAATCTCACTCTCCTCATTGACTCACACAGCAGAGGGGGCCATTGACTACTGCTGCTGTCAAACACAGCCAGTGAGCCAATGAGGAGAGAGTGGGGGGCTGGACCAAGCCAAACTTTGTGTGTGAATGGACAATTTCCATATACAGATCTCAAGTGCCCCCATAACAAGAGGCTTGCTATTGGGGGCACTCAGCAGGGGGGAAGAGCCAGAACCGCAGGTGGGGGACCCAAAAAGAATATATTCGGGACTGCGTTGTGCAAAACCATTGCACAGAGTTGGTAAGTATAACATGTTTGTTATTTAAAAAAAAAGATATAACCTTTAGAATCACTTTAAGAGAATGTCAGGCAGTTTACCTCTCCAGTTCCACCAAAAATGTAAATAGCTTAGGGTGAACTGACTCTTCAAAGCATAAAATATACAGGATGCTTTATTGTGAAGATCTGCACTTACTGATGCCGCTTGCTTCCGTGCTTGATTAATCAGCTCCTTTATTTCAGATAAATTTCTGCTTAGATTCTCTTCTAGCAACTTCATTGGTTTCAGTCTATCCAACAGAATGTTAGCTTGTGTCTCCACTTCTTTAATTCTGCTCTCTGCTGATACAGCTAAAATGACAGGACAAGATATTAGATTTTAGAAAGCCGTACATATTCTGATAGCAACAACGATGTAAGGATTTCAATTTGCGGGGATGAGACAGAGGATGAATACAAATACTTGCTCAGAATTTCTATAGTGGTGGAAAACTTTTGTGTGATTAGTTTCATGGGATGTGTGCATGTCTGTCTGCTCTCTAATGGATAGGGTCATATGACAGTAGGCAGTGGTTGGGTGTGATCATACCACCTTCACATATTATTTATGATTTTAAATATAAAGTCATACAATTTCCATACCAGCCTTTGAGGAGTCAACCAGAAGCGCATTAGTTCTCTGCAATGTGTCATTCACCCTGGACAATGTAGATGTGGCATTTGTCAGCTTGTGGCTGAAATTCATGATATGGCCCAGGGTACCAGCTGCAGTAGAACTGGCAGACAAAGCTAGATCTTTAGCCTCTTGAAGTTTAGAACTTGTATCTGAAAAAAAAAAATAAAATCATTGCTTACATGGCTTTTTGTGCTTTCATTTTCATAGAAAAAGTACCCACAGAAGCATCATGATACCAAGGTAATATTAATGTTTCGTACATCAGTACAAATGGCAGCAACCATTTATGCTGTGCTTACATCTACATTACTCCCTGCTCTCAAGGAGCTTACAATCTAAGGTTACTGTCTTACATGCTAGGACCAATTTGGAAATCAGCAAAATTAACCTACAAGCATGTATTTGGAGTATGAGAGGAAACTCAAACAAGCACAAGGAGACCATGAAAACCCCGTGCAGAAATTGTCCTGTCCAGTATTCAAACTGAAGACCACAGTGCTGCACGGAAGAAGTGCTACACACTGTTGCTCAGGAACTTTTGCTTGAAGTGATTTCTTGAAAATTATCATGCGCAGAGAAGGACCTTTCCACCAAGTTGTAAAATAATTTTGATGGACATCTTTTACTCTTTTTAGTTGTTAAAGAATGATGTGATTGTCAATTGTGTGTGTTTTCAAGTGAACAGCCACCCTGATAGTCTCTTAATTGCATTTTAAAGTTTCAGTAGTGCAGAAGTAAAAAAAAAAAAAAAAACAGAATTCTAGAAAGGTGAATTCTGATTGGTCAAAAGGAGATACAGCACAACAGTGAACTAAGATACTAAAAAAAGCTTTATGTCACCTAATCCTACATACTGTACTGTCAGCCATCATAATGCAGAACTCTATTTCACCATTCTGGCTGCAGCTAATATATTTCATGTACAGTAGTTGTAAAGCATATATCAAAGATGTAAGGATGAAGTTAAACAGAAAGTATTTAGATGTAAGAATGAAGTTGTAAGAATGAAGTTAAACAGAAAGTATTTAGATTTCTTAAGTCTTTGATCATGGGATAGCAACACACTAAGCATTTTTTGTGATATGTCTAAACACAAAACATGGGGTTGGGAGCCAAGTATGAGTATGCTAATGGTGACTTTATAGCTTTTGTAAATGGCGCTTAGCAGACAGCTTAACAGAACTATTCTATCACTGTACATGTACTAAGTTTTAAAGTGGTTGTAAACATCAGACATGAAATATGAACAAAGCATATTCCTCTATAGTGTGTAACTGTCTCAGTCCAGAGCACTAAGTGTTATTTCTCTCTGCTGCCTTGTTCCTCTGTTATCTGTATGAGTCACTTCTGACATCTTTTCCTGACACCAAGAGAAAAAAAGTGATAGGGGAGGGATCTCCAGCAGATGGACAGCCTCAGTTCTGTTCCTATGTGTTGTCTGAAGGGGGTGTGTCCCTTCCCTCCAATCAGCTCTCCACATCAGTTCTACAAAGTGTAACTTCAGCTCTCCACCCCCCCCATTCTCTGATAGTTCAGACCAGCTTTATAAATTCTGCACTTTGAATGGCTGTAGAGAATGCTGCAGATAAACAGGTAGAACTCATGGAGGATGATTTGTTTCATCTCCATGTATCACCTGAGGTAAATCCTTTCAATGGGTATATGTGAGGGTTTACAACTACTTTTAAGTGTAAATTCTGCCATTTTGTTTAGGAAGCAAGAAAAATGGTTGCTACTGGATCCAAAATTATTTTTAAACTATGCAAAGTATGAAAATGTACGTTGCTCACCAGCACCATCTAAAAAGTTCTAGACAACATAACTGCAGACAAACACCCACACTGCACACACTGCAGTTTAAACAAAAATGGTACTAAGGTCCAAAAGTCCATTCATTTTATTGCATATGACTATCTATTGCCAAATGGTAACATACACATGAGTTTTGGTTGGATTGTAATCGTCTTTCACAATTACTGTAATTATTCAATATTGTTGTTAGCAACATAGTGGAAGCAGGAGCGTGGGTATTCATATTTCATTGCAGCGGGGATAAGGAACCTGTCTGGTAATTTCACATTATTGACGTCTGTGTTTCAAATCTCTGGTTAGAAGTTACTGTAGTTTTTTTCTATCTGCTGCATCTGCTACAGCTTTACAATCTTTTATTCCTCCGCCTCTGTCACACTGCTTGTAGATTCTCTAATGGCGATCAACTTGTAACTATAGCTGTTTTCAATTTCCAATTAGATGTAGTCATAGTCTTTTATCCAAAAAATTATCCGCTCAGGTATTCATAGAAATTTCCTACTTACTTGGTGATGCATGCTAGATTACAGATATTATCTCACCTCAACATGCATCAAAGCAGTTTGTGTGGTCCACAGATGACCAGTAAGTGGCAGTAAAATATATGTCCCTTATCCACGTTGGGTTGATAATGAATTTCCATTCTGCCACTACTATACTAACAACAGCATTGAGCATTTAGCCGTGAAAGACGATGAACATGTAGCACTTGATAATTAGACCAAGATAAAGGTGAATGTCACCACTTGGCCATAGATACTTTATTTTACTGCTATGGAATATCTGTGAGATGAATGGATCAAGCCCCAGTGAAGCATTTAACTATTTTTTACTCATTTTGGACTGTTGTACCATCTTTGTTTAAACTGTGGGGGTATGTGGAATTTGTGTGGTTGTAAGGTATAATGCATACATATTTCTTAACTCGCCTCTATTAGGACTTTAAAGGCAACCCAATGAATACATTTATAAAGATATGTATTTTTGGATGTATGATTTTGCAGTACAGTCATATATAGGGCTGTTTTTTAATATTTTAAATAAAATGTATACCTTTTTTATATATATAATTTTTTTGTACTATTGATTTGTTGGGTTGCCTCTTAAGTCCTAATAGAAATATGTAAACAAATAGGAGGGATAGTGGCAACCCCTAACCTGAACTGATTTGGGCAGATAACCTTTGTGTCTGGTATAATGATGCCCAGAATTTTTTATTCATCATGGTGAATTGATTAACCTGCCAATAATTCTATTGCTGGGAAACAAAGCAAGAGGAAATCTGTAATCTCAATGGAGAAATGGGCAACAATAAAACGCTAGTGGAGGTTGTAGCCCTCACATTCTAATAATACATTTAATACTGTTGCGTAACTTTTAAAGATAAATTCTCTAATTTTTTCTCTATGGGGCAACACAGGAAGTAGGAGAAATCTCCCCAGTAGAAACAGATACAAAAATAAAAACGACAGAGATTCTAACCTTATGTGAAGTACTATTAAAATATAACAATTTAGCTGGAGCTTCACCTTAAGAGCTGAAATGAAGTGGGAAAGCAGTGCTTGCGGATTGCTCCAAAGAGCAGATAAGTCTTCCAGGGCATATGTTCATGTATGAATATATACTTTTATACTGCCCAATAAGGACAGGGCATTGTATTAATATAATAATTGGGTTTTTCAATATATTTAGATTATCATGTTCATTGTTTCTTTAAAAGAAAAAAAGGCTACAGCGCCCATATGACCTTTATATATGGTAGCAATAAAACCCTATGTAACTCTAAAGCTCTAATAGGTTGACATATTGAAGACTGCTTTTATCAATGTTTTCTTCAGTTGAGAAACATATACAAGACATTATTGTCTCAAAATAAAATGTCAGTGCAGTATATCCACACAGATCTCCAGGATAAAAGCCAATTTAATGTATCACAGCTATAAACAGAGAGATTTTTTCTTCTCCCTGCCCGCTTTCCACAGAGACTGCAAAGCTGGGAGGAAGAGGACAAGTGATATTTCACTTACCATTCGGCAGGGTTCTCAGAGAACGCAGCTGCTCATTTATCTGGCCAGTAAACACATAGGTACGTTTTTGTATCTCATCTACCTTTGTCTTCAGTCCATTTAAATGGGAGACAAGACCTATGGAAGAAAACAATGGGTTCTGAAACTGGTTTTTACCTGCTACAGGAAAGAGCTAAAAAAAAGTGATGCAATGCTCTTTTCATAAAACTGACATTGTGCTGTTCTGAAAATTAAATTATACGAGGGTAAGTAGGCATACACAATAAAGGTTGTTCATGCACAGCCAAGTTTTAGAAACACAACCAATATGAACATTGCTAGTATTAGAGTACCCATGAAGGAAGGCAAAACAACCAACCAACCACGGTGAGGAACAGGAGCCAGCAATGAATTGCTTATATATTCAGAGCTAGAAGGGAAAAATACACTGGTAACTAGGTAAAGTAGTAACTGTCAATCTCATAGAAAACTACAAAATCTGCCCTCTTGTGTCTTGTAACAGAAAGCTATAAACATCAAAATCTCTCTTCAGTTGTTGCAAACAATTCAGTGAGCTCCCGTTCTTATTAAACTTTTTTCCAAAATCTATTTCCATTAATAGGTCTTACCAAAATAATTCTGATGTAGTTCTTATTGCTATAATTTTTCATTTCTAAGGGATATTAATTAATTTAACATTCAAACTCGTAGCAACAGTTCTGAAAGTTGCATGGTGTAGTTAGTTCTGGTATTCTGTCAATCTTACAATAGTCTAAACAAATTGTGTTCACTGTAACAAGCCACTTTAATATGTCCTACAGACACAAGCATTGAAATTAATGTTCATCTTGCCTGTCCAATATATAAAGTAATACCTTGGTTTACAAACACCTCGGTTAACTTAATTTTACAAATGAAAATCCATTGAAAATAATGCCTTGGTTTCCAAATTTTTATTTATACGAAGTGTATGTTGGCGCTGATTTTTAAATGCAATTGCAAGATCTTTTTTTTCTTCACTATAGCTCACAGAATTAGCTGTCACTTTCCTCAGAATTAATGGAAACTTTGTTTCTTTTAAGAAACTAAAAGTAAACATAATTTCTCTTAACTCAGGGAAATAAACTAAAAGAAAACTTTCTTTCTTTTAGCTGGAGGTAAAGTGACAGCTGAATTTTTTGAGCTATAGTAAAGAAAAAAAAAAAGCTGTAATTACATTTAAAAACCAGCACCAGAATAAATTAAAAAATGCCGTGGGGTCCCCCCTCCCATCCATACCAAGCCCTTTGGGTCTGGTATGGATTTTGAGGGGAACTCCCACGCCAAAATAAAAAAACAAATGGTGTGGGGGGGCCCCCCTCCAAAATCCATGCCAGACCCTTATCCGAGCATGCAACCCAGCAGGTCAGGAGGGGGGGCGAGCCCCCCTCCTGAACCATACCAGGGAAGACAATGACCTCTTGTGGGGGTCTGTGGGCATCTGGAAGCCCCCTTTAGCAAGGGGGCTCCCAGAAAATTGAAGCACCCCCCCCTATGTTGAGGGCATGTGGCCTGGTATGGTCAGGAGAGGGGGGCCAGTTGCCCCCCCCCCTTTCCTGACCTGCCGGGCTGCATGCTCAGATAAGGGTCTGGTATGGATTTTGGGGGGACCCCACGCCATTTTTTTTTTTTACATTGTGGCGTGGGAGTTCCCCTCAAAATACATACCAGACCTGAGGGCTTGTTATGGATGGGAGGGGGGACCCCACGCTGCTTTTTTAATTATTTTTGAAATTGCGGCAATTCTTTTACATTCAGCTGTCAGTGGGAAACCCCGCTGACAGCTGAAATATTAACACATGGTTGTCGTTACTAAAATACCACATGACTTGATAAAATAACTCATGCAGTATTTTAGTAGCATTTTCTTTTTCTGATCTCCGGAATGGATTATTTGGTTTTCAATGCATTCATATGGGAAACGGATTTTTTGCTATACGAAAAGTCCTGCAGAACTAATTAAATTTGTAAACCGAGGTATTTCTGTATTAGGATTGACCATTGTTTGTGAATCCCTGTAAAAAGAATTCTTAAAGAAAATACCTTCTGTGTTGCGACTTAAGTTTTTGGATTCATTTAGCAGTTGTGAGCTGAATATCATGGAATTCTTTGATGTAACATCAATAGATCCATTTGGTCTAGATACCTATGGACAAAGAAGACAGTAAACCATGAAGCATAAAATTCAAAGATACTAAATTAAAGTAAAGGTAAACCTTCACCTTGTAAAACTATATGAACCACTGATGTATTTATACATGTTGATCATATATCTTCTCTTCTCAAGAGAGAGTAAATTCAGTTCCTCTAATCTTTCCTCATAGCTGAGCTCCTCCATGCCTCTATTAGGTTGCCCTTCTCTGTACTTTCTTCAGTTCCCCAATTTTCTTTTTATGAAATGGTGCCCAAAATTGAACTGCATTTTCCAGAACCTCATTCACATGACAATTATCAATGGAATAAGACAATCAGCTATACATGGTTTCTTTAAAGTAAAATTGAAAAACATTTGAAATACCATAAATAATTGCTACGCAAAGTATTTTGCAATTAAATGCAACTAAAACTATTCTTTGTGTTCCAAAAGATTTTCCTAAATTTACATAAAAAGGTAACTGTTGATAACTTGCAACCATGGCATCTTGGGTATTCTATATAATGTATATATATAGAGTGATCCTTAAAATGAAATTTTCAGCTCATGTGAGTGGCCCATTGTTTTTCCCATCATTTTTTTTTTTTTTTTTTGCAACACATGGACAGATCATGTGACTATAGCAGGCTGACTCTCCCTATTAGCACATTGGAACAAGGAAGTTATTGGAATATGCTAAATTATATTTAAGAGTAGTAGGTAAGAGTCTAGAGCAGGAATGGGCAAACTAGGCCAACTAGGCCCGCGGACCTTTTAATCCTGCCCGCGGAGCGTGATACAAAAAAAAAACAGCCAGGGCAGGCAAACATTTGCATCATTCAGCGCGCTCAAATGCAATGATTGCCCAGTCTCGCTGCCACTCACATCCTGATAGCCAGTGATTGGCTGTCAGGATGTGTGTAGGCGGGGCAGCGTGATGAACGTGAGGGGAGCTAGGCTCCTCTCACAGTCCGCCCTGAAGACCGGAACGGCGCGGGAACACGGCAAGAGGAACGCGCGGAGCAAAGGTAAGTAAATTTTTTTAATTTATATTAATTCACACATACACATCATTCATCTACTCTTGGTCCGGCCCCCGGGTCCAATATATGAACCCATTGCGGCCCTCAAGACAAAAAGTTTGTCTAGACCCCTGGTCTAGAGTCTGCCATGACATTTGCTATAGTCCTAGCAATCTAAATAACCAACACAAGGGTTTGGGGAGTTTTTTTCAAACCACAAGTACAGTTTCAATTAAAAGCCAAGTATGAGGGTCTTCAGAATGAAAATATATTTAGTGCAGTCTAAGCATTGCACTGATGCCTGATGTGTACAGAAGAGCTGGCAAGCAAGAAAAAAAACAAAAACAAGCAGCTAACATCAACCTACGATAAAAAACACAGACCAGCAGTAGACCAGGAATTCTGCCTTTTCTCTAAATATACTGGTCTACATATTAGTGTGTGTCAGTGTAACAGCCAGGCAATTAGCTTTTCCATAAAAAGGACACCAATGGCAATTGTATTTATTTCATGACAGGTATTCTTCCAGAGTTAATTCTCAGCTAGACATCGAAAAGTCTTGAAACACACGCTTTCTCTGAATGTAGAAGTGCTTTGATTTCATTTACAAAGGAAATTAGGAACAGAGGAAATGGATGGATCATGTTGTTTGTTTTGCTTTGCAGGAAATGCGATAATTATCCCATGGCAATTTCTAAATACAAAGAATGGTTTCATATATCTCTCAGCAGTTGTAATTGTGTCTAAACATATTCATATAAAGCTACACATTTCGTCAAAGAAGAAAAAGAGGATTTTGTCTGGGAATATACACAATCATTGGGAAAGTATATACATTCTGGGGAATTGCCCGAATCCAGCATGCTACTGTTTTGTTTGATATATTAAATCCATTAATTTTCGATCTGGTATCGGGGTGAGCTTACAGCAAGATGTTACTACTGAAGTATGGTCTCTATTTTTTAAGTTATTTTTTGTTTAATGTTTTTCCGGGTTTGTTTTTGGTTATGTATATATGGTAATTGGTACTATTCTTTATTCATATTTCTTTTAACCGTAAGCCCATTTTTAAGGATTGGTGTGACATGCCCATTTGATTTATCTATCTGTATCCATCTGACAGATATCTAGACATGCCATTGCTTATTACCTATTACCTAGCCAACTTTATAGGTAGGTTGGGGTACTACCCCTCATTTTTCTTCTTGCCTCTGGTTCTCCCTCAGTGCTATACCCCTGTCCCTCTGGAGGTCAATATAGGTGATTGTGTGTTCCCACCCCCTCCCTTTTTTTTCTACATATGTTCTCTCTTATTGCTAATGTTTTCCATTTTTTTGTGATATACATACCCCATTTTGGGGATAAGATACATTATCTATTATGTTTGTTGTGATTTTGTAATACCATATGTTGTCTCGTCAGCTACCATATGTCATACTGAAGACTAGAAAGTGAATTCTGAAGAAGCTCTTTATTTAGTGAAACACATTGGTCTACTTGTCTTCTTCACTGTGTTGAATAATATATGTGCCATATTTCCCCTTTGCTGATTTGATAGAAGTAGACTTGATATGTTTTTTATTATATGAATTGTAATGTAATATTAAAATTGTATATTGTTTTATATAACTTTCATGTTTTGATTTTGTGGTACATATAAATCCATTTATCCCATTGTCTCACTCATGGTACGATGGGATGCTTCTACTTTATGATTGAAGTGTATACATTCCCAATAATTATTTGCTATGTTGTGTTTACTGGTGTTACTATCATCAGTGATCGTCATCAATCTTTACTCGGCGCTGTATGTTCTCCACAACTGTAGATCCATAGACTGCCTAAGTGTATGGACTGTCATTTATCCTATTATGCTCTTATTTGTAACTTTCAATTTAAATGTATACCTTGTTACAGAGTTTTTGAATGTCAGACCTTTCAAAACAAGTCCCTATCCAATCTCTTGTTTCTACTAACATCTGATAACTTTTATTTTATTTAACTTTCCCCAGAAACATACATACATACAGTACATACATACTCATATGTGAAATACCGGTATATTTATTGGAGTTAGAGTTTTGAGATAGATGCTGTTTGGTAGAGGGTGCTTTATTGAATTATATGAGGAAGACAATGGTCCTTAATGAACATAGTACTCTTTAAACAAATTGTAGAAGCCTAATTCTCTCCTGTGGAAAAAGATACAGACAATTGGTAGACTATAGGTTAGTTATTCTAGAGTTGTTCTAGAGTACCTTTGAAAATGGGAAAATTGTGATATAAAGAAGTTTTTGTGTGAAAAATTTTAAACATAATCTACGTGTTAGTATGCATATTTATAGAAAAAAGCTAAACAAACATGCAAATAATAGTTATCAGACTCCAGTAGGAACAAGAGATTGCATGATGGGTTTGAAAGGTAACAATACTGGTAACCCTAGGTGTGGAGTCTCATTAAAGATTATAGTTTTTTTAAATAATTCACCTGAACATTTTTACTTACATATTATAGTTAGTGTCATATATTTTTGGTAGATGCTGGAGAGATAAACCAGCTAATAGTTTCCTTTATCTCTCATGTAATACAGTGGCAAGGTTTCTGTATTTAGATTTCTAGCCATGTGCCTCTTTACCATTAGGTAAAAGTACTTTGCCTAATGGAAAATATACAAATAGGAGCACTAAGGGTTGGATTTGGATGGGAACAAATGGAACTTCAAGGCAAGAAAGAACAATGCCAAAAACTCTGACAGGGAGTTTTTAGCACTGGAATCCCTAGATAGAAAGCCAGAGCTTTGCTAGTAACTGAAATGTCATTTTTGGGAGGAATTGCTTTTTAAAACTGATCTGTCTTAGGCCCTAAAACAAAAATCTGTTCACAGTACACACCAATGCCAACAAACAAGTTGGTTGGAAAACACTGTTTGAATACTGTCTTTTATTATACAATTATGGTCAAAATGAATACTTCCTATAGGTTGGATTCATATTTCTGCATTTGCAAGAACAAGCAAGTAAAACTTTAATTTTGACGCGCTGCATTGTGGTGCATTCATAGGTAATTGAAAAACAATAGCCTTAACACAACACAAACGACTCAATGCACATTCGATAATGCACCACAGCACTAAGTTGAAAAATATTACCCTGATGTTAAAGGTCTAAACAATTCAAAAAAATATGCACACTTCAATAAACTTGCTACTTACCAATCCTAGAGTGTTTGAGATGGTATAACTTGACTGCTCAGCCAGGATTTCAGCTTGTTCGATCATATTTTTTATACTAGAGTGAGCTTGTATGGCATTTGTGGCATTTAGTGAAGTATTACGTACATCTGAAAGAGAACTGAAGCATTTTTTCATGAATACATGAAATACAATACATAAGAGGAGTTGAATACAGCACTGCACACACAGGGAAAGTGCTATAACAAACAGAAAAGCAGTATTTGAAATCTTAAAGTGCTATTTACTATTTTGCCATACTCCGGGTGTATTCAAACCAACAATGCATTGTGAAGGGCAGTGAAGTAAAATCCCTACTGCTGTATCACTGGCTTCCAGCAAAATGCATCTTCCTTGTGTTAATACATGTACTGTAAATCATACTACACCTAAAATATCACATATTCTTTATTTAGAGGTGTAAATGTAAGCTAACAATTCATTATAAAGGAATAGATGGGTGCAGGATTACACCCACAGGGCAAAGTTGAACTACTAAAGGCAAATAGACTGTTCACTTTGAAAGGGACTTTTCCCCAGCACTTAGTAAATGAGGTGACGTTCTGCTGACTTCCTTCATCCAATCATGTACAAACATATATGCTTGTTTTTTTTTTTTTATTTTCCTTCCACATGATTGGGTAATTTTCACTACATTCAATAAGATCTTGGGAAAATTCCCATGCAAAGTGTAACTTCCTTGCAAATTGAAAATCCTATTTGTCTTTAATAAATCAACCCCCTAGTTTGCATACTATACTGCCAGTCTTTGACCAGTAATTGCAGTAACACTGTCAATGTTAAATATGCTATATTTATTATAACTTCATAACTGTGTTTATAGTTTCAACCAAAATACAGCTCTGGTCTGTACTACAATATAATACGTTACATACAACTACTACTACTAATTATTATAACTGTAATTTTTTATAATTATTATTTAAAGTGTCATTACCTGTTGAGAGAATCTGCAAGCCTCAGAAGATCAGCAGCATGATCTTCAGATTTATAGACTAAGTCCAAAGCATCTCGCTTTGACATCTGCATAACCAGCTCATCTACATGATGTCTCAGCTTTGTATTCCACATGATGAGCTCTTCTTGATGCATCTCCAACACCTACACACAAAATACACAACACAGTTTAGAGCAACGCTTCACTATGATACTATGCCTGTCCCTGGTCTATTCATAAAGTGGTGCTTACCAATGTGGCATTATGAGTATCTTCTGCAAGTAACACTGCCTCATCAACAAGTCCAAGCCCTTCCTCTATCAGCATCACAGAACGGTTCTTGTTTTCCTGGAGATTAAGCTTTTTTACCTACAATATTAATTTCCACATTGAGTCCACCAAACTTACATTCTTACTTGTGAATCGTTAACTACACATCATGTATGTATGAAAAACCTTATAGAATCATCAGACCTCTTACCTTTAAACTCACCTTTACCATCTCTACAGGACTAGATTACCATAAATACAGTAGTATTGTGCCTAAAGGCGGCAAAGGCCGAGAGGTGGCTTTTTCTTGCATAGCTACCAGACACATACATTTTTTTTTTCTTAAAAATAACCTTATGTACCCATAATTAGAACCAATAAAAGAAAAAATGAAAAAAAAAAAAGGTTGTAGCAAGAAATTTGCTTTGGCAGGCTCCGCTGATGGGAACCCAGCCTTGATTCTTTAATGTCTTCTGGGGTGTATACACATCTATGACAGATATCACACACATGGCCCTGCACAGTGTTTTTCTATTTTAGATGCACAAAGTGTAAAGAACTGAACCAAAGGTTCAGATATACAGTGAGGAACAGAAGTATTTGAACACCCTGCGATTTTGCAAGTTCTACCACTTAGAAATCATGGAGGGGTCTAAAATTCACATTGTAGGTACATTCCCACTCTGAGAGACAGAATTAAAAAAAATAAATTCAGGAAATCACATTGTATGATTTTTAAAGAATTTATTTGTCTTGCAATTGACAGGTTGTGCCCTCCCCTGTCACCATTTTTCTCTTGGTGTCAGGAAAACTCATCATAAGTGACTCTTGCTAATAGCAGAGGAATGAGGCAGCAGACAGAAATGACTCTTAGTGCTCTGGATTGAGGAGAGCACACACTATAATGGGATATGCTTTGTTCATATTTACAACAGCTTTAAACTTTGCAATCCATCAAGTAAAGCACAATATGCTACCCTGGAAAGCAGTAGGTCCTTCCCAAATCTGTCTTTTCTATTCCAAACAGGTCTATATATATATATATATATATATATATATATATATATACAGTGTGTGTATATATATAAATATATATATATATATATATATATATATATTTTTTTTTTTTTTTACATAAGAGAGAATACTCACACTAAAGTCTTCCAGATTGTTTTGGATTACAACCAGCAAGTTGCTGGTGTTATTAGTGTTCGAAGCAGATTCATATATGAAGTCTTTGGCTGCAAGCAATTTGCTGGTGTGCTGAGCTAGTGAATTCTCAAGGCTCTTCTTCAACTTTGCTAAGTCTTCATGTGGCTTCCCAAATTCCTTCTGAATTCTAGAGAGTAGGACCTCTGAACTTCTGTTACAGAAAGAGATAGTATATTCTATGAGAATGTAATTTGGACATTGTATCTGCTGTAGTATCAGAAAAACGATTGAACATACAGTAGACCAGGGGTAGGCAACCTGCGGCTCTCTAGCTGTTGTGGAACTACATTTCCCATGACGCATTGCAACATTACAAAACTGACAGTTACAGCTATGACTTGCAGAGGCATCATGGAACTTGTAGTCCTGCAACAGCTGGAGAGCCGCAGGTCGCCTACCCCTGCAGTAGACTATTACCCCATATGACCAAGCACAGAAGGACTATGTGTAAAGAAAAAAACCCTTTGGTCTGTTAAATACAACATTGAAAGCATTTTGATTTATCTGTTAGGAAAGTATAAAAACATCTCTTAACCTTGTCAGACTTTTAAATATGTCTTGTGTCCTGTGCACAATTCCTGTCCCACCTCAAGGGAGTAATCAGCCCCCCCCCCAATTCCCCAAACAACTACTCTGAATAGTGTCTAGATGGACTCTGTAGTTTATCAAAAATCAGCAGGGCTGACACTCTTATGATTTCAGTCCAAAAAAGGCATTTTTGGCAGATCAACAGATTTTTTTTCTCTTGCTGGGTTTTTAACTACTTTTCTACTGGGGAAATGTTTTTAATGTTTTATACACATCTTAAAATCTGCATTTTTTTTCTAGAAAATGACTTTAAATCCCCAAACAATTACCTATTTTATGAAAGCAGAGACCCCAACATAATACCCATGATTTAATAAATTATAACAGGTGGGCTTGTGTCAGATGAATATATACCAGATATATCAAGCCTTTTGTGCAAGCCCACGCACTGGTGAGAAACTACAGAACTCAAAATTGTCCATAAATTACACTTTAAAGGCCTTTACAGGTCATCAGTTTAAAGTTAACCATGACTTATTGTCCCTAAAATTTTTGCTCCTACTCTGACATTCACCAGAATATCTAATGTGTGATGCAATTGCTGTTTATATACACATGCATGCCCTGCATGCATCTTTTCTTTCAGTGTGTGTGCAGGACGATGGTGTAGAGGGGGATTAAAGGTTGAATATTTTTCAAACCCTTCCCGTTCACCATCCTGAAACTAGTTACTGTGATGACTTTTGGCCTATTTATTAAGAAAAATGATATTACCCAAAAGAACATCTTAAAAGCTGACTGTCATGGGTTAACTTCCTTGGTTTCTTTCAAGTGACCTTCCAAGAAGTTACCACAAACAATGAGTGGAAGAAATTTGTCTAAGATACAATGAGGCTAAAACACCACTGTTTGAATTTCTGCAGGTGATCAAACAAAGTACCAAAGTGACAATGGTGAGACTAAATCCTTATTGTCTTATTTCTTCCAAAAACCTTGGAATATGTGTGATCACCAAAAAAAACCTCTGAACTGTCAATCAGCTATTGTATCCTGAGGTTAAAATCTAGTCCAAGCTGTTTACCCTAATTATTACACAATAGTGCTAGTAACTAGAAGTTTTCTCTGTCACATATCCTTGAACTGTGCATTAAACATAAGGTGAACATTGGGTCATTTAAAATAAAGAGCTTGGTATATATATCAACGGAAATATTATCAAAAGGTATGTACCCACACGCCAAAATCTATTCAACAAAGTTGGGTACTGCATCCCACTCAACTGAAGTTTGAAGTGATAAAATATAAGATGGTTTGTGAGTTGGGTAATTTCTATATTTCCAAAGGAAATCAGCCATTCCAATACAGTTCATATATCAGAAAAATGAGAAACCAAAGCTGTTCACATCTTTCTATGGTCCTTATTTAAGAGTTAGTAGGGTAATCATTTATACTTGAATAGGACCCATATATTTGATCCATAAAGACATACTGTTTATATCAAAGGGTGAGTCATCCTTAAGACCACCAATTCATTTGTGATACCTGGCTGTCCCCGGTGGACAGGTAAGGAACTTCTATAGGTATGCAAACTTCTCAACCGTCCAATCAACAAGCCTGTTGGGAGGTCCTTCGGAACAAAGGACTTGTATGATATAAAATGACAGACACCTCAAATTGAAGACAACTTAAAATCTGCTAAACTTTAACTTTAATCTTCTGACATCTTCTGATCTTCTGACAACTTCTAAGACTTCTACTACTCCTTCACTACCCTACTACCACTATATACTGCACGATACTCACTTGCTACCTGTGGCCATTTTGCTGAGAACTTCCAGCTGCCATTTTGAAGGAAAAGATTTTCGCCAGAGATGCTGATGCTCATTTAAATTCTGGTGCCTGACTGCCCAGAAACATTTCTTTTCCAACTGCATCCCACTGGGAGGCCTAAAAATCGAGATTCTGGGAGTGGTGAGACTGTGCCAAAATATTGTAATTTTCTTTTATATTTCAAACTTTCCAAGATTTATAACATTTTATTGTTTGGTTAGGAATGTATTAAGGTTATCTATATGATTATAACTATAACTGTTTGAATATTGGTACTGAGGCTATATACTGCATACTAACTGATTTGTAGTGTTTTTGTGGTGCTAATTGTCAGAGATACTTTCTTAGTTCCCTACGGCTGTGGGAAATGAGAAATAATATCTGAAGCACTATAGGTTGCAATTAACCTCCCAAAATTTTGTTTTTCTTTTATTTGATAATCATATCTCGTATGATACCGTACATATTAGCGTACTATATCTTTGATTGTGTGTATGAATATATTCATCACCAGTATTTTGCGTTTGTATTAATATATATATAAATATTTGTACATAAATACATTTATTTATTTAGTTCTCAAAAAGGCAAATTTTGTGTATATGGTAATGAAATCACATTGGTAAAAAGAACTCAAGATATATTATCAAGTGGCGATCAAATTATTAAGGTGTCCAAATTATTGGTTTCTTAAATATTTGCTGTATTTTAACGGCTGGAGGCACTGCAATATTTTGTTTAAGGGAGAGGACACCGCCCTAATTATTTAGAATAAATTATTACATAAACCACTACATTACCATGGTCTCTAGCTCCCCAGAGAAATGGAACAGCCTGGTAACCATGATGGGTGGCACTGGTGGAGTTGGTGGAGGGGGGGGGGGGGGCATGGGTCAGGGGGTCCACCTTCTCATTTTTACATGAAATCTGGTTGCTGGCTGAATGAAAAAAATACCAAGATCAGCAGCCATAAGCTTGAATATATAAATAATGGAAAATTGAATGAGAGATACTTACCATAATTTTCCTTTCTTGACAGGCTCCATGGCAGCACAGCAGGGTGAGGTCCCACCCACCCCCTGCATAATCAGGACGTAACTCATGAAATTGTGCCCACCTGCAGTCTTGGTGTTCTGTAACTCATCCTACTAAGCTGGGTGGGGATTGTGGTGCCATGGAGCCCATCAGGAAAGGAATATGATAATATCTGGTATGGTATTAAGTACAGTATCTGTCATTCAATTTTCTGTTTTCCTGATGGCTCTATGTCAGCACAGCTGGGAATTAACTAGCTACACATGGGAGGGTAATGCGTGAACAATTTAATTTTGACTGGAATCAGAAGCCAAAACACTCCTGACAAATTCAACAGTAGTCAGAGCTTCAGGATCTATACAATAGTGATTCATGAAGGTATGGCTAGAAGTCCATCTAGCCACCTTGCAGATTGTTTCTGGAGAATCCCATCCTGCTGCTGCTCATGAGGTTGAGATACCTCTAGTGGAATGCGCTGTGACCCCCTCAGGCACAGGCAAACCTTTTGCTCTGTAAGCCTAAGAAATTACCTTCACCAGCCACGAGGCGATCACTCTACTAAAAGCCTTCAGGCCTTTCCGTGATCCATTCAAAATGACGAAGAGATGATCCGAACTTCTGAGCTTGGCAGTAGCTTCCACATATGCTTTCAATGCATGCTCAACATCCAGACTTACTTCCTTATAATTTTCTGAAAGGAACATGGGAAGTGTAATTTCTGGCGTTATGTGGAATCTGGAAGCCACCTTCGGTATGAATCCAAGCATCGGTCTAAGCACCACTCTATCAGAAATGAAAAAGAGGAAGGGTTCTTTAAACCCCAAGGCTGCCAGTTCCGATACCCTTCTGGGTGATGTTATCACCCCCAGGAACGTTTCCTTAAGTGAAAGATACCACAGCGAGGCCTGATGACTGAAAGTGTTTGACAAAGGAAGTCCAATACCAGGAGCAAGTCCCATTTCGGAGACATTAGCGGTCTAGTTGGTTTTAAGTGGATAGCTGCTTTGAAGAACTGTACCACCAAAGCATCCAATGTCCACTAAGTATTTGTAAGTGCAGAGATGGCAGAAACATGTGTCTTCAGTGTACTCACAAAAAAGCCCATATCCAGACTCGCTTGAAGAAACTCTAGCACATGGCACACTGTGAGGGAATTTGGTGAAAAATCATGCCTGCCTGCAAATTCTGCAAACTTATTCCAAATTCTGGCCTAGGCACAATTAGTGCTGTCCTTCCTGGCCTTCATCAGGGTATCCATGACCCTGATCGAACATCCTAGATTGATTGGCCTTCACCTTTCAAGACCCAGGCCATCAGGCTCAGTCTCTCCAGAGCCAGATGACGGATGGGACCCTGCATGAGCAGGTCCTATGTCACTGGTAAAGGATGTGGATCCCTGACATTCAATGAAAGGATTAGTGGATACCAGGGTCTCTTTGGCCAATCTGGAAGTACCACCAGAACGGTCACCTTCTCCTGGCACGCTCTGCATAGAAAGTTGAGGATTAGAGAAATTGGAGGAAAGGCATATGCTGTTCTGAAACTCCATCTCGCTGTAAGTGCATCCACCCCCATCGCTTGTAGGTGATTGGTGAAAAACCATTTCAATTTGGTGTTTTCCAGGGAGGCAAACAAGTCCACCTCCGGGAGAAAAAGCCCATGCCACTATATCCTGAAAGACCTGTGGTGATAGTGCCCACACGTTGTTGTCTACTTCCATTCTAGACAAGTAGTCCACCTGGATATTCATCTGGCCAGACACATACACTGCTGTTAGCAGCTGTAAGTTGGATTGAGCCCATTCCATAATCAGTGCAACTTCCCTCAAAAGAGAACCACTACGAGTGCCCTCTTGCTTGCGGATGTAGGCTACCGCATTATTGTCCAGCTTCATAAGAACGGCTGCACCCTGAATGAGACTCTTGAACACCAAGAGAGCCTGAGGAAGGCTGCCCCCAATTCTAGCATATTGGAGATCATCTTGGAAGCCAGGAACAGCCATTGGCCCTAAGCCCAGAGGTGTTTGCATATGGCTCCCCAACCCATTTTGCTGGCAACTGATTGGACCACCAGCCACTGTGTTGTGAGTAGAAAGTGGCTACGTCGTAGATTCCAACGTGTCCTCATCCTGGATGTGATCAGGAAACTCTGCACAAGATCCTCCAATCTTCACTGTTCCAGGAGCCCAATTTGAAAAGGATGAAAATTCCACTGCACCCATTTGACCATCAGGATGATTGATGTCATTACCCCGAGCAGCCACATGCACTCTATTGTTGGAAGGCATAACTTCCCCTGAGCCACTGACATCCTTTTCTGAATGAAAGGAATCCTGTCTTTTGATGACTCCAGTGTGTCTATCCTTGCACCATGGTATACCAGGGTCTGTGTCGGCACAAGGTGACTCTTTTCTCGATTGATCAACCACCTGAAGCTCTTCAAGGTTGACGTGGTTATCTTCTGATCTGAAAGAAGAGTGTCCCTGTCCTGACTTAGGAGCAGAATGTCATCCAAGTTGTGGTACATACGAATGCTTTGCAACCTCAGATGTGGCACCAGGGCCAGCAGAATCTTCGTGAACACTCTGGGTGATGTGGTTATCCCAAAGGGCAGACACACAAACTGGTAATGAAGCTGTCCCACCATGAAACCACAGGAATTTATGATAGATTGGGGCCAATGGCACGTGGAAGTATGCATCTATGAGATCCACTCACAGAAGCCATTCCCCTGGCTGTATGACCTTCAAAATTGTCTGCAGCAATTCCATCTTCAATCAATCTTTCTTGATGTGCTTGTTGAGACCCCTGAGGTTTATCACCGATCTCCATTACCCTGACTTTTTCTATACTAAGAACAGAGGTGAGTAGACCCGCAGAAAAACATTCTTGATGAGGTACTGCAACTATCACCCCCTGGTTCAGAGAAGTTTCAGTGTATCCCATAGCACATCCTGTTTACCCTTTGACAGGAGAATTTTTTTGTTAGAACAAAGCTCCTGCGGGAATTCTTGAGGAACTTCCAGGCATGACCGTACCAAATAGTCAATATTAACCAAGGATCCTTTATCCTTTGAGCCCACACCTGTCAGAATTTGAATAATCTGGGCCCTACGCAGAAAGTGTGAGCTGATGGATAGTCAAAAAGACTTCTGCGACTCCTGTCCCAGAGAAGAAGTGGGCCTGTTCAACTTGCAGCCTATAGCAGTATTTGGCCACTTTCGGTGAAATTCTCTTTCTGGCCTGTAAGATTTAGCTTGTTTGCCTCTGGTCTTTGGTGAGTTTCTGTAATCCACACCCCTCTTTCGGAGCAATCTCTGATCCTGGAGAATGATCAACCAATCTCCCGCCTATGGCTTTTGCGATAGCTGTATCCAATTTTTTTCTGAAAAAGGATTGCCTTTCAAGTAGAATCTTATACTATCCTGGCTTGGATGCTGGATCCGCCACCAAGGGCTCTTCTGGCTGTGACCGCGTTAAGCATGACCATGGCCAGCATCTTGGTCAGATTAATAGATGTCTTGGTCATAAAAGAAGCTGTTCGCTTTAAATTGATAAGTGAGGCTATGACCTAGGCTTTGCCGAGGTCATTTTCCACCGCCATTTCTGATTTTTGGATCCAAGCTTCCATGGCCTTAAAAATGGATGATAATGTAATTGACAGCTTACATGTTCCACCAACAAGTGTGTAGATCATTTTAAGATCTACATCTACTCTCCTATCCAGCACATCCCTGAACATTACCACATCATCCAGCAGAAGGGTTAGGTGCCTCGCGAGGCGCATGAGTGTCCACAACCAGAGGCTCCTCCAAATTCTTACCCTTACAGTATTTAAAGGGATACAGCTTTGCAAACCGATTCCTGAAAGCAGTTCTTTTATCTGCCAGCTTCCATTCATCGTCATTGATGTCCTGGATTTCGTCCATGAAGGGGAAATTCACCCCTTCTCTCTTCATGTTTGTGAAATACCTATTCTGCTTCCTCTGCTGCTCTTCTGCTCTTCTGCTGCATCATCCCAAAGGAGAGCCTTATCTCTTTAATGAAGGGCTGGACTAAGGCAAAGTCAAACCCATCGTATTGGTTGTCCTCCTCCTACAAGGAGGCTGCCTCAGATGCCCCAGGTTCATGTACGTCCGGATTGTAGCCAGAGGCAATTGAGGTGATTGGGAGTGCGAGGGGGACATTACTGAAGCAGCTGAAGTCTGTGTCACAAATGGTTATAGCATTTCCTGAAATGCCTGCTTTATTAATGAAACCATTTCACTCCCATCAGGCTGTCAGTATGTGGTTGCTTCCTTGAGACCTCACACAGTGCCTTGCCCAGTATGGCTCTGTTAGTGCATGCCCAGCATCCTCCTGGTCTGGGTTGCTCATGGTGTGTACCTCTGCAAAACCATGATGGGGAGCATTGATACATAGAGGCAGAATGAGACCGTGACTCCTCCCTCCTTTTGCGGGAGCTTCTATCTTCTCTTGAGGATGAACGCCTGCTACTCCTTCCTGGACTTCTTTCCTCTGATTTCCAAGAAGAATCATGTCTGCGACTTGAGGAGCTGGGAAAGCTCAGACAGAAAGAGAGCCAAATATCAGTCATGCAAACTGGAGTTGAAATAAGATGAAGATTCACGTATGTCTCCCCTGCCTTTTCTGCAAGCACTGGTCTTTTGACACTGCTGCAGAAAAAAGCCATAGTAAGGCAAACATCTACAGCAGGCAATGCATAGGACCTCACCCTGCAATTGCAGGGTACTCCTGAGGAGAGGGAGCAGCAGGCATTGACAGGCTGGGCAGGGAGGAGAAACAGCACACACTGCAGGAGGTGCTTTCTGACCAAAAGCATCTTTAAATTTGGCTCCCTTAAGCCTGACTCTGCCCCCCTTCTCCTTATTGACCGAGGGGCTCTGCACATGTTCAGTGCGGATTCCCAGCCTGAGCTCCACACTGGCCAGAATCTCCTCCACAACAGGGGAATATTGTGGATCACAACAGGGACCACGTCCAGCCTCTGGATATTTCTGGACGGACAGCTAGTAGAACTGGCTAGGAGGGAAGATGCTGCATGCCCTGACACAGGAGGAAGGAAAAGAAACTCCGAGGCTGCAGGTGGGCACAATTGTATGAGTTAGGCCCTGATTATGCAGGGGGTGGGTGGGGCCTCACCCAGCTGAGCTGACAAGGAACCATCAGAAAACATATCTATGCTATAAAACCTTGGAAGACATGGGTTTAGGGGAAAAACACACAGGAAAATGTAGTAGAAGTGGCAAGATATACTGCATTTTAAAAATTTTGCCTTGGCGTTTCCTTTACATTTTAACAACAGCATAATTTAATCCTTACATGGCATTTTCTACAGCATTTTGGTCATGATCACTAAAGCTTTTTGTGCTCATCTCTTCCAGCTTGGTTGAAACATCGTCCTGGTAATTCAGTGGCAGCTGGGCATCACTGCCAAGTGTCTCATTCAGACTTTCTGCCACTTCTATAAGCACTGAAAAAAAGACAAATCATCATTATTCCTGTACATCCAGTAATATGTGATAAAGAACAGATTTTTACTGCTTAACAAAAATCTGCACAGGGCAAATATGTAGGCTACCACTGTGGAAAATGCTAACCCTGTTTAACTGCTGACTCATGGTCATTGATTGGTGAGAAAATTTACACTACAATTGGATTTTTGTACAGTCACTGGAATGAACTTTACCTTTAATTGTAGTTTGCATTTTGCCAATAAATCCCATTAATTCCTGGCTTTTGTTCAGGGTGTTGATGGTGGAATTATTCACATTGAACCCATGCTTCTTTACCTGTGACAACTTTCAAACAAAAACCTGAAGTTTAGGTTCATAATAGCTTAGGAAGATGCACATTTGCATTACCTTAATGTATTCAAGTTATCTGTAAGTGAAGTTCTGAATCTAAAGTGTTGCAGGCTAATACAAAACAACAACAACCTTAATATTTAAAAAAATCAAAGCACTAAAATTCACAAATAATATGCCAATCACTTTAAAAGGCATAAATTAATTGTGATTGTTATTATTTTACTGAAAGGGCAGTTGGTGCTTGGAACAAACTTCCAGCATAAGTAGTGAGTTAGTCAGCAGTAAGTGGTTTCAAACATGCTTGGGGAAAATATAGATCTATACTAAGTCAAAAAAGTAAACAAAAAATAAAAATAAACAATAAAAACAAAAATAATACAAAACATATATATAAAAAAGGGCAGACTCAATGGACCACTTGATCTTTTTTTGCCATCACTTTCTATGTTCCTATGTTACATAGTTACATAGTTGGTCTGGCTGAGAAAAGACAAAAGTCCATCTAGTTCAACCATGAAAAAAAGGATTTAATTCCATACCCACAGTTGATCCAGAGGAAGGCAAAGAAAACCAGTAAAGCATGATACAATTTGCTCCTGCAGGGGAAAAAATTCCCTCCTGATCCCCCAAGAGGCAATCGGATATTCCCTGGATCAACATTACCTATAAATGTTAGTATCCAGTTATATTATGTGTATCTAGGAAAGAATCCGGGCCTTTTAAAGCAATCCTCTGCGCTGGCCAGAACCAACTCTTGAGGGAGTCTATTCCACATTTTCACAGCTCTTACTGTGAAGAAACCTTACCGTATTTGGAGATTAAATCTCTTTTCCTCCAGATGTAAAGAGTGCCTCCTTGTCCTCTGTGATCGCCTAAGGGTGAATAACTCTACACCGAGTTCACTATTTGAACCACTGATGTATTTATACATGTTGATCATATCCCTCCTTAATCTCCTCTTCTCAAGAGAGAATACATTCAGTTCCTCTAATCTTTCCTCATAGCTGAGCTCCTCCATGCCTCATATCAGTTTGGTTGCCCTTCTCTGTACTTTCTCCAGTTCCCCAATGTTCTCTTTGTGAATTGGTGCCCAAAACTGAACTGCATATTCCAGATGAGGTGTTACTAATGATTTGTACAGGGGTACAATTATATCTTTCTCTCTCTCTGGAGTCTATACCTCTTTTAAAACAAAAGCAGGGTTTTCTCGCTTTAGAAACTGCAGCTTGGCATTGCATGCCATTATTAAGCTTGTGATCTACCAAAACTCCCAGATCCTTCTCCACCATTGATTCCCCCAGTTGTACTCCCCCTAGTATGTATGATGCATGCATATTCTTAGCCCCCAAGAGAATAACTTTACATTTATCAACATTAAACCTCATTTGCCACATAGTTGCCCAATTAAACAGTGCATTGAGGTTGGCTTGTAAGTTGGAGACATCCTGTAAGGACATTATTTCACTGCAAAGCTTGGTGTCATCTGCAAAGACTTGATTTGATACAAAACAATTTATGTCTTAGTCTTTTAATCTACACAAACAGGTGCGGTCATCTTCAGGACAACAAACTCTACAATACCGACAAGTTCTCAAAATCATTGTTCTTCTGTATAATAGGATGGATTCACAGTTTGACCCATCCAGGTTGCTTGATCTCCTATACCTACATCAGAGAAAAGAAGTATATTGTTACTCACTCTGTTATCTAGCAGGACTGTGTCTGAAGATACTGCATTCAGGTGTGACACTGTTTTGTCCATGTTCTGGGTCTTGTTGGAAATTGTAAACACAGATTCCTGTGACACAGATCATAGAACACTTATTAGAATTCATTTCACAGATGATTATTTTGTAATCTTTCCATCTCTCATCTTTGCCAGTCAAGAGATCCACTGGCATGTCCCTAATATGTGCAGTGCGTACAGTACATATGGTTCTCAAGGTGGAGGGGGCCACTTTGCACTCACTGTACACATTGGGGATTTGATTCTGGAAGTGCTCCTTACTGTGACACCGTCCATTAGTAACAAGTAACAAGAATGACTGCAGCTTAAAGTAGATCCACTTCTGCCTGCATTGCATGTAATATGCATGTATGCCATATCTGCCCTCACATCCACATGCGTTTATTGGGTGCAAATCAATGACTGGAGCTGGCACTGACTGCATGTGATAATGCACATAAGTGGGGATAAACAATATAACTGAGCCTGGATACAGATGCCTTGAGTCTGGGGTCACTGGCTCTGGCCACATACATGCTGGATGCTGTTTAATGCCCAGTGTGTATGTGTCCATAGTATAGAATAACGTAACACAGAGTCTTGGAGAAGAGGCCTAACATTGCCCTGGAAAAGAGCCCTATGTTTGTAAGAGGTTGTTTATTTTACACATATATAAATGTTGATTATTTTATATATATATACAAGGAGAGAGAGAGTGTACGCTGGAACTTTGCTATACTCACACGCAGTCACACTTCTCTTGAGCATCCTTGCTCTCTGGCTGTACTCATCACAGTGTTATATAAATAAAACATCTAACAGGGAATATGAGGCCTCATCATAATGGCCACTGTAAGATAAGGTACTAAAAATTCATGCACAGAGATCTCATGTTTGTAGTCTCTTCCAAACATAGGCCGTTGAGTGCTTTTTATCATTATACAGGATTTATACAGCCAACAGTTTGTGCAGCATATTAAAAACTAATGGAAGATAGCACAGTCAAAACACAATTTAATTCAGGTTAGGAGAGACTTGCTTTGAGGGCTTACAGGCTAAAGGGAGAGACAAGTAATACACAATGTAATAACTATGGGGTGGGGGGGAATAGGTGAGTTAATGGAGAAAGTAAAATTCCAGTTGTTAAGTAGAGGTGGCATAGGCTGCATTAACCACTTCCTGTCCGGACACTTTTACCCCTTCCTGTCCAGGGCAATTTTTAGCTTTCAGCGCTATCACACTTTGAATAACAATTGCGCGGTCATGCAATACTGTACCCATATGAATTTTTTACCATTTTTTTTGAGACAGATAAAGCTTTATTTTGGTGGTATTTTTACTATTTTTATTTTTTTTACTATGTAAATGAAAATGTTCAAAAATTTTGAAAAAAAAGTGTTTTTTTAAATAAAAATTTTGCAAATAAATAATATTTCATCATAAATCTTAGCCAAAATTTATTCCGTTATTTTTTTTAGTAAAAAAAAAAATCCAAATTAGTTTATAACCAAAAATTATAATTTTTAAACATTTTTTTTTTTTCATTTTATTTTATTTTTTTTATATTATTTTTTTTATTTTTTATTTTTTTTTTTTACATACTGTCACCCTAACAGTACACTGTCACCATGGTGACACTGTACTACTTGTGGAGGGTGATGAAGATTTTTTTTTTTTTTTTTTTTTACACTGATTGCTTTTACACCCATATAGGATGTAAAAGCAATCATTTCTCTTTCTCTCTGTCTGCATTCTTGCAGTCATTGAGAATTACTGAGTGAGCTGTGAGTGGTCACAGCTTGGTCACATGGTACAAGGCTGTTGTGAATAGCCTTGTACCATGTGACCTCTGTGATCATTCACAGATTTCACACATAGTAAGCAATGATGTCACAAGTGACATCTTGCTTACTACTTTGCATGTGATCACTGATTCGCCAATCAGTGATCACATGATCGGGACCTTGTACAGAGGTCCCGTCCGACGATCGGTGTTTCACTGTGTCCGGAGGACACAGCGGGCACCGGATCGTGGTGGTGCCCGCTCCCAGGGAGCACGCACAGCTAGAAAAGGCGGGTGCCCTTTATGAACGGCAACCCGACCCTGGACTGCCACCGCCCTGCCGTTTATAAACAGCAGGCGGCCGGCAAGAGGTTAAAGAGATTTCTTTTCAAGGATCTTCTAAAGGGTAGTTCACACAAGAATGCGGTTCAGGAAACCCACATTTCATGCATGTGCACCACACTTGTGATCTTCAGTGGGTGTTAGTGTTAACTTAATGCCACCCCAAGTGCAGGTCGCAAATGCAGTGTGTACAGTATGAGATCTGGTTGCTGTGCATTTTTTAAAGTAGTGCATACATTATCTTTGGTGTGGTCCAGCGCAATTTCAGCCCATTTCAGCCCTTTGGCTGCAAGCACTGATGAGATGCCAACTGGCAGATGTTTTTCCAGCATGCCTGTTCTACAGAAGCCAGACGTTCGGCTGTACACATGGGCATGTCAGCCGGTTTCTGTTGAACTGGCCAATACTAGCTGAAATTCAACCTGTGTGTACCAGGTATAAGTCTTGCACAGTAAAGCTGGCCACACAGTTGATACAGACTAGCATTTTGAAGGAACGTTTATGCAAATATTCTCCATAAATTGATCACCTGATGAATGTCATTTGAAAGAAATTCAAAATTTAATTTGCTTTTAACATTTTAATTTGGAGTAAATGTAATTTCCCGACTGAAAATCATATTCACTGTCAGATACGTGTTCATTCGAGAAAATTTTTCCATCCCGCACTTTGAATTTTCTCATCACTAGGGTCGAAAACGACTGCTGATTTGACTCCACTAACAATTAGAAAATTATTATTATTATACTGGATTTATATAGCGCCAACAGTTTGCTCAGCACTTTACAATATAACGGGAGGCAATACAGCAACAATACCGTTAAATACAAGAGGGATAGGAGGGCCCTGCTTCTTGGAGCTTACAATCTAGGAGGGAGGGGCTAGTGGTACAAAAGGTAGTAACTGTAGGGGATGGACTGGTTGGAAGAGTAGAAAATTCCATTATTAGCTGAGGGCAGGATAGGCTTCCCTGAAGAGATAGGTTTTCAGAGATTGCCTAAAAGTGAGCAGAGTAGGCGATAGTCTGAATTGGGGTAGAGAGTTCCAGAGGATTTGGGAAGCTCTGGAGAAGTCCTGGAGACGAGCATGGGAGGAGGAGACAAGGGACCTAGAGAGTAGGAGGTCTTGCGAGGAGCGGAGAGTACGGTTTGGGTGATATTTGGAGACAAGATTGGTGATGTAATTTGGGGCAGAGTTATAAATGGCTTTATACGCTCTTGTTAATGTTTTGAATTTTATCCATTGGGCAATGGGAAGCCAGTGGAGGATTGGTAGAGAGGGGTGGCAGATACAGAACAGTTAGTAAGGTGGATAATTCTGGCAGCAGCATTCATGATAGACTGAAGAGGGGATAGTCTGCGATTAGGTAGGCCAATGAGGAGTGAGTTACAGTAGTCAAGGCGAGATATAACAAGGGAGTGAATAAGTTGCTTAGTGGTTTCCGAGGTTAGGAACGGGCGTATCTTGGAGATGTTGCGGTGGTGAAGTCTACAAGATTTGGACAGTGAAGGGATTTGGGGCTGATAGGACAGATGGGAGTCTAGGATTACACCTAGCACCCTGGCATGAGGGGAGGGACTGATGATTGTGTTATTGATCTTGATGGAGAAGTCAGGGGAGGGGGCACGGGCTGGGGGGAATACTAAGAACTCAGTTTTGGAAAGATTGAGTTTGAAGAAGTGGAGTGACATCCATACCGATATGTCACTTACTAGGTTAGTAATGCGAGAGGAGACTACAGAGGTGGGGTGAGGGGTAGAAAGATAGATTTGTATGTCATCAGCATAGAGATGGTACTTAAAGCCATGGGAATTATCAAGTGACCAAGGGAGGAGGTGTAGATGGAGAAGAGAAGGGGTCCAAGGACAGAACCTTGAGGGACCCCTACAGAAAGAGGGAGTGAAGAGGAGGAGGCCGCGTTATAGGTAACGCTGAAGGAGCGCTGTGATAGGTAGGAGGAGAACCAGGAGAGAGCAGTCTCTGAGGCCAAGAGAGTGGAGTTTTTTGTGGAGAAAATTAAACAAACATTCTTAAAATGAAATATTTCAAACAAAATTCTACTAGTGTTTGGCCAGCTTAACCCCCATAGAGTTGAATACAGATGTTGTCCTACTGCCTCCACTATAAGCGAGTGTCCCTGCTAATGTCTATCGGGAGTTAATGGGGCCAATACTGGAGGTCATTACAGCACATAGCTTGTAAACACCATGGGGGGGGGGGGGGGGGCATTGCCATCAGAGAGTATGCTCCAGAGTGGTGATTCATGGTTAGGTCAAAGTAGGAGGCTGAATGGATTTCTAAAAAAAAGTGTAATTCTCTTTGGGGTGCAAATTGTTCTGATAGATGACACATTTGTCATCTGACTAATACCTGTTAAATGCATTAGGACAAATCCAGCTACTGAATATAATATATTTCTAAAAACCTGGCCTTCATCATATCTATGAGTGCAATAGAATTTTCTACACAATATCATACAGCTATTTTTGGAATGGTGTAATTATTTTGTTAAATAAAATACTTATAAACTACCATCAAACAATGCCTCTAGTAATTCTGTTTTACAACAGAAAATAATGTCTAAGCTCTGCAAAGCAACAGCATTATTAAGTGTCATAGACTCTATGAACCCCGATGTGATCCAATGTTCTGCTGTAACCACTTATGTAGCTTATGTGTCTGTGCCCTAAAGGAGTGAGCATTGTTAGAACAGAGAAATGAAATTCTCTCATAACTGCTTGTTACAATCTCTTAAACCTTTCTTATGTGCATTATAATGTTAACAACAATTCATAATCAAAACAATTCTCATGTTGATCCTTTAAATGGCGTTTTATCCTACAACAAATCAGAGCACATATTAAAATGATATTTCCTTGAACCCTCAGGCTGGTCTCACACATAGACACTCTGAAATAAGACTTGATTAAAATGTAGCATATTGAGCTCTTAACTGCTTCCCCTTTGCAAATCCAATTTAGGCACTGCCTCTGCCATCATAAATATTACAAATTAAATTTCTTCTACTTTTCTCCGTCTGGACATTATCATCTGCAGCCCTTCTATGAGTTTTAATTACATTTCTCACGAAGGTGATTGAGGGGGATATCAATATTTTTGTGATAAAGGGAAAACAAAGACTAAGCAGAAAAAAAAAAAATTCACTTTTTTTTTTTGTATGCTGGGGATCAATGAGCCGGCGGGTGCAGTAACTCACAGCAGCCAATCACTGATAAGCTGTTAGTAGTTTGGTGCAGCCGGGCTAATGGAATGATTGCTGTCGCAGTGTTATAGAGGAGACAGGAATAAAGTAGGAAACATTTGTAAACTCGTGCTGCTACTGCAGTGAAAATCACTGGTTTTAGCACTTGTTATTTCAATCTCTGAAAGGTTTTTAGGAACAAGGGCACTGTACTTGTTCTTTTACCGTTCAAAACAGTCAACATCACTTTACATTTAGCAGTAGATTAAGACTTAAACCCAAACACTGACAAGCTGGGAAGAATCATGTCATTTATTCTAATCACTCCCAAAAAACTATTGGTTTTATTAGTCCTTCTGTACACTATGGGGTGAATCTATATACATTTGCATAGCAAGTCACTCAGTGAAAGTACAATTTCTGTGCAAATATTGCAAAAAAAACCAAAAAAAAACAAATGCTATTGGGCTATTTTCGAATGGAAAATACCTCATTGGGCCATTAGATGGTTCTAAGTATCATAGGAAATTCCTGTGATACTTAGCAGCATCTATTGGCTGAAATCAGTACCTTTTTAAATGCGTAAAAAAAATATGAGGTTTGTTTTGCCCCATTTGCACAGAATGAAAGTACATGCACTTGTACTGGGTAAAATGATATGCATATGTATTATAGATACTGTACATCCCTATATTTGAGGCTGAATACCAATCTATCTATAAAAATATATTAAAAGAGAAGTATTGTTTTTTTCACAAATTATATTTACCTAGGTGGATGCAGCATGAGTCTGATGCTGCATCTGTCTCCCGCCGGCTCTAAGTGTAAGAACTCAGCGATCACATGACCACTGATCACTGAGTTCTCGCTGCTGCTGTGAGCAGAGAGTGATGATTGTCAGTTACCACTCTCTGCTCAGCCCCCATGCTCACTGGAGCACTGGGCTGTGGAGAGGAAAGGAGCGGCTGGCTCAGGCTCTCAGCGTCTCGCTGAGAGGCTGAGCCAGGTGTCACTCCAGTCTTTGGGGTGGATCCTGACTTTCCCCAGCCTGGACCAGCTGAGTGATGTCAGTCGACAGCGGGCTTCAGCTCACTGTCAGCTGAAAATGGGTCACAGGAGTATAGAACAGACTGCACTCCTGTGATCCACTGGAGAAGTACAGCCAAAAGAGCACTGGATGTACTTCTCCTTTTAAGCTCCTGCAGCCATTTCTGATCACATGCTATATATAATACAACTAGATTTTTTTCTACAAAGTATGTAGCCAACATTTAACTTCAGTGAAAAAAAGGCAAATTATTAGATGTTTAATGAAGAGCTAGGCTAAACAAATTCAAACATTGCATAGCTTGAGTGTATTGCCTCACATGCAAAACATTTAAAATACTAGAAAAGCTACAATTTCTGGGGAAATTGTGTGAAGTGTTCTTGCCCCCACCAGTAGTCTACAACTCACACTCTAGCTTTTGTCACTCTGCTGCCTGCTCACACACCTGGGTTCCTTTGGCAACTCACTCTACAGCAAGGGCAGAGAAGAGCGGTTAAAAACAAACTGCTCCAACTTGCTCACTTCACTGGCGTTTGCCATCTTTACACAGTTGTAGTTTAAAAATTATAAATCCTATACCGAAGAGCTTTATATTGTGAGAATCCCAAGACCCAGGCCTACATTTTGATGCATAGTATGTCTCTGAAATATTAAAAATGAAGGCACAGTCACAGTTTAGAAATTGACCTTCAAATTTGAGGTGGCTAGAGTGGAGTTTCAATGAATATCAATGGACGGCGTGAGTTGCAAACAAATGATTATATTGTGAAAACTATCAGGACTATGGCTTAGTCGTGGACATTTTTAGTGTCAGCAGGGATAGCTGAACGTTTTGATATAAGATTTGTGTAGGTGGCCTTGAAAATGAGGGAGTGATGGCAGTTTAGAAATCATGTCCTGATTTTTCAGCTCACACTCTAGCTTTTGTCAGTTCCCACTCTAGTTTTGAACATTCCGCCATTCATTCCTATGGGACCAATTTCACCACAAAAATGCCGATATTTTGTGAACCATTCGGCGAAACATTCCACAAAGCAATAGCGCACCAATCGGGAACAATCCGCACGTTTCGGTATATTACTGTCTATGTAGTGTAAAAAACTGTGGGAGGAGTTAGGGTGGTAAATTTGGCTATAAGAAGAATATATATATGAGATAACGCTGTCATGATATAACATAGTACTGTAACACTCTCTTCTATGAACAGACTGCCAACACATTCATTCATCTTCAAGTGCTGCTTCTTCATGTCAGTACTCCACAGCCTCCCACAAAAAATGTTTCAAAATGATTACACTAAGATCTCATTCAGATGGGTGAGCAGAACCATCCTTCAATTTGAGCTAATTTGTGGGAATCCACATCAGAAATGCGTGCAGACAACCCACAGAAATGGATACAGACGCAGTGGCTGCACAGTCACATGTCAAAAGTTTACATGCATGCAGGAGCGGGTGCACAGATCTGAACACACAATGCCTGGATTCACATGCAGACAGTGGCTTAGATTGGAGGATGGGTCAACTGCCCATCTGAATGAGCCCTAACCAATAATTTCCAGGCACTGGAAATGTAACCTCAGTCTGCATCTGACCTCTCATCTCCTCCATTTTACTCACTTTCAGGGCTTCTCACAGGCTTTTTTGATATCTTCTTTCAACAATGAGACTTATAACAGGCACAACAGATGTTCAAACTCAGGAACTCCAGTATAGACCAACACCAACAGAGTTCCCATGAGAAGACAGAATGTTAAGTGATTTATCCCTCTTATCCCTCGTGTGTTTACCAAAAATTTAAATATCAGTTTTAAGTGGACTGGTCCTCTAAGTTATTTTAAGTGTTATATCTTACATTTATGTGAGAATGCACTTTTGCTGCTATAGCAATTTCAAAATGTATTCCAACACTAAAAGTTAATTGACAATACCAAATGTGACCTGTATAACAAATCCTAAGGAAGAAAGCTGCTTCATAAATATGACTTTGTTGTGTTGTAATCTCCTTTCACATCAAAGTTAGATATGCATTGCTACTTTTTAGTAGTTATCCTTTAACGTGTATGTGTAGCCAAAACTTTCTTTTCTGTTTTGAATTGAGTAGGGAAGAGTTAACACTCCTATCAGGTTATGTTATGCTGTGTCTGTCCTGCTGGGTAATTCACCCCAAGTTTTTTGTCTTGGAGGAAGCAAGAGGAAATTAGAAAATTTCCCCCTCTTAAACTGATGCCCTTATTTGAAGACTTCCCAACACTTTCTTGTTGACAATGGTCAACAGGACCAGTAGGAGGTTAAATCTCTCCAGCTGGGACGCTCCATCTTTCCAGCTGGGACACACAATAAAAACCTGACAGAGTGTCTAATCGTTCACTACTCTATCCATAACTAGATAAAAAGGTTTGCCTTTAACTTCCTCTTAGCACCCTGCACAAAGATTCATATTCTGCGGTCCTCATTCCTACCAGACCCCCACTGTGTGGCCTAATGAGTGCCGCACAGCTGTCACTACATTGTCTTCAGGCCAGGCATTAACAGAAAAAATACTATTTATTCTTATGGAGACACTGCTTTCTGCTGGGATGCCTACTGTAGGATGAAACTCTATAGGAATGACTTGAGATTTCCTACACTTTTGTAGAAGGAGCTGCCTGTTTGGGAAACTGCAGAAACGACTGTGCGAGACCCAATGGATTGCACAGTATGGATCTGGCAGAAATGAGCCAAGTGAGTAAAAGGCCACAGGAATTGGTACCAAAATTAATTCAGCTTCAATACAATTTTTTTTTACCTTTACATGCACTGTCATGTTTTCCAGATATGCCATGAATCCTTGAGGAACTGTGACAATTCCAGTGAAGTTTATAGAGAATATGGTTCTATGAAGATCATCCAGGTCATCTAGTAATGTTCCTGTGCAGTCATCATCACATGCTAATATTTAAGAAATAGAGTAATTACGATATATTAGTAACCTTAGGATCCATGTATTTCTTGCACTGGTTAAAAGTCACTTTGTCTGGAGAACTGCAGTATTAGTTGAATTCCACAGGCTATCATAGAGACCATTAATTTCTATTTAGGACACAGGTGTTCTTCAAAATTATGAGTTGTTCTAAGGTCTGTTCACTGTTCCTTTAAAAAAATGTCAGTCATTGCTGGTGAGGGCTGACTCTTGTTTTCTCCACAAAGATGAATGATCTCTGTGAAGACATCTGCACTATTCACTTAGCACAGAAATGCAATATGCAGTTCATATTCAGTGAGCATGAACAAAGTCTGTAGAAAGTTGTATATAGGACACCTTAGGCCTCATGCACACTGCTGCTACTAAATGTGAGTTTAGGAGCTTTTGGCGTTTTTTTTTTTTGCCAAAGCCCCTGAACTCAGATCAATACAAACTTATGTTTCCATGCACATATAGGCTTTTACCAGAGTTTAGGAACAGCAGAGTTTGGAGGCAGTTAAATGTTCCTTACCTGAACACAGAAGACTCGCTTTCAGGAGGAACGTCTTACCAAAAAAACCAAACACGCAAAAACGCGTGTAAACGAGTCTAAGTGCAGGCTGCGTTTAGCACTTGAGCGCTTATTCATTTCAATGGTAAGTACTCTGACCAATGAGACGAAATAACGTCCAAGTGCTAAACACAGTACCGCATTTACATGTGTTTTCGCCACTTTTCTGCTGCCAGGAGAGTTGACATCTAGGGGTGGTCCAGTGTGCATGTTACCTTACAGTTATGCATTGTTCTGATGAAAAGTAATTTGTGTCATTGATAATATATAATAGCAAATGTAAACTATCATGTTCTGCACATAATTTCTAGAAACCTGTCACTGAACAAAGGACTTAAGTTGGATCAGATTTCATCAGAAAGAATGGCATTAGGGAGGCCGGCTACGGAAGTGTCACCTGCACATGGCAGGTCCCACAAGTTTCCATTTCTAGGTCACATGGCATTAAGTTGACGTGGTACTGAACTGGAGTGCTGACAACTGCATTATTTTCAGGATCTGATGACATCACTACCCAAATACAGAGCTGCTTTGGGACATATGATCAAAAATATTAGCTTCAAGTCTCATGACCTGGAGCAGAACTTTGTGCAGCCTGGATTTTATAGGTGGAAGATAATACCTACCTGTGCAGTGAAGTAAATTAATTAAAATCTGATGGAATTCTACTATAAATCTGATGGATGCTTCTATTATCTGAGTCCCAGGCTCCATACCTGTACCTGAGCAGTTAAGCTGAACTTAATTAGCGATGTTCCTGCCTCTGGAACCACTAAGTGTCCCATGCATCAAATATTAAATTCTAACAGATGCATCTTTGGTGTTGACACATTCTCTTTGATATTGTGCATTCCTTTATTAAAACTGGGGTTTGGATAAGCGTATTAATGCATAACACCTTACATGTAATGATCTTTGGCCAAATGGATAAAATATCTAATCCGACTGGCTGCTGCTGGTCATTAAACTGTGACCTCCACCAGTGCTTTTTGCCCTTTATTCTTAAAGCCCAAGTCCAGCCAAAATTATTGTGTTTTAGATAGTATTTTTGCATGTCTGTCTCCCTTTTGTGAAGCCATAATCGAGACACATGCAAAAAAGCCACATTTTAATAGAATGAAGAGTTAGAACTTTTGATGTTTTTTGTTTTTTTTAGATGTCCATGCTTTCCTGTCCTAGTGATAATGACATACCCACAATTTCTTAGGCAAAGTGAGGAAGAACCTCCACCAAAAACAAAAAACTGATGGAAATCTTAACTCTTTCACACTTTATCCAAAACTAAAAGTATGTCTGGAATTTGGCTTTAAACAATTCTGCTGATTTTGATAAACTGAATATGCTATTCCTGACCAATGGTCTGGAAGGTTTTGTTGACATAGAAATATGTGTTTTTTTATTACTCTGTTTTATTCTCTATTTTTATTACTCTATTTAGTGTTAAGTTTCCGGAGTCAGCTACAGAACTGCATTTTATTCCAATGGGGAAGGGAAGGTAATGCTATAAGCCACCTACAGGATTCTCCACATGTGATCTAAGATAAAATGACACAGTGTATAAATGACGGAAACTCACATGTGCATTGCTGTTCCAGGAGGATATGCCTGACTTCACATGTATCACAAAGACGTCCAGTCACTCCAGGCTTACAAGCACATTGGCCAGTTAATCTGTCACAGTGATTATGCAAAGAGCCACTTGGATTGCAGTCACATAACTGGCAGCTGCCATCTGACTCACTTGGATTGCCGAAGTAACCAAGTGAACACCTAAAAATGTGAAAGCAGAAAAGGATCTTAGTATGCTTGTGCTGTCATTAAACTGCATGGCTAATAGATCCATTGATGACAAAAGTGTAGGGAATAAATAAAGAATATATCTGTGGGAATCTGTAATGTTTATAGGAACCTTGCACTAGAAGAAACATGGGGGGTGCCATTGCTGATCTTGTCTAAATATACTAGGTTTCTGGCTGCCTCTCACTTTCCGAACTAGTTTCTAAACAAACCCGCAGAATAGAGAGTCTCCTTATCTACATACTTGTTCTAGGTCAGTGGCTCAGAGACTTCTGAAACAATCTGATCAGCATGACAGCCAAACAACCTCCACATTCTTTTAGTATAAAATCTGGTTTGCCATACATGCTTCTTCACATCATAAGACTGAACAGATCACATCAAAAGCAGATAAATTGACAAGCAGTGATGTTTATATCATGAAGCAAGGTAAAATTCCTGGCTTAGTAGTCATAGATGTTCTCCCAACACATTCCCAAATAATATAAGGACCTGCAGGGGTGTATGTCATGTTCTCAATGCCATTTTCTGCATAATGTGTAAGATACTTACATTTCCAAGGAAGTCACTCTAGTCTAGTGCTTGCATGCTATGTGCAGACTTGTCAGGACACAGTGAGGAAGCAGAAGCAATAATGGGAAAGAAGTTAAGGTTATGGTATCACTAAAGAGCTGTATTGGGCAGCATGAAAGCATGCTATTTATAGGTAGACTATGGGAATGGCCTTGAAAATGTGCACAATATGTACACATATTGGCCCTCTCCCTCTTTAAAGGATAAGCTCACCTTTTTAAAATGTTACATGTTATACCCACATTTAGGGTTTAACATATAATATGTTCAGCAGCTCCTCCTCACTCCCTTGGCCCTCCCCCCTGCCACTTGTGACAGTGGGCGGTTGTTCTTTTGCCCTGCAGCACCAGTCACATTTAAAATTGGTGTGGCTGTGCAGCTGGAGTGATCTATGATTGAAAAAACAACATGTCCTGTCTGCCACTGCAGCAAATGGCTTGAAGTTCTCAATGGACTACGAGCACGCTGATCAGTACACTCCTAGTCCACCTGCTCTTCCTCCAGCAGAAAGGAGGGAGACTGTGCAGGATCCCGACATTACACCCACAATCCACTGGTTGTGAGTGCAATATTTTACAGGCTCCTGTGTAAAAAATTAAATAAATGCACTTTTTTTTTTGCAAAAATATGCCCATTTATTATTTTTTAATTAAAAGTAAATTTAGCCATTAAAAATCATCTAATTTTAGTAAGTGTAAAATGTACCTGTAATGGAAACAGTTAGAGATTTATATTTACCTTACCTCTGTCTTCCTTGTTGCTGGGTGTGACACTGCCATCCTTCTAGGCATATTCTTGGGGAAAGCAGATCAGGCAAAATCTCATGAGAAGATGCTGCAATCTAATGTAAGAGCACCTGTTTGCAAGATTTTGTCTATTCTGTAATCCCCAAGATCGATTTGGTAGAGATTTGACATCACAACTGGTGTAAACTAAGTGCATATTTATGAATGTAACATGCTTTCTGTTTCTTATTACCAAAGATGCATATGTGCGGTGTATGGCTGTCAAAGCCCACACTCCCTACCACTCCACATATACGGTAAGTGGTCAGCAAGAAGTTAATTTACCTTAACGATTGGGACCTGGGACTCCCGATTACGGGTCACAAGATTACTGTGATCTGTTTTTTTTTTCTCTCTGAATGGAGGAGAGCGATGCATTGTATCTCTCTCTCCTTGCAGAGAGGAAAAAAAAATAACTGTTTGTAAAAAAAACCCCAAAAAACTATTAAATAAATATTAAAAAATACTTAGATCAAGGTTTGATCTAGTTCAGTGCCAGGGTTAGTGTTTGGATCAAGGTCAGGGTCAAAGGTCAGGATTTTTTTTTTTTTTTTTAATTTGGTATCAGTGTCAATTAGTGTCAGTGTGTTTTAGATAAAAAAAAAAAACAAAAAACAAAATGCGCACTATTGTTTCAGGGCTGTAGTACATGTACAAACAACAAATAACATACACATATATGGTATCACTACGATCGTCAAGAGCTGGAAAATATATTTTGGGTTATTCTTTGGTGTAGGTTATGGTAGTAACAAGAAAACACACAGCTAGATTTAAAAAAAAGTATTATTTTTTTACTATTTTGGGCCAGTTTTCCTTTGATAATAAAAAAAAAATTCAGGAACTATCCATTACTATTTACCACCAAATGAAAAACCAAAACGCGGTATAATTCACCTGGATGTACAAAGTAGTTGTGATGAAATGTACGGTTTTACTAACACTGGTCAAAGTTGTAAAATTTTACTTAGGCTTTAAGATTTGTTTTACCCTTTGGTGTGAAGGGGTTAACCTACCTTTCACAGTACTTGCCCTCATATCCAGGAAGACAGGCATCACAACGGAAATCATCAATACCTTCTAGCACACAGGTTGGGCTAAAGCTGAAAGAGAATAAATCACTAGTTAATAAAAATGTAAGAAGTCATAAAAAAGAGAGTACAATGAGTGAGAGAAAAAGAGAGTGATAAAAATGAAACAAAATTAAGGTTCATATTTAGTCCCCTACTATGATAATGCATCTGAATATACATATATTATAAATATGTAAATAAGTATGGAAATAGTTGGGTTTAATTCATGATGCTATCACAAAAAGCAGATACAGACATATGGAAAAGCTCCTACCTGTTAGCGTTTCCCTTGGGACAGGCACACAGTGAGCAATCTGAGATTGATCCTGTCACCTTGCCATAGTAACCTGATGCACAGACGTGACAGTGGTGTCCTGCAGTATTATCTCTGCAACCCTGTTAAGTGTAAAAATAGATGTATAAAACTGACATATTCTATATGTTCTCTACACATGCATACTGTACAAACACATTTTAAATATTTGCAGGGCTGTTTTTGCTGAAATGGGGCAGTGGGCCCATGTCATGAGACAGAACTAAGTTTTTCCACAATATTTGTTATATCCGAATGAAGGGAGAAGCGATCTACAAATGCTTTGAATGCTGGAAAACGGCTGCTGTTACTATAATCTCACGAGATTACAGTAAGAGATCAGTCAAACACACAGTTTACTAAGCAGCTGTAAATAAATGCTTCGTTTGCAGTTCCTCTGATTCTCCAGCTCTGAGCTGGAGAATCTGGAGGGAGAACACAGATCTCCAGTGAAGGGCTGACATCACTCCTTCATACACTGGCCATCTGTGTGCTGAGATGATCCGCGGAGAGCATCTTCTCCGTTAATCATCTCTGTTTCCTAAACCACTAATGATCAGAGATCAGCAACGATCCTCAGGATTGCTGCTGATCTCTGTTTCATAAAAGGACACCATAATCCAAAACTAAATCCACACATGAACCAATTGTTGCTTGTAGTTGAGTCTTTAGAAGAAATCAGATGGTAAATGTGCAAGTCACCACACAGTTCTCTATTATTCAGTTGTACTTCAGCTGCTATTTACAATTATTCAAATGTTCAGTCTCAATTATTATTATCATTATTATTATTATTATTATGCAGGATTTATATAGCACCAACAGTTTGTGCAAGATTTTAGAAAAAAAGGAAGACAGTTTACAACTCAATTCAAGACAAGAGAATAAAATTGACCATGCTCCTGAAAGCTTACAATCTAAAATGGGACAAGTGATACAAAAGGTAGTAACAATGAGACTGAGATTTTAATGAACAGCAGTGGTACCTCCATACTCACACACTTCAGTATTATTTTCCCCAACAGTGGAGGGTCTTCCTGATTTGATACTGTATAACTGAATAGATTGTTTGGCTTGCCTTTATTTTTCATAGTTTTTATACATTTAAAGAAGATTGTACAGAGATTGTACATTTGTATTGTATTGTGTATAGCCAGCTTTAAATTACAAATATCTTACTAGAGTTATGAAACTGCACTGTAAAGCATTTTATTATCCTACATACTCAACTAATTTTCTGCATGTTACGGTACAATCAATGCTAAACGACAACACAACTCTTCCTGTTTGCATCTAACATACAAACATTGTGTTCTATTATACCAGGTATATGTGAAAATATTTAAAACATGTATTTGTGATACATTACACACAGAGCATAGTGGTATAATTTATAAGGGTGTATGTTCCCTGTTTCTAATTACTGGGAAAGTAGGTAAAGGTGATCATGAAATACTGTATATTCTTTGCAACAGTTCTCAATTTAAATTATTAACTTGCCTTTTAATTAAAATACAGTGCTTTAAAAACACAGATGCTAACAATATTTCAACTATGACTGTATAATACTGTACACAAAGGAAACCTACCAGACATTCTCCGGTATCTGGATCACAAATTTCACTGTGGTTACTGCACTGACAAGGTACACATGGAGCAATGTATGACCGCAGTCCTCCTACATTTAATTCTGTCACTTTCTCTCTGTAGTAGCCAGGTGCACACTCCTGATACAGTGAATTAAAAGAAACAATGTTAAATGAGACAGATATATTATTTCCTGACCAAAAGCTAATTAATAAGGAATGCAGATCACCTGGCATGAAAGGCCTGCATAGCCAGGAGGACATTCACAGATCTCTATAAGATGAGCTGCTTCTCGTCCAGAATGCATTTCTGCTGCTTCCACTGCAATGTCCATTGAGATATTTGATATCCTACAGATTGTGAGAAACAGTACTTTGTAGAGAGTTTTTTACTTATAAGCTAACATCAACTAAACATTAAAACATGCACATGTGTACACACTAATGAATATACACACACAGTACACACAAACGCATACAGAACATTGCATTAAAAACTCAATTAAGGTTTAAGAAAATCAGAATAAAGAAATGAGAAAAATTTGGCCAAAACAATCAATTTCCATGTTTAATCTTTCCAGAGCATGTCAGGGATACTATTACAAGGATCTGGCTGGATTTTATTTTGGGTCTTGTGTGGTTCCAGTGCAGTCATCTGGTCACTGTCTGTGGAACACTCTGCTAAGATGTTAAAAAAAGTCAGGGTGAAATGACATCCTTGTTCCATAGACATGCCCTTTAAACTTTCTCTGCCACCAGTTTACCAGTGTCTGCCTTTCAGTCTGTGCCTCTGAACTTTCCTCATCTGTATCTGGTTTTATTACCCCCTAAGGATATATAATGATTTCTTCCCACCCAAGGATTTCTAAGAACATTATATGGAGTTTCCTGCCGCCAAGCCCCCTTTTTTCTTTACTGTAAATCCAGAGATGCTTTTTTCTTTCTTCTGTTTCAAGTTATGGCTTTAGTCTTGTAGTCGTGGCCTGGTTTCTGCTTTGTACATTGTGCCTACTGACCTCAGCTCTCCTGGTTCTTTTTGATTATCTGCTGACATCTGCTTCAGCCTTCTGCCTTTGTAACTCTGTGATGATATATACTCTTGCCTGAGAATTTGTTATTAGTGGTACAAACCTGGGGCTTCTTCCTTCATGATATCCTTGGTAAACACCTGGCTCTTCAGCATCCACACAGATCTCACTTATGGATCTGCACCATTCAATGCCAAAAAATCTCTAAGCTTCCAGCCTTTGACTAGTGGTCTCTTATTGACCATTTCAGCTAAACCCTTGCTGGCTGTTATAGACAACGTTAAAACATATTTTTGAGCTTGCTGGGAGTACCCCTCATTAAATCTTAGAGTTCATCAGCTCATCCCCCAATTCACTGATGCCAACCGGTAACCTGAATCCTATTGTTTAAAAAGGGGGGCTAATAGGACAAAAAAACAGCTTACTCATCAGGCCAAGTATGGTTTGCCACTGCTTTATTAGTGAAGTTCCAGTTTTCTAGTCTTCCATAATTGATACGTTTTCTCTCTCAATTAACATTGATTGTTTTTAATGCTTATACTGCTAGCATTAGTAAATAGAAAGAAAAAAATCATATTATATTTACCTGTTTTAACCACTTCCCACACGGCCTATAGTCAAATGATGACCTGGCAAACGTCTGGACCCTCCAGGAGGGAGTTATATGACGTCCTTCCCAGATCGCGCTTTGCACGTGCCCGCAGGGCCGTGCTGTGGCGAGATCGGTTACCGGCTGTGTGCCCCGGCCGTCATTTGACTATAGACCAGGCGAACCTCTCGTCCCTCCAGGAGGGCGTCATATGATGTCCTTCCCAGATCACGCTTTGCGGTGACAGTTTCCCTCCCCTGTCAGCTCCGTCACCATGCTCCACCCCCAAAAGACTCCCGGTCAGCTGCAGAAGCTGACAGACTTTTATCCAGCCTGTGATCCTTGCAGCCAAGATGGCACCAGCGGCCTGCAGAGCAGTCCCACCGCTCTATCACATGAAGGACCTGCCTACACTCCCAATATGAGGCTGCTGTTGCCACTATACAATGGGGACCCGGATGAGTCCTCTCCTCCTCTGTCCCCTTCTACACGGAGCCCAGGAAAATCAAGGCCCAGAATAGAGGAACCCACACATGCAGTATCATATATGCCTACCTTCCCCACGATCTTGCTTCACAGCTACAATCTGCTCTTAAAGCATTCCCAGCTTCTGATCAGCCAGTCTCTGAACTCGCAATGAAGAATATGCTTCTGTCTTTAAGGCAAACACTGCATAATGTCATAGCAGTGGTCATGGCTCCTATATCAAACACTGTACATGAACATGCGTTATGCCTGAACCATGTTGAAACCAAAATGAGCAAACTGTACACGACCCATAATGACATGGTAGACGCTCACATAGATCACGACACAGAACTACAACAATTAAAATTCCAAATAATGGACCTAGAAGACCGCTCAAGGCAGAATAATATCAAATTCCGTGGCATTCCAGAGTCGGCTGGCCCTGATACCCTGATGTCTTATCTTCAACAATTGATGAAACACCTCATTCCATCTTTATTGATGTGGAGCTAGTGATCGATAGAGCACATAAAATTCCAAAACAATCTTTTCTACCCACCTCAGTCCCTAGAGATGCACTGGCATGAGTATACTTCTACCATGTCAAAGAGAAGCTTATGGCGGCAGCGAGAGCTCAGACTCCTCTCCCTACATTCCATGCAGGCGTCAAATTATACGCCAACCTATACCAGGTGTTTTCATATCTTCATCTGCTTCCTCAAAAATACCCAATAGACTTCGGTCAATGTATATGGTCCAAACGCAAACCAAATCCAATTTTGCAAATAGCTACACGCCAAGATTTCATCACTCAGGAAAGACAACTTAATTATAGGAGGAGACTTCATTATAGTTGGAAATGTCCACCTGAACTCTTCTTCAGGAAAACGCCCCTCGGCTTACTCGTTGAACCACTTCTTACACGCCAATGATCTATATGACATTGGAGATGCCAACATGGGGCAGAAAGGGACTATTCATACTATTCTCCCTCCCAACTCTCGTACTCAAGGATAGATTTCTTCCTCTCTGATAAATGGACTTTGCAACATATCGCCTCATCAGAAATAGGCTCAATTACATGGTCCGATCATGCTCCCATAAGCATTATCAGTGGCAACTCGAACATATCATACATCTCGTGTTCCTGGAGACTTAACTCTACGCTACTGGAAGAACCTATTAATCGGAAAACTATTACGAAAGCTCATTCTATCTTCTTCGGTACAAACGACACACCTGACATTTCTGTATCTACTTTATGGGCTACATACAAAGCTTACAGTTGCAAGAAAAAGTATGTAAACCCCTTGGGATTATGTGGAGTTTTGCATGAATTGGGCATAAAATGTGCTCTGAAAGTCATCTAAGTCACAACAATAGAAGAACACAGTCTGCTGAACATAATACTACACAAACATTAGATGTTGCCATGGTTTAATTGCACATAACATGTAAACATTCACAGTGCAGGGAGGAAAAAGTATGTGAGGCCCTAGCTTAATGACTTCTCCCAGAGCTAATTGGAGCCAGGAGTGAGCCAACCTTGACTCCAATAAGTGTGATGATATTGGATGTGTTGCTGACAGCTGTCCTGCCCTTAAAAAACACACACCTGCTTTGGGTTTACTGGTTTCAAGAAGCACTGTCTGATGTGAACCATGCCTCACAGAAAAGAGCTCTCAGAAGACCTACGATCAAGAATTGTTGACTTGCATGAAGCTGGAAAGGGTTACAAAAGTATCTCCAAAAGCCTTGATGTTCATGTGTCCACGGTAAGACAGACTGTCTACAAATGGAGAAAGTTTAGCACTGTTGCTACTCTCCCTAGGTGTGGTCGTCCTGTAAAAATGACTGCAAGAGCACAGAGCAGAATGCTGCATGAGGTAAAGAAGAATCCCAGAGTGTCAGCTAAAGACCTACAGAAATCTCTGGCACATGCTAACATTTTTGTTGACACATCTACAATAAGGAAAACATTAAACAAGAATGGAGTACATGGGAGGACACCACGGAGGAAGCCATTGCTGTCCAAAAAGAATATTACAGCACGTTTGAAGTTTGCAAAAGAGCACCTGGATGTTCCACAGCACTACTGGCAAAATATACTGTGGACAGATGAAATCAAGATTGAGTTGTTTGGGCAGAACACACAACACTATGTGTGGAGAAAAAAAGGCACAGCACACCAACATCAAAACCTTATCCCCACTGTAAAACATGGCGGAAGGAGCATCATGGTTTGGGGCTGCTTTGCTGCCTCGGGGTCTGGACGGATTGTTGTCATTGATGGGAAAATGAATTCCAGAGTTTATCAAGACATTTTGCAGGAAAATATACGACCATCTGTTCGCCAACTGAAGCTCCGCAGAGGATGGGTGATGCAACAGGACAATGACCCAAAGCATACAAGTAATTCAACAAAACAATGGCTGTAGCAGCACAGAATACGCCTTCTGGAGTGGCCCAGTCAGAGTCCTGACCTCAACCCGATTGAAATGCAGTGGCATGACCTTAAGAGAGCGATTCACACCAGACATCCCAAGAATATTGCTACACTGAAACAGTTTTGTGAAGAGGAGTGGTCCAAAATTACTCCAGATCGTTGTGCAGGTCTGATCTGCAACTACAAGAAATGTTTGGTTGAGGTTATTGCTGCCAAAGGAGGGTCAACCAGTTATTAAGTCCAAAGGTTCACATACTTTTTCCTCCCTGCACTGTGAATGTTTACATGTTATGTGCAATTAAACCATGGCAACATCTAATGTTTGTGTAGTAATATGTTCAGCACACTGTGTTCTTCTATTGTTGTGACTTAGATGACGTTCAGAGCACATTTTATGCCCAATTCATGCAAAACTCCATGTAATCCCAAGGGGTTCACATACTTTTTCTTGCAACTGTAAATGAGGGGGATCCTAATTAAGATAACCTCTCAGATTGTCACTCAGAAGAGGTGCCAGGTTGAAAAGGTTCTATTAAAAGGGCAGAGGAACATAATAAACACTACTGCAATTAATTCAACTTCCTTACTAGCACTTAGGAATAAACTTCACTCCTTACTGTTATTCAAATATGATCTTAATTTACAGAGAATTAAATCAACGTATTATTCTCTAGGAAACAAAGCCGGATCTCTTCTAGCCAGATTGGTCAAACAACAATGCCTCAAATCCAAAATAAGTTCAGTCCGACACCCCCTCTCAAATTCTCCGGTAACCAACCCCCTAGACATAGCTAATGCACTTACTGAGTTTTACCAATCTCTTTATAATCTTAAAAATGGTAAGGAAACAATTCAACCATCCCCCACCTCCATACAACTTTTTTTAAACTCATTCCCTGCTCTCTCTCCATCCCAAACCCAAGAAATCTCAGAACCATTCTCCCCTAAAGAAATCAAATCGGCGAGTAAAACTCTCCCACTTCACAAATCCCCAGGAGGAGACACCTATACCAGTGAATACTATAAATGTTTTGCTAACATCCTCTCTTCACATCTAAAAAACCTCTTCAATCATACATCATCCTCTGGCTCTTTACCTAAAGAAATGTGTCATCACTACGATTCCTAAACCAGGCAAAGATTCCCAATTGGTACAAAACTATAGACCTATATTTCCCATAAACATGGATATGAAATTATTTGCAAAATTAATTGCCCGCAGATTGCTCTCCTATCTTCCAACTTTGATCCATCCAGATCAAGTAGGGTTTATACTGGGGCGACAAGCCCCAGATGCCACCAGATGATTACTCTCTCTAATTTACAGCCTAGAAACTCAGTAAAAGCCTTCTCTGCTCCTTTCATTAGACGCCGAGAAGGCGTTTGCCTGCATTTATTGGGGATTTATGCAAGTCGTTTTACAAAAATATGGTATTACAGGTTGGTTAAAAAATGCTATCATGTCTTTATATTCTTCTCCATCTGCCAGGTTCCTTAACGATGGCGTACTATCTCAGCCATTTAATATCACCAATGGCACTAGGCAAGGTTACACTTTATCCCCTATTATTTTTGGGTTACTTATTGAACCTCTTGTGACCAAGTTAAGGGAGGAGGCTTTATTTACAGGCATCACATATCAAGGTACCGAACACAAAATTAGCTTATTTACCACTGATATCATTTTAATGGTCACCAATCCTTCCCAATCCCTACCTCTAATCCGATCGATTCTTAACCAATATACAGAAGTTTCCTATTACAAATTAAACAAAAACAAATCTCTAATACTAAATTTACACACACCTCCAAAAATTCAACAATATCTCACTAAAAAGTTCCCTTTATTTGGGCCAATCACTTAGGAATTAATCTAACACCTTCTACTTCTAAAATTATTGAAACCAATATATACCAAAAGAACTCCAGTTGCTTCGAACATATGGCCTTTCCAAAAACTAGGATGTATTGCTGCTCTGAAAATGATTTTCTTATCCAAATTATTATACATTTTTCGGACCCTCCCTAACCTAGTACCCAAAAATGTTTCGACAATATTCAGAGACAAATGTCTGAATTCCTCTGGGAATCTAAATGCCCTATATATACTACGAATGTACTAATCCATCCATCCCATAAAGGAGGAGCGGGTCTTCCTCGTACACACTCATACACTCATACTACTTGGCTACACTTCTTGACCAAATATATTTTTGGTGGCCTCCGACTAAAGAAAAAATCTGGTCCCTTATAGAATCATCACTATCCCCCCCCCCCTTTATCCGCAGAATCTCCTTATGCTACACTTGGTAAATCATGCGTGACCCTGTCTAAATCATCCATGCATCAAAGCATCCCTAGCAGCTTGGTTCATGCTTCTCTCCCATAATTTCACTGAAGCTAGTTCAATACCTATCCCCATCAATTCCTTACACTCATTCATTCTCAACCTAAACATGTGGGAAAAATGTGGTATCAACTTAGTTCTAGACCTCTATATAGCAATGACATAGCACCCTTTCAAGTTCTCCAAAACAAATTTTCTTTGCCCACATCAGAATACTTTAACTATATGAGGATTGTCCACTGTATCCACTCTAAAAATATTCCATTTACCTCTACACTTCTGCCTCCAGTGTTCCAATACTTTCACAAGTCTAAATACCCAGGAAAGGGGATCTCTCTGTTCTACTCCCACCTCACTAAGCTAAAACTATCCATAAGAACGTCGTCCTTACATAACCTGGAACTGATACTTTGCCTATCCTTTTCAGACCAAACTTGGAGTAAAACCTTCAGCCTTACATACAAATCTTCCTGATGTGCTAAATATCGGGAATCTTATCTAAAACTCCTCCATCAATGGTACTTAACTACTCTCCGACTCTCAAAAATGTATTCTACTCACTCCCCACAGTGCTGGCGTCAATGTGCAGAAATGGGTTCCCTACTACACTTACTATGGTCTTGTAAATGTTTGCAATCCTTCTGGAATAATATTTTTAATCTGATTTCTGAAGTAATAGGCTCCACGGTGAGCCCTGACCCTTCCCTAGCTTTATTTCATATTGGTCTAGATAGCTTTCCTTCTAACTCCCGCTGTATCGTAATCCACATATTTGCATCCAAAAATAGTATCACCAGACTATGGAAATCACTTACATCTCCCTCGAAAACAATGGTAATTACTGATATAAATTATCAAAGTGACATGGAAAGGAGATTTACCATTGCCAATTTACCATACCCAAAATTTGCTCGCTCCTGGTATCAATGGTCACTCAATACCAATTGTAAAATTATAATCTAATGGCTCACCCTCTTTGGAGTATAAAATATTATCTTGACTGGTATGTTGTGGTTTAACCTTTTAGTTTAGGCAGTTGTTTCTATATTTTCCACCCCCTCCCTGTCCTATTACCCCTTTCTCCCCTATATTCCCCATGGTTCATAGTTGTCCTAGAACAGGTAGAAATTGGTTCCAGCACCGTATGACTTTCTCTGTAACTGTGTATACCACATTACAGCTATCTGTTGGAATAGTCAATCACTATCTCAATTGCTTTCACAAAAATGAACCAGTAATGTTTTTCTGTCTTCTATGTTACTGTATTTGCTGAAAAACTTCAATAAAAAGTATTTGAATATAAAAAATAAATAAATAAAATGGTAGGCCGCCAAATACCAAAATGTGAGATGAAAAAAGTTAAAATAGACAAAAGCCTGTGAACCTTGTTTCAAATTTAATAAATCACCCCTGAAGTGTATTTCATATTGTATACACTCTCAATATAGTCCACAGATTACTGTTGAATACTGCCTCTTATTTCTGTTTATGTCAGTGAAGACAGACTGTAACTGTATTCGGTCTTAAAAGATTCTGCTGACTCCAAGGTTCCTGTGTTAGCTAACAAAATTCTACATTATTGTTTTCTTTACTGATACAGATAAACTGCAAGCAGCGTGTGAAAAACACAATCACTTTTCTGACTGCAGGTTAGAACATGTATCTAAGTACAGACATACCTGCTCTGTTGTAATCCATAGCCATATGATGCTTTTATAAGTATGTAATCGAGTTTACTTAGAACCGACATGAAATCCATCCTTGTAACTGTCTCATCAAATACAGAATTATGATATTTCCAGTGTTCCTGAAGAAGAGGGCAGAAAAACGCACACCAGCTGAAATTAACTGTCATATATAATTGCTCAGTGTAAATTAGGATGTCCAAGGGGATAATTTTGGAAAATTCTTGGTGTTATGTGGTTTGCTTTGTTAATGAATTCTTAACATTATGCTAATATTTTCCAAACAAAACAATTTAATTAGTATACAGTAGGGCTTTTTTAAACCACTAACTATATTTCTGTGTGGACTTCTCATTGTGTATGCTTTGTACACAATGGCCCTGGAGTTTGTTTGGGTGACAGGGACAAATGATATAAATGTTTCATGAATATTTGTCCTAAAACTTAATGCAATCTTGTAATGTGTAAAAACTGTTTAAAAAACAGCTACAGAGAATAAGCTACAAAGGTAAAAATCAAGAACAGGTTGCAAACTGTGATTTTATATAGTATACGCCATCAAGTCGTCTGCAATATAAAACTAAAGCTAAATCCATATTTACCTCTTTGAAGCTGACTTGTATCTCACTTCTCACTCCATTTGCTAGGTTTGGTTTGGCCATGTAAAGAACTTGCTTCCTGAGATGTCCACCTTTCATTATAATGTAAGGTTCAAAATCTGCAGGACCAGACTCCCCCAGTGCATAATATGTAATAACATACTTCAGCATGCCACCATATGCCAATGTCTGCAAATAAATAAAACACAAATACATAAAGAACAAATTGGTTTTGAAATTGAAAGCAATGTACAGTATATATACATACTGTATATATATATATATATATATATATATATATATATATATATGATATTTTGCATTGATTTTGCATTAGTTGACCCCATAATACTCTCCCTTTCTAAATCTTTCCAGTAATCCATAGTTACTGGATAATGTAATTTTTCTATGACTCTGAGGTATGAGATAGCTTTCAGCTTGATACTGTAATTTTCTATGTTTTTGGCCTTTACTAGTTGACACATTATTATAGCTTATTGGTCTCTGTAATTAGACTAAGTTTTGGCTTCTGTCACCGTAAATCCTGGATTCTTGTTATATAATTGTATAACTTTAAAACTTCAATAAAAACTTTGTGGAATAAAATCTTTCGAGCAATAAAGTGAATGGTTTTATTCCAGTTCCTAAATGTGTGTTACTGAAAGTGGAACTTAAGGTTTTGGGTTTTTTTTTTATTTGTCTTTTTTTGTTGCAATACTAACTTTTCAACTTGAGATTTACTTTTTTATAGGAAATCTTTCATGATAAATATATGATTGTTATTTCTGATCTGTTCTAAAAATGCTAGTTCCCGGAGCCTTATATTGACACATTTCAATACTTTTTCAGACTTTTATGAAAGTTCATATCTAGTTAAGAGTATACTGCAACAGAGAGACAGACAAGGATGAAGCCCAACAGAACATATATTTTGTCATACTGGCCCTTGAATACACGTCACACACACGTCACACGAGAAACATTTATGACAGCAATACACTACATAAAATATGAGTTCACCGTACCTTTTCACCCAGGAACTGTGCAGGTAATTGCCAATAAAATATATCTGATAAAAAGTGTTGCCGTATCACTGATCCATCTAGTAACATGTCAACAGCCTCGGAGAATACACCATTTGTAGTTCCATTCATGTCATTCAGAGAAACCACATGGAGCAAAGCCTGGTCTGGAACTAAGGTGATCTAAAATATAGGATATTTAGAATGTAACAAGTACCCATTTATTAGATAATAAATAAATAAATTATATAAGAACAATAAAAGTTGAAAGCATTGTAAGAAAACTCTTTTGTCGCATTTAAGTAGGTGAAATGTGCAACAACTTTGCACAGTGGAAACGTTTTACAGTTTATTGTGACCTTTATGATAATTCTCAGGTTTTCACTTTTCAAAAGAACTAAGAGCTACTTAAATGACAATAAACTGGTCTACATATAATTTTGAAATTAAAAACTATGGTCTTAGCAGGTAATCATGCAATTTCTAAAAGGTGGTCACATTTATAACAGGTGCTTAGATAATAACTATCAAACCTCTGAAGTTACTAGTTCTAATAAATAAAGGGTAAAAGAAACTTGGGAATGGAAACAAAGGAATAAAACGTAAATATCACCCAAAGCCAGTAAAATAATATATCCGTAACCATACTGTACACTGTGTAGTGACATTAAACAGGCAATAGGCTAAGTTCGCAAAGATTTATAGTAAGGCTAAAGATCTTTATTTTAGCCATGTGAAAATGTAATTTTCAAATCTCATTAGACTTAGAGGCAAATGACTGTCAGGTTTTTTAAATATGGCCCCTTATCCTTATAAGCTTTGTGAATGACCCTATTTCATTTTAATATTCATTTTAATTTTAGATGTAACAATGTAATGATATTTCAGATTTGTGAGGCTTTTGATTACCGTATTTTTCGCTCCATAAGACGCACCTGACCATAAGACGCACCTAGGTTTTAGAGGCGGAAAGTAAGAAAAAAAATATTCTGAACCAATGGACTGCAGACACAGTACAGGAAATGACCAGAGACTGCAGACATAGTACAGGAGATCACCAAAGACTGTGGACAGTACAGGAGATGACCAGAGACTGCAGACATACTACAGGAGAAGACCAGAGACTGCAGACATAGTACAGGAGATGACCAGAGACTGTGGACATACTACAGGAGAAGACCAGAGACTGCAGACATAGTACAGGAGATGACCAGAGACTGTGGACATAGTACAGGAGATGACCAGAGACTGCGGACATACTACAGGAGATTACCAGAGACTGCGGACACAGTACAGGAGATGACCACAGACTGCGGACACAGTACAGGAGATGACCACAGACTGCGGACACAGTACAGGAGATGACCACAGACTGCAGACACAGTACAGGAGATGACCACAGACTGCGGACACAGTACAGGAGATGACCACAGACTGCGGACAGTATAGGGATGACCAAGAGACTGCGGACAGTATAGAGGATGACCAGAGACTGCGGACAGTATAGGGGATGACCAAGAGACTGCGGACAGTATAGGGGATGACCAAGAGACTGCGGACAGTATAGGGGTTGACCAGAGACTGCAGACAGTGCAGGAGATGACCAGAGACTGCGGACAGTGCAGGGGATGACCAGAGAATACGGACAGTACAGGGAATGACTAAGAGACTGCGGACTGTATAGGGGATGACCAGAGACTGCGGACAGTATAGGGGATGACCAGAGACTGCAGACAGTATAGGGGATGACCAGAGACTGAGGACAGTGCAGGGGATGACCAGAGACTGCGGACAGTGCAGGGGATGACCAGAGAATGCGGACAGTGCAGGGAATGACTAAGAGACTGCGGACTGTAAAGGGGATGACCAGAGACTGCGGACAGTGCAGGGGATGACCAGAGACTGCGGACAGTGCACGGGATGACCAGAGACTGCGGACAGTACAGGGGATGACCAGAGAATACGGACAGTACAGGGAATGACTAAGAGACTACGGACAGTATAGGGGATGACCAGAGACTGCAGACTGTATAGGGGATGACCAGAGACTGTGGACAGTGCAGGGGTGACCAGAGACTGCAGACAGTATAGGGGATGACTAAGAGACTGCGGACTGTATAGGGGATGACCAGAGGCTGTGGACTGTATAGGGGATGACTAAGAGACTGCGGACTGTATAGGGGATGACCAGAGACTGCGGACAGTGTAGGGGTGACCAGAGACTGCAGAGAGTATAGGGGATGACTAAGAGACTGCGGACTGTATAGAGGATGACCAGAGACTGTGGACTGTATAGGGGATGACTAAGAGACTGCGGACTGTATAGGGGATGACCAGAGACTGTGGACAGTGCAGGGGATGACCAGAGACTGAAGACAGTACAGGGGATGACTAAGACTGCGTACCTTTGGGGAGGGAGGGGGAGCTGGTACCTGAATTTGACAGGTACCCGCTCCCACTTCTGCGGCATTGTCCTCCCTTTAGTGTGGGCACCAGGCTGACAGCCGGGTACCCAGTGCGCATGTGCGAGAATCGCTGCGCTTTGTGATTGGTCCGGCGTCTTTTGGGACCTGTCATGTGTCCCAGAAGACGCCTTACCATTCACAAAGCGCAGCGCTTCTCGTGCATGCGCACTGGGCACCCGGCTGTCACAGTCGGGTGCTCACACTAAAGATGCCGGAGTGGACCGTGGAACAGGTAAGGTCCTGCTGCACAGAAGAGAAGAGCGGCTGGCCTGGTATTCTCACATGGCGGCGGTGGGAATACCGGACCGGCTGCTCCATATTCACTCCATAAGACGCACTGACAATTCCCCCATTTCTTTGGGGGAAAGAAGTGCATCTTATGGAGCAAAAAATACAGTAATTCTAGCAATTTGTGCCATATAACAATAAGAGGTAAGTTTTCCTTCCAAATATTTCCAAATTGTTTTATTTATTAAATAGAATTAACATTCTTTTAGCCCAGAGATTTGTCCTGACTTCTAACAGTATGTAATCAAAATTATATAGAGAAGTGAATCATTTCTTAATATGCAGTTTACAAATTGGGTGATGTAGTCTTAACAAAATCATTTCTTAATGTACAGGCATGACCACATCTGTGATTTTACTGATGTAACTCCAGTAAATACTATAGCAATAAAACCAGATATGTACTATATTTGCAAGCCCATACAGACCTTGTATTTTGAAAAGTAATTTGAATTAATCACTATTTTGAAATAAATTTATATAAAATCTCCTGATATTTGAATCTATTTGAGCAGGTGAGCACAAGCCTTAGTTTGATTATAAACTTGAAAATTAAAAATTTAGAATCGTTGATATCACACTAGCAGAAGAACAGTAATTTACAACTGAATTAATTTAGAAAAATAAAATGGATTTTACAGCCTGTAGCTCTGGATGGATCCTCAATATCTCCCTGCTTGGATTTAAATTAAATAATGAAAAAATCATATATTTAGAGAATCCCTTGAAAGAATACACAGCCTAGAATACTATTAGAAATTCCCCAGTACTAGAAAGACCTGTGTGGCCTTGTGGCTCCAAATTACATGTAAAACAGCATATACAATCCTCATTTTTTAGATATGTGGCTGTGACCTCTCCACTTTGGAATCTGTGATTTTTTTTTTTTTAAACCAACATTTATTTTTGTAATCTTGCAATGCATAGGGAATATCACAAAAAGTCAGAATGGAATTTCTCGGGAATCATTTATTTACATTTATTTGTACAGTTGCTCCAAGTATATACATTTTCTATTTTCTGATAGTATTTTTACATAATTTTAGAATGAGTATGGCCTAATCATTCATATTTGTTCTTATCCCTTCTTCCAACAACCTGGTAGAAGGTAGAAACCCCAAGGGACTAATACCAGAATGGTACACATATATTTTAAAATAATTGGAGATGTATCCCCTCAAAAATTAGGCATAAAGGGAGATGGTAGTAGGACCCAGATTGACTGGTAGGAATCATACAAGTACTCACCCAGATTTTGATTTTCTATCTACTGAAGCTTACTCAACTGCGCTACAGTATACTGTGCACGAGAGCTAACTCTTGTGTATTAATGTAGCAAAGCCAACAGTCTTTATCACTATTCTAATTGTTACCATGTCTTTATTTCCATAAATATAATGTTAGACTGCTGAACTGTGTCAGTGCACCCCTTTTTGTGCTTTTATGTTGGCTACATCCTGGTTATATGTTTGGTATTTCACACAGGCGATAACATCACCTAATATGAAATCTTCCACAAAACCGGATATATATTGTAAAGTCAAGCTCCATACATGTTTGCATTAGTTTGACACATGGTTGTTTCTCTCACCCATGGTTTTTTGGGTGAATTTTGGACTCATTTTTTTTAAATACAACAATCAGTGCAATTTTCATGTATTTTAACCACATCCAAATTTAGCCTTGTGCTTTAGATATAGATTTTGTATTTTTAAATATTTGTTGATAATCATTTACTTCCAGTATACATGCAAACAACAATTGATATGGTTTACTCCAGACACAACCCGATAAAACAAGGTATATCCTTTTATAATATGTAGTGTTGCAAAAAGAGTAGCAAGAACTTTAAAAGGTATATTTTAATATGTACATCTTGTCTCCTCTCTTATATTTGAAGGGATGGATAAAAACATACTGTATAGAATGTCACTTACAGGAATGTGTACAAAGTCCTCAACTTCTGCACACAGCTGGGACACTCCAGAACAGCAAAACATGGAGAACAACCAAGGGGGTTTTCAGCATGCAGGGCGAAGGTTCCACCTTTACACTCATTGCAATAACTGCCAATAACATTGGCCTGAGAAATAAAACATAAGAAGGACGTTATTTCAGTTACAATACAGTATTAATAAAAAAATGTTACAGTATTAATAAAAAAATGTTACTTAGCAGCTACAGATAGGTCCAAAACATGCATGAAAATGCTAAAAAGTTTACATTCAAACTGCATGCAACACAACACAGATACACTGCTATGCAGGATGATATGGCAAAACAAAACAATGGGAAAATGGTTCAAGGAGCTCATAGAAATGATTATATTAACTAAAAATAAGAATATTTAAAATAGTATTAATTAAAAAATATATTAAAAAAAGATTATTATTGGTAAAAATACAGTCAAGATGTGCAAAAATAATCATCTTATTGTTATACAAAAGAATATAATACATGACAGAAAAGAAGATGAAAAAGATATGTGTAGAGAAAAAAAAAATCTTTGTTTTCTTTATAAAACAGCCACAGCCTGTGTAGAAAAGTCTGCTGCCTGCCAGTGTGCTGTTGGGAAAGGCCCCTTGCTCTTTATGTGGAAGGAGGGGGTCTCTCTGCAAAGGTCTGACACACCCCTGCAGAGTAAGAACTAGAGCTTCCCAATCAGCGGGAAGCATATGTTTTGCACACCATTGTTTTGATTTTCCTAAATGTTAAATTGACATTTAGTTGAAAGTTCAGTTTGACTATTCTCTGCAAAAATATTGTTTTAAATGCAGGAAATGCAGAGTTCATAAATGTTCCATCACTTGTAGATACAAGTATCTATGTATCTATGTTTTATCTAAGATTAATATGTAGTCAGCACAGACATTACATCTCTCAGCTCATAAACAACAATTTTATATTAACATAGTGGGGAAGATTTAATAAAGCTGGTTCACTCAGAATCTTGTGCACCTGTGCATGGTAGCCAATCAGCTTCTAACCTCAGCTTGTTCAATTAAGCATTAGCAATAAAACCTGGGAGCTGATTGGTTTCTTTGCAGAAGTGCGTGAGATTCTGAGTGAACCAGCTTTAGTAAAGAAATCCCAATGTGGCCACATGGAGGCAGTTACTTTCTCTTTTCTTTTAAGTTTTTATGGGACACAAGGTTTCTTTTTATTTGTAAAATTTGAAAAAATGACCACAGACTATATACTTAAAGTATCTCCAGCCCAACATATTTTTTTGCTTTGAGCAATGTGGCTGAAATCTTTTAGTTTGTTGGTTTGTTTGTTTTTTTACAGTCTGTGGTCCTATTGAAAAGATTTTTGCCCATATCCCATCTCTGAGATCTCCAAGACAGCAGAAAATGTGGTGACCAAGTGTTTCCCCACTTCATTTAAGTACACCTGTCATTAAAGCAGACCTTGCAGTAAAATGCATAATTATCAGCCTGCTTATTAGATCAGGGCCCCCTCTACATGAAAAAAAACTAAACAGAAAGGGAAAGGTTAAATTATATACTCACCTTACATCCATCTAATAAGTGGACCTTGCAATTTTCTGCAAGGTCTGCGTAAAAAAAAAAAACTTGCTTAAAAAGGCACAGCATAAAATACAGGCACGTCTTCTCTTAGTTGTCTTTATACATGTCCCAGGACTCCAAAACTGTGGGGTTTCCTGATCTACAAGCATTGACACTTGCTGGTAGTACTGAAGGCCAGGCCACCTTTTTATTAGTCCATTACTATAATGTGCACCATTACTAACCGATAAGAAGAAACAAGTTTGCTCAGCATGCTCCATGGTTATGGACATCCCAAGGCATATGGGTGCTTGCACTTACCTTACCAAGTTTTTTTTTGTATGTCTCGTGTACACAAAACAGTAAAGCCTGGTCACTAACCAACCTCAAGTCTGACTAGACAAAGGAGAACACTAATGAGGTCATCTCTCTATTCCCTCCTTAGTAAACTACTACCCTGTTTGGCATTACAATGTTATGTTACACTGAGAGAGAGCAGGTGCTCTGATCTGAACTCATGATAATTTAAAAAGAGGACCAGCATCTCTGCTGGTCCTCTTTTTAAATTATCATGAGCTCAGATCAGAGTAATGTAATGTTATATTTACATATAGGGGGAAATTTACTAAAACTGGTACATACAGAATCTGTAGGAGCTGTGCATATTAGCCAATCAGCTTCCAGGTTTTATTGTCAAAACTTAATTGAACAAGCTGAAGTTAGAAGCTGATTGGTTATTATGCACAGCTGCACCAGATTCTGTGTGCCCCAGCTTTAGTCAATCACCCCCTCACTGTTATCAGAAACAGCTAGCTTACTTTAATCAATAAAGAAAATATATACATAGGTGTGATTCAACCCATTCATTTTGAATGGCTGTTTAATGCACCACATTGTGCAACGTGTGACAAAGTGTGTGATGCAGCACACAGCATTGTGCAGCGCACTGCCCATGTGCAGAGAACATTGTTAAAGTCTTGAGGGTTGTGGTAGTGGTTGACTTTTAAAAAACAAAATGTACAGAAGGAGTGGTCAATCAAACCATCCAGATTACCTATCACAGATTTTTTTTACCCAAGCTGCATAAGGGGAATATGCAATGAATGAATATGCATGTCTATTTTCTGTTTTTTTAACTGTAAGAATGTAACCAGTTCAAATAAAAAAGTCAATATACTTTATACTGTCTTTTTGTCCTGACTCTTCTTCAAAAGAAAAATATATATATAGAAGCAAAACATTAACTAAGCAAAATATCTCCCATTAGGGCTAATTTAGATTAGTGTATCTAGGTTCTCGTATTTGTACAAGTGTATTTTGTGAATACACCACTAGATGGCAGTGTATGAGCAACAAAAAAGAACGCAATAACACATTTAAACTTATTCACCTGAAATATAAATCATTGGTCTTCATTCTGCAGAATAAGTAGTGTACGTTTACCTTACAAGCACAGCTACCAGTGTCTTCTTCACAGCTACACGTTTTCTGTTCATCATCACACCAGGCAGACTGGGTTCCTTTTACATCACAGTCACAGGAGATGCAGTTGGGGTAATTTCTGTATCCAAATACACAAGTATTGCAAGTCTGTCCAGCAAACTCCTTCCTGCACAGACACTGGCCAGTAGTGAGGTCACACTGGAGAATGGAAGACCCATCTGTACTGCAGTTGCATTCCTAAAATGAATAATATCAATGTGATACACTTTAAAGGATTCATATAATATATATACATATAGGGCTTTTTTTCAGTGGGGAACACAGTTCTAGCACCTCCAGCACTGGATGTATATAATGGCAAGGGGTGCTGAGGTCTATTGATGCTTGCTGCTAGGGGATCTATTGTTGCTGGATGGGGGTATTTTTTGCATGAGAGGTCTATTGTTGCTGGTGGGGGATATGTTGTTGCTGGGGGGAGTCTTATCTTTCTGGGAAGTCATTTGTTGCTGGGAGGGATCTACTGTTGAGGGAGGGGGTCTGTTATAGCTGGCTGCTGGAGGGTTTAGATTAGATTTAATGTTGCTGGGGGATCTCTTGTTGCTGGGGGGGGGGTATATTGTTGCCAGGGGGCCTATTGTTGCTTGCTTCAGGGAATCTATTTTACTGCTTTATCTTTAACAAATTCCAAATTACTTAGCACAACAATATGATACTTGGTTCTGTATTCTCTAAAAGGGGCAGTACTGGGAGGTGGGTAGGAGGTGGAAGCAAGGATTGAAGCTGGGAGGTGGGTATGGGGCGGAGACAAGGGGTGATTCAGAAAGGGGGAATTCCTGCCCTGCACCTATTCTCTGAGAAAAAAAGCCATATATATATATATAGGTGTCCTTTTATGACACAGAGAATAGCTACGATTCAACGGATCTCAGCTATTCTCTGGTCATTCACAGTTTATAACACTCAGGAGATCGTGTCAACCCTTCTCTGGAGATCTGTGTTCTCCCTCCAGATTCTCCAGCCCAGAGCTGGAGAATCAGAGGGACCAAAAACTAAGCAGAGATAATTTACCTCTGTTTAGTAAACTGATCTTTTACTATAATCTCGAGAGATTATAGTAAAATGACCCGTTTTTCAGAGTTTGTAGACCGTTCTCCAGCGTTTGGAGACCGTTCTCCCTTCGTTCGGAGAACTGCTTCATAAACTGCATTCACAGGAGAACTGTGTTCTCCGAGAATGCCGGAGAACTGAGCAGCGATCTATTACCGCTGGTTCACAAACGGACACCATAGATAGATAGATAGATAGATAGATATATCTATATATATCTATATATAACCCATTTATAGAACAAACAGGACCATACTTATAAAGTAGGGAATGTGAATTTTACTAGACATTCATTGGTAGTGAATCAATTACTGTCATTTAACGTGCACCCTGCAGTGAATGCTGGGTGAATGAATTATTTTTCCTAGCTTTTCTTACAGAATTATAATGCATTTTACTTACACTAAGCGATAGAGCATAAATAGGCCGCATGTAAATCTGATCTTTGAAGCACATTCCAGCAGCCCACTTCAACCAAACACTATTGGCATGCCTTTATGTTACCCATTCTCTTTCCAATATGTAACAGCTCTTTACAGCCTCCCCCTTCTCTCCTATTTGTTTATGCTACAATGTACCACTGCCAGGTCAATGCTAGAAAAAAAAAGCCTAGTCTGACATATAAAGGAAATCTGTAAACACTGTAATTATGAGCCCTAATGAGTGATATGGACATCCCTGGCTAATCACCCCTAGCAATCTCCTGAATTCCTTCTTAGTTTTGCTTGTACAATGAAAGTCAAACTGATACTGAGTCCAGTGGTGAATAATAAACACTATACTTTAGGTGGGTGGTGATTGGTATTATACTGCGTCCAACAGTGGATTTGGACCTGTATACCTTCAGTATAACTGTGTTTGGAATATTTTGTGCAAAAATGTTTAAGGTATCTTTCTCCTCAATCCTACATGGGGTACTCTACTGGCAAGTTCTTTACAAATAGGTTACTGACAATGCGGATTTTCATGTTGTATATCTTTTAAAACTTTTGTAATAAAATAGTTGATTTTTCTTTAGGGTGCCATGCCTCATGTATGTGCTGTTAAAATTGATCATTTTTGTTAGGATTAGTCCTCATATATATTTGTTTCTGTATCTAACAGTAATTGGAAGAAAGGGTAAAGTCTTGGCTAGTAAATTGCAGGATATGGTTTAGGTAGGAAGTAGGTTTTCAGTTAGAGGGTCATTAGTTAATAGTCTGGTCTGATACCGTTCTGTGTATTGAAAATATTGTGTGTCAGTAGTAGTTAATTGTCTTTTTAGAATACACAACTCCCTTAATAGCTGTTTTATGTCCTGGATTTTAGCTGTACTCTTCTTTAAGTGATTTTCTTTTCATACCAGACATCCAAGCTCAGGATCATGGCCCCAGTAGTTGGCATCGCAGAATTCGCACTTTGGCCCATGTGTGTGAGGGGGACAGATACACTCTCCGGTCTGGGAGTTGCAGTTATTCTGTGTATGCGCACAGTCACAAGCTAAGGACAAACAACATACACATCATACAGATCTAATCAACAAGAAAGACAGTTATAAAGAATACATGGATACTAGTTACCCTATATATAAATTAAAACATCTATTTAGGGAACTGAAACAACATTTCTTGAAATACAACTTATCAATTCACTGAAAAGCAGTGAAATCGCTGAATGCTTCTGGATCTTCTGTTTTTGTTATACAACTCTAATATCATTATATAAAACTTATAAAGAATCACCTTGAGATTCATTTAAGATGGAGAAAATGCAGAAAACAAAAAGGACACATAAGTAAAATAGAACAGATGTACGTATGAGACAATAGATATTCAGTGTTGCAAGCTGGCATTTTCCTCAGTCGCTTGAAGACTTACAGTTAGAAGCCAGGACAAGGGCACATAAAATATTACCTCAAGCAGACCATAGATGATACAACTTGCTTTCCTTCTACCATGGTTAGAACACAATGATTACTGCTAGTGGCTATAGCCACTGGCAGTAATCGCATTTAAAAAACTCCAACAGGCTAGTTGCACTGAAGTTGATCGATGGATTGACTTCAACACAACCAGCCTGCCCATAGCTGGATCAGATCTCAGCTGGTCCTTGCTGAATTGGCCGAGATTCGATCCATCTGTGGCTGGCTTTAGGATCCATTCACACGAGGTGCAGTGGGACTGCGTTGGGTGGCTATTCCCGAGAAGTCCCACCACACCCCCTTGTCTACGGTGTGGCCGGTTCACACTACACCACTGCATTTCGGTGGTGTGCGGGCGATGTGCGCTGGAAAAAGTACTGCAAGCACTACTTTTTTCCTGCACAGAGTAGGTCCCTGCACGCCGGCTAACAGAACTCTATAAAATGTCAATAGAGTGGCTGGTGTGAATGAGCCCTTATCTCTGTACTTTATAACTGAGTTTCTTTACTGTTATAGTAATAATTTTTTTTATTAGTTCTAAATTGTAAAATGTAATCATTTACTGAAAGTTTTATTTTATTCTAAAACATATCTTGCTTAATATGGCTTAAAGCCGTTCTCCAGGAATTACTTGTTTTGCATAGTTACATTCGTCCAGCTTGGTACAGTGTGAGTATGCATATCTCATACATGATGGGCTACTGGAGAAGCTGAAAATTACTGTAGTAGTCAGTGCTACTACAATGATAACATGATCTTTTGGATCCTGTTGGGGTTCTCTATGGGGTTGCTCCCATGGCAATACCACCATTCATACAAAGCTTTGAATTTTTATCAATAAATACAAGGCATTCTCTGACTGGATGAATATAAGGGGCAGAGACATTATGATTTCCACCTCATCCAATCAAAGAACATCTTATCATCATTGAAACAAAAATACAAAGCTCTGTGAATGGTGGCAGTGCTTTGTGAGCAACCCCCTTTAATAAGTATGCAGAAGAGAAGCCGCTCGCACAGGACCCAGACTTTTGCAGCTATGACGGTAGTAGCACCAACTGCTACAGTGATTGTCATCTTCCCCAGCAGCTCTTCAGGTATTAGAAATGCATTTTTACCTTGTGCAAATCTGGACCAATGTACATATGTAACATAGATCATTCTAAAGTTCAGCTTGTTTTGAGGATCTATTTTGTATTACTTTAGCTGCAGAAAATCAGAGAACTGCGCTGGCTGGAAGGTGAAAAAAATGAAACCATAGATGGAGATATTAATACAGGAAAAATGTGGAAAACCATTCTAGTTTCTAAAAGATTTGAAAAAGATAATTAATGCTGCAGAGGAACACCAGGGGGCAATGCAGGACCTCTCCAAATAATGTCCGAGGCAGCTTAGTTTTTCTAAAGTACTGTATATTTTTGCATCTTTTGCATGTTGCAATACATTTCTATTATATATACATATATATATATATATATATATATATATACATATAAAAAAACAACAACATTTATTTTATGAGAGAGATGGATTGCACTTCATCAACACAGTGACATTAAAAAAGCTGCTATTTTGATCTACCTCCTCTGTAAGACCTGTGAGCGCCTCTGCACTAATATATATACAGTGCATATATATATATATATATATATATATATATATATATATATATATATATATATATATACATACATACAGTGGGGATCGAAAGTTTGGGCACCCCAGCTAAAAATGTGTATTAATGTGCGTAAAGAAGCCAAGGAAAGATGGAAAAATATCCAAAAGGCATCAAATTACAGATTAGACATTCTTATAATATGTCAACAAAAGTTAGATTTTATTTCCATCATTTACACTTTCAAAATAACAGATAACAAAAAAATGGCGTCTGCAAACGTTTGGGCACCCTGCAGAATTTATAGCATGCACTGCCCCCTTTGCCAAGCTGAGACCTGCCAGTGTCATGGATTGTTCTCAATCATCATCTGGGAAGACCAGGTAATGTCAAAATTAAAGGTTTTAAATGCCCAGACTCATCTGACCTTGCCCCAACAATCAGCACCATGGGTTCTTCTAAGCAGTTCTCTAGAAAACTGAAACTGAAAATAGTTGATGCTCACAAAGCTGGAGAAGGCTATAAGAAGATAGCAAAGTGTTTTCAGATGTCAATATCCTCTGTTCGGAATGTAATTAAGAAATGGCAGTCATCAGGAACAGTGGAAGTTAAAGCAAGATCTGGAAGACCAAGAAAAATATCAGACAGAACAGCTTGCAGGATTGTGAGAAAAACATTTCAAAACCCACATTTGACTGCATGATCCCTCCAGAAAGATCTGGCAGACACTGGAGTTGTGGTACACTATTCCACTATAAAGAGATACTTGTACAAATATGGTCTTCATGGAAGAGTCATCATAAGAAAACCTCTTCTACGTCCTCACCACAAAAATCATCGTTTGAACTTTGCAAATGAACATATAGACAAGCCTGATGCATTTTGGAAACAAGTTCTGTGGACAGATGAGGTTAAAATTGAACTTTTTGGCCGGAATGAGCAAAGGTACGTTTGGAGAAGAAGGGGCACAGAATTTAATGAAAAGAACCTCTGTCCAACTGTTAAGCATGGGGTTGGATCAATCATGCTTTGGGGTTGTGTTGCAGCCAGTGGCACAGGGAACATCTCACGAGTAGAAGGAAAAATGGATTCAATAAAATTTCAGCAAATTTTGGATGGTAACTTGATGCCATCTGTGAAAAAGCTGAAGTTAAAGAGAGGATGGCTTCTACAAATGGATAATGATCCTAAACACACCTCGAAATCCATGGGGGATTACATCAAGAGGCGTAAACTGAAGGTTTTGCCATGGCCTTCACAATCTCCTGACCTCAACATAATTGAAAATCTATGGATAGACCTTAAAAGAGCAGTGCGTGACAGACAGCCCAGAAATCTCAAAGAACTGGAAGACTTTTGTAAGGAAGAATGGGCAAAGATACCTCAAACAAGAATTGAAAGACTCTTGGCTGGCTACAAAAAGCGTTTACAAAAAGCTGTGATACTTGCCTAAGGGGGCAGTACAAGATATTAACTCTGCAGGGTGCCCAAACTTTTGCGGACGCCATTTTTTTGTTTTCTGTTATTTTGAAAGTGTAAACGATGGAAATAAAATCTAACTTTTGTTGACATATTATAAGAATGTCTAATCTGTAATTTGATGCCTTTTGGAGATTTTTCCATCTTTCCTTGGCTTCTTTATGCACAATAATACAAATTTTTAGCTGGGGTGCCCAAACTTTCGATCCCCACTGTATATATATATTGTATTGTAATCTGGTGTTTTTTAATTTTGTGATAGTGAATTAGTAATCAGGGGCTTATTCCCTAAGGTAGACAGGAATGAGTAAAAAGCAGTAGCACACATCAACCAATAATTAATACTTTTTTATTTCCCTAACTGCTGTAAACTCTTGCTGTCCATTACATATTATGAAGGCTCTGACTCTGCTTCACTTTAGAAGACTGAAAATCTGTTGTCTCTATAAAATCCCCCTCCTTACTATCCTTCTTGGCATGCTCAAAACCATATTAAGTTTGACTAATATAAGAAAGCACGTTAATTGGATAAAAACTCTATTGAAGCAAGAAATGCAATTCTGCAAAAAGCAAATCACTTTTTGAATTAGTAGTTTAAATCGCTACATTTATAGAAAAGCTCCATCAAGATTTTGGTTTGGGGAGGAAAACATAAAACATGAAGTACACTTACTGCTGTGGCTGCGATCAAGTTACCCTATGCTGTACATTTGGACTCTCAGATTTTAGCCTCTGACTGTCACTTTGCAGTGTCCTGTGTGTCAGGAATTCCCAATAGATCCCTGTAAGGCCATCTACTCCGGTATGCAGGCTGCAGAGTGGTTTTCAAGGAATAGGAAATGTGCCAAGCCCCTTGAGCAGAAATGTACCACAGATGATCTCTGGATCACAGCCACCCAGGTAAAAAAAAGCTTAACACTTACCTGCCTAGTTCCAATCAGATGGTTATAGGGTTAATTGTTAAAATCAAAATGAGTCAGTTTAAAAACTTACGTGTACAGCCACCATCATGATATCCATAAAATCCATGGGCACAAATGTCACATTTAACTCCTGCCACTCCATTAACACATGGGCACTGACCGGCGTCATTACACACTGCGGAGACTGACCCTGCTAAGCTACAGTTACAAGCAAACAGCCAAGGCCAGATGTCAAGCCATAGAACCCAGGCTGTGAAAAAAAATATTGAATCAAATTTTATAGAGATCAAAGAAAAGAAATCATATTATAAAATATAATCACAGTTTTTTCCACCCATAACAGATGAATAATTATAAATCAAAAGCAAAAATATAACATCATATATAACTTACAGAGTATGTTGTTGGAATGAGTATTTTGAACACCACAATACAAATATTAAAGTGTAATGGCAGTTATTAGCATTTTTGGACGTAGTTCGGAAGGAATAGAACCTCTGTTAGGCTCCTATTGCTGTCTATGTCCTTATGGGAAAGATTCATCATCCTGAGGACCATCTCTAGAATTTATAGAATAGTTGTCAACAAAATGGACTGACAAATCATGGGGCCCCTGGGAAATAGGAGATAATGGGGCCCCCTGTGTCCCCCCCACACTCAAGCCACACCCACACAATGCCCCACTTACATATTGCAGCTCAGCTGCACAGGGGGATATTTAAATATCTACCACAGCATAGCCTGCAAGGACGTTCCTGGTTTCTTTCCATAGAAGCCGCAGGGCAATTCCATGTTTAAAGATGGCTGAGGCATGGCAGTCATCTTTATGATGCAACCAGGGATGTTTTGTGAAAGCAGTGAGCCTGTGTGCAAGATCATAATTTGGGCCCTGACAGCACAGAAAGAAGTGCGGCATGCACAAAAATGGATGTGGTTTTTGGGGACTGTAGGTAACGCTTACTGGTTACTCTGTACAGTAAAGATGCCCGATGACAGAGAGGTTAATTGCTTTGTGTTCAGATACCACTCCGCTTCTTTCCTGACAGGGTTGCCAACCCCCCACAACTTTTTTTTTTTTTTACTGACATGACCATGAAAAATCTACTGACGGTGTATTTTTTACTGAAATATCACAGAAACTCCTGTTATAAACTAAGAGGGGGTAGTGGGATAGAGTCAAAAGAGGGGGGGAGACAAAGGAGGGGAAGAAAGGATAAGAATAGGAGAGAGAGAGAGATGGAAAAGTAGTAGAGAGATGTAATAAGGGGAGAGAGAGAGGTGAGAAGGAGGAGAGAGAGAGGAGGGTGAGAAGGGGGAGTGAGAGATAGACAGGGGGAGAGAGAGGGGATGAGAGAGAGAGGAGGTGAGGGAGAGAGGGGGGTGAGAGAGAGGAGGGTGAGAGAGAGGAGGGTGATAGAGAGAGAAGGGGGGAGAGAGAAGGGGGTAGAGAGAGAGAGAGAAGAGGAGGGAGAAAGAAGGGGGTGAGAGAGAGATGGGGGTAAGAGAGAAGGGGGTGGAGAGAGAGGGGTGAGAAAGAGAGGGGTGAGAGGGAGAGAGAGAAAAAGGAGGGGGGATCCCCTATACCCCCATTCTACATCAGAAAACCCACTCAGAAAAAATGTCTGTACTGATCTCTGTAAAATCTTACCAGCAGGGTTCTCTGAGCACTACATCAGCTGGAAAATGAAGTCAGCATCCCCATAAAGCTCGTCTCCGGAAGGAAGCATGAAGTGCTCCAAAATCTCCTGGTAGACGGCTGCGTTGACCCTGGACTTAATGAAGCACACTGGACCAACACCAGCAGATGACATGGATCCCCAAATCAACACAGACTGTGAAAACTTCACACTGGACTTCAAGCATCTTGCAGTGTGTGCCTCTCCATTCTTCCTCCATACTCTGGGTCCTTGGTTTCCAAATGAGATGCAATAGTTGCTCTCATCAGAAAAGAGGACTTTGGACTACTGAGCAACAGACCAGGTCTATTTTTCTTTAGCACCAGGTAAGACGCTTCTGACGTTTGTTGTTTGTTGTTGACAAGAGGAATAAGACATTTGCAGCCCATGTCCAGGATCCGTCTGTGTGTGGTGGCTCTTGATGCACGGACTCCAGTCTTAGTCCACTCATTGTGAAAGTCCCCAACACTTTTGAATGGCCTTTTCCTGACAATCCAATCCAGGCTGCGGTCATCCCTGCTGCTTGTGCACCTTTTTCTTCCACACTTTTCCCTTCCACGTAACTTTCTATTAATGTACTTTGATATAGCACTTTGGGAACATCCAACTTCTTTTGCAATTACCTTTTGAGGCTTTCCCTCCTTATGCAGGGTGTCAATGATGGTTTTTTGCACAACTGTCAGGTCAGCAGTCTTTCCCATGATTGTGATTCCCACTAAACCAGAGAGACCATTTAAAGGCTCAGGAACCCTTTGCAGGTGTTATGGCTTAATTAGCTGATTAGAGTGGGAAACTTTGAGCCTAGAATATTGCACCTTTTCACAATATTCTAATTTTCTGAGATTGCGGATTTGGGGTTTTCATGAGCTGTAAGCCATAATCATCACAATTATGACAAATAACGGCTTGAACTATCTTGCTTTGCATGTAATGAGTCTATCTCATATATTAGTTTCACCTTTTAAGTTGCATTACTGAAATAAATGAACTTTTGCACGATATTCAAATTTTTTGAGTTTCACCTGTACATGACAGCATGTGAGCTACTTCCTGGATCAGAGGCTTCTGTCACTTCCACCTCCTTCTCTGCTCTCCTCACCGTCACTGGCAGTCCCCTACTGTTTGAGTACCCAGTTCTCCTGACTCCTGCTCTGCTCCTGTCTCGGGTTCCTCTCACCCTGCCACCTTACCCCGCTCTGAGCCATAGTGCTGTCTAACTAATGTGTCCTTATTTCAGGTGGACACATTATTCAGACAGATGTAAAGATACTGCCACTGTGTAAAATGTGTGGAGCCTTTCACGGGCCCCTACTGACTCCGGGCCCTCAGGCAGTGCCCGAGTGACCAAATGGTCAGTCCACCCCTGAATAGGGATACATGTGTATTGGCCCCTGCCTCTTGCTTGTTACTGTGTCATATGAGATGGAAAGTATGAGGAAATATTCTCCATGGGCACAAATACAGCAATAAAATCCCCCTCATTGCTGCTGCTATTAACCACTTTCCTGTCGCCCTATAGCAGAAGTATTGCTACAGGGGAAGCAGGGCTGTGCAAAAACACACACACACACACACACACATATATATAAATATTTATATAGTGAAGGAAATAAGTATTTGATTCCCTGCTGATTTTGAATGTTTGCCCACTCACAAAGTAATTATCAGTGTAAAAATCGAATGGTAGGTGTATTGTAACACTGAGAGACAGAATAGCAACAAAAAATTCAAAAGAAATGCATGTCTAACAAATTATGCACTGATTTGCATGTTCATGAGGGAAATAAATATTTGATCGGTGATTGGTGGCAAATCCCTTATTGGCAATCACAGAGGTCAGACGTTTCTTGTAGTTTGCCACCAGGTTTGCACACATCTCAGGAAGGATTTTGGCTCACTCCTCTTGGCAGATCCTCCCAAGTCATTAAGGTTTGGTGGGTGACATTTGGCAACTCCCTCCACAGATTTTCAATTGGATTAAGGTCTGGAGACTGGCTAGGCCACTCCAGGACCTTAATGTGTTTCTTCTTGAGCCCCTTCTTTGTTACCTTGTTACCTGATTGTTTGATTGCTCCTGTAGACAGGTGTCTTTTATTCAGGTAACAAATTGAGATTAGCAGCACTCCCTTTAAGAGACTGCTTCTAATCTCAGCTTGTTACCTGTATGAAAGATACCTGGTAGCCATAAATCCTGCTGAATGATAGGGGAACAAATACTTATTTCCCTCATGAACATGCTAATCAGTTTATAATTTGTTAGACATGCATTTCTTTTGAATTTTTTGTTGCTATTCTGTCTCTCAGTGATACAATACACCTACAATTCGATTTTTTACACTGATCATTTCTTTGTGAGTGGGCAAACATTCAAAATCAGCAGGAGATCAAATACTTATTTCCTTCACTATATATATATATATATATATATATATATATATATATATATATGATTTGCATTTCCAGGTAGGGGGCTATTGGCGGCTAGAGATGTCAATCACCGGGTCCCAGCTGGCATTTCCCGGCCGGCATTTGGCAATCATCAGGTAAAGCTGACAGGAGAGAGACATGTGTGTAAACAACACAGGTCTCTCTCCTGTCAGCATGAACATGCTGTTTTGTATCTCTCTGCACATCAGAGAGATACAAAACAGCATGTTTCCCTAGTAAAACACAGCACACAGTTAACCCTTTGATCGCCCCAGATGTTAACCCCTTCCTGCCCAGTGTCAGTGCTTTTTATTAGCACTGATCACTGTATTAGTGTCACTGGGGATGTCAGTGGCAGCTAGTCAGTTTCCACCCAGTGTCAGAATGCCCGCCGCAGTCCCACAGTCCTGCTTTAAGTCGCTAATCGCCTCTAGTGAAAAAAAAAATTTCCAGTATTTATACTGCCATTTGTAGCCACTATAACTTTCACGTATTAATTTACACGTATTGGGATTTTTTTTTTTAGCAAAGACATGTAGCAGAATACATTTTGGCCTAAATTTATAAAGAAATTAGATTTTTTATTGTCAAAGCTTAATTGAACAAACTGAAGTTAGAAGCTGATTGGCTACCATGCACAGCTGCATCAGATTCTGAGTGGTCCAGTTTTAGTAAATATCCCCCACAGTGTCTCTCCTGTGGTAACAATTTTCTGGCCAGCTATAGTTCCAGTGTGTAAAAGTATATATACAGTACCAATACTCATATACAGATCTACCTAATTCATACTTTTTAAACTTTTTTAAAAATAAATTCTGTATAGTCCTGAACATACCCAAAAGAGTAAGAAACCGTGTAAAACAGTAAATCTCCATAGCATGGTTTATCTCTCACCTCACACTGATCACATTTCTCTCCAAAGACGTGTGGTTTACAGTCACACAATCCAGTGTCGTGGTGGCAAATTGAAGAGATTGAGCTATTTGGGTGACATTCACATGCTTAGAAAAGATAAAAAAATGTCAGTGTTAAAGTGTGTTATCCCAACATTTCATATTCCTGAT